GGCAAGTATGAAGCAGTGTGAACTCATGTGAAGAAGCTGGATGTTCAGGTATCTCAGACTGCAGAAGCTGTGAAGAGATCACCTGGAACTCTCCCTGGAAAAGGTGAAAACTCCAGGAATGAGTTTATGAATGCTATTGAGCTGAGAAGTGGGAAGACTCTGCATGCTGCACCAACAAGTTCTGTCTCAGAAAAAAGGAAGGAAAAGGACGTGGAGCACCTGCTCCAAGAAGAAGAACCAGCTCATGAAGTAAAAAAGACGAAGGAGCACTCTTCCCCCATCGGAGCACATGCTCCAAAATCGGGAACACCTGCTCTAAACGTAGATTTGACGATGGAGCACCCTGAGCCAATGAGGGAGCACCTGCTCCAGCAAACATTCCTGCAAGAGTTTACACGCCTAAGGTACCTTACCCAGTTCCACCAAAGAAGTCCCGCAAGAACTTAGAGGAGGCAAAGTGCAGGGAGATGCTGAAGGATTTGACTGTAAAACTCCCTCTAGCTTATGCAGTTTAGATGATACCAGTCCTTAAAAGATACATGAAGGGGTTAGTGTCTGGGAAAGCTGTTGAGGAAGAGAGCGTCATGATGGTTTCAAAGGAGTGCAGTGCTGTGCTTCAGAACAAAGTGTTGAAGAAGAGAAGTGATCCAGGAAGATTTGTTCTCTCAGTCAGGATTGGGAATGTGCTGTTTGCAAGGTCTCTCTGCGATCTGGGTTCAAGTGTGAATCTGATGCCTTATTTTGTAGCCAAGCGATTCTATTTATTCCTAATATATTGTGTTATCTTGTGTTATCCATATTCTTCCTAATATATTGTATTTGTTCTCTTTACCTTTTTATTTTTCTAGTTCTCCTTAGCATATTTTCTCATAGTTTTTCATTTTTATCATGCGGTCTCCTGTCTAATTTTTAATTTATTATCTCTCATTTTCATTTTCTTTGATTTCTACTACTTCTTCTTTATCTTCTTTGTCTTTTTAAATTATTGTTCTTCTGTTTTTCTATCAGCTTTTATTTTATTTTCTTCTTATTCGTCTTCTGATTTTTCACCTTTTTATTATTACTTATCTTGTCTATATTTTCTTTTTCTTCTTCTACTTTATCTTCATCCGTTTCTTCTTCTTTATCTTTTGGCTTTTATCTCTCTCTTGTATTTTCCTTCTTTTTTAATTGTTTTTGACTTATATATCACTTTCTTATCCTTACTTTTCTTTTCTTTCCAATTTATTCTCCTCTTTTTTTCTTTAAATTCTGTGTTGTAGTTGAATTATGATTTTTCTTTTTCACCTTATTCTAATTTATCTACATCATCTTCGGATATTCTTCTCGTTCTACCTTTTTTCTACATCTTATGGTGTTTTTCTTCAATTTATCATTTTTTATTCTTGTCTTTTTTTTGTTATTTTGTGTTATTTATATCTTCCTAGTTCATCGTAATTTTCTTCTTTCTATTTTTATTCTTCTGGTTCTTATTAGTCTCCTTTCTCATCTTCACATTCTCATACATTCATATTTATCTTCTGGTCTCTTTTCTAATCTTCAACGTCTTTTTCTCGTTTATTTTCCAAAAAATTCTTCATCACCTTCGTCTTCATCATACTCCTCTTCTTTATCATACATTTTTTTCATCTTCCTCTTCATCGTATTTGACTTCTACTTCTTATTTTTTTATCTTATTCGTCTCCTCTAACCATTTTTCCTTTTGCAGATTTCTTTCTTTCTCTAATTAATTCTCACATATTTCATCAACATCTTCCTCTTCTACTGTGTCTTCATGTTCTTCCTCTTATTTCTTTTTTGCTTTTTTTTCTTCCTCACATATTTCTTATTTTTTGCATTGTATAGGACTTTGTATACATCTTCCTCGTATTCTCCAACTTCTTATTATTCTTCTTCTTTTTTCTTGTAATTTCTACTCCTCATATTTTTTCCTTATATTCTATTTTTTATTGAATTCTTATTTCACATTTTTCAATTTCATCTACATCATCTTCCAATTTTATGCTCTTTATACTTATTTTTCTTCAACTTCGAGTTTCATTTTTCTTCAACGTCCTTATTTTCTATCTTTATCCATCTTCTTTCTTTCGTGTTATTCATCTTCTTCCTAATTCATCGTGTTTGTCTTTGTCGTCTTCTTATTTTTCTGGTTTTCCTTAGCTTCTTTCGTCATCTTCACATTCTTATACTTTATAATCTTCATCTTCTGCTTTCTTTTCTTTAATGTCTTTGTCCTTGTATTCTCAACTTTTTCTTTATAAGTTCCATCTTCGTTTTTTTTTTCTTTTGAAAAAAAAAATCTTCCAAGACTAATATCACGATGTTCTCATTTGACTGTATAAGAAGCTGATCCACATATAACTTTACTCAGAATAAAATGAATAAATAATTATTTTAAAAGGATGCACTAAATTATAAAAAAAGTACAATACATCAATCTGTTTAAAATACGTATTTATGTTACCAAATACATCATTAGTGATATATATTTAAATCGGTTAAGGGGCTTGTAGGCACCATTATAGTAACTGGTTCTGGTTTGGTCATATCCAGTGTGGCGAAACAACATGAACAACAATTGGAACTCAACTAAACATGAACAACAACTGGAACTCAAAGTCTGCAAAGCTTTTAAAGCTCATGTTTGCTACAAAATATAAAAAGGAAAACACATAGTATGGAGAAACACAAACCTGTGCAACTAAAATGTTGGAAGACGTTCTATGATGAGTGGACTTGATGATCGCCACTTATGGGACTATCACAAAAAGACATTTCGGTGTGAGATAGATGTCTAAGGGAAGAGGAAGCAACCTAGTAATCGTCTTAAATAGATATTTGGGAACATTACTTTTTGGCGAATCTCTGCCATAAAGACCTTTATGCTTGTGAGATAGATCAATTAGGAAACTTTCATCCCTTTGAACGAATTAAGAGAAGAAAAGTGTGAAATCATCCTCGTCAGCAATAAATTCCTAATCGAAAAAATAAGTCCATCTCTCTCTTACTAAAAAGACAAAAAATTAAATAGTTGAAGAATTCAATCACCCTTATGACAAATAAAGAAGGAAAATTGAATTAAAAATTTAGAAAAAAACAGAACATAACATACCAAGAACAAACTTTGATGTTTGTGCCACCATCGTGCCTCTTTGATGAGTTTATGTTGTATACCAATGACCCAAAATGTCTAAATTAAACTCATGAGAAATCAAACAAAACGAATCAAAGAAAGCTCATCAGTGCTCATGGTCGTGATCGGATTCCAAGAATTGACAAATTCAAGACCTGAATTATTAGATAAATGTTACAAAATACACATAATAAAACCATAAGAAAATAAATAAGACGAATTGAACAAACCTATGATCTTATGTTTTCCTTTGGGATTTTCGAATGATAATGACAAACTATATGACAATTTATATATATATATATATATATATATATATATATATATATATATATATAATAATGATGCTATGAATTAAAAACAAAGCAAGAAATTGAAATAGACAGAGTCGGAAAGATAAAATCTGGCTGAAGGAACTTCAGTTCTAATACCAAAAATGATACAAGCACAGTGCTGACACAAGGCTTGTAAAATCTCGGAACAAAGCTTGGCTTAATCGGTCAAGGGTTGATTCATCGGCTGAGCTTCTCTAGCCGAGTGAATCGAAGAAACAAGGGCTGTTAAGGTGGAATGAAGTGCACCACACAAGAGGTGAGGGTCTTGTGATACAACACGGTATTCTTTGGACTAGGAGGTGCTGATTTTGACTAGAACAAAGAGAATAAACAGGTTTCTTTGCTGAGAAAACTTGTTTAAGAAAATTCGTTATTTTATTGATGATCAAAGTTGAAAGAATTACACGGCCGTAAAGGGACTTATATAATGTCTAAGCGGCTTAGACTCAATGCGACACGACTTCAAAAGGAAAGGTGCAACATCAAAGGAAAAATAAACAAAGAAAACTATAAATAAAGTTCAAACTAATAAGCTAAAGTCTAGACTAAATTCTCTCGGCTGAAACACAACAAAGACAAAGAAATTCGTTAGTCAAATGAAATGAAAGACTTATCTTATTTGTGATCATGATTAGCATGTCTCTAACTTGTCTTTGACCGAGCTTGAATGTTCCTCTTTAAGTGTCTTGATTCATTCATGAGATGATGAGCACTTAGAACTTGGACTTGACTTGGTAAAAAAAGGCAGATGTCCTGATTCTTTGGGCTGTTGTGGGTTGATGAGAACTCTTGAGATGTCTCGGCCCAAGCTTGTAAACAATGGCCCTTATTAACCGTCTCTTCTTAACATTCTCCTAGTTGCTCTTCTCTTGGTATTTTTTTAACTGTGGCTTATAGGCTTTGATTGTACTTGTGTTAAAGTATTCTAGCTCTTGCCCTTGTTATTGGTTCTTCATGCATTGTTGAACTTCGATATCTTGGAGTTAAGACTCGGTTAAATCCGGTTCAGGCTGCATGTTCTCATCACATACATAATTCAATAATCCTGAACTGATTAAATGGGATTAATGACACATGTAAGTAAATACAAGTAAACTCTTATCATTAAATTAAACACTTGTCTTTCACTTCGAATATTCATTTCTTTTTGCTCTAAGACTTCTTCAAATTTCGAACTCAATGCAATTCATATTTCTTTTCTTTTTTGGTCGAAAAATTCATATTTCTCATATTTTTTAGTGCATTAATTTTCGTTTGTTTTATCTTCAATCTTATATTCGGTTCTTTGCTCATTAAACCCAACCTTTACCAGGTTTTTCTCTCTCTGTGTCATAGATCTTAGAAGAAGACAAAATTTGATGTAAGGGTACAATCGACCTAAACTTTCTTGGATAGTATATTGAGTAAATTCATTTGTCTATTTGCTGATTTTGGTCTCTTCCTTTGATATTCAATGCAAATTCTCTTTTTAAATGACTAAATATGTACAACAAGCCATCAGACTAATAATTTAGTACAAGTAACCCCCCAGCTAGACTAGTTAAGTTTGAACATGTAAAGCTGCAAGCAAGTAATTCAAAGTCAACACAAAGATGCGCTTCCTTCTTCTTACTCCCCAATTAATATCTTTGTTGATTTTTCCATCTTGATTCTATTGCTCTACTCGAAAATTAAATCCAGGAACACAAAATGGGTGTCTGCTTTTCTATACAGTTGGATAAATCGTTGGATCAGCTTGTTCCACCTTTTCTGCGTTACTTGTGTTGGAATAACCTGGAGAACAATCTAGAGTCTTTGCAGAGATGTATGCAAGATCTCAGCGAGATGAGAGATGATCTGTTGAGATTGGTATCGAAAGAAGAGGACAGAGGTCTACAAATGTTTGCCCAAGTCAAAGTGTGGATATCAAGGGTCGGGACGGTTGAATCGGAGACCAATCGTCTGCTTGATGATAGTATCGTTGAACTTGGGAGATTTTCAATGTATGGCTGTTGTTCCCTGATCTCTGGATCGACCTATCGGTACAGTCAAAAGGTAGATATGACGTTGGAAAAGGTTAATACTCTGATACGGGAGGGACGCTTTGAAGTTGTGACTGAGAGACTTGTGTCTCAGAGAGCTCCTCATAAGCAGCAGCCGACTGATCATCAGCCGACTGGTTCTCGAGCAAACCTGCTTGAGAGTATATGGCGTCGTCTAATGGACGAAAATGTTAGTACTTTGGGTATCTATGGTATGGGAGGTGTAGGCAAAACCACCCTTCTTGTTCATCTCAATAATAAGCTCTCAGAAGTTGGTCATAATTATGGATATGTGATCTTTGTTGTTGTGGCGTCTAAAGAGATCGAGGATATACAAGATGAAATCGGTAAAAGATTAGGCCTACAGTGGGGACGTGAAACTAAAAAGGAGAAAGCAGCTGAAATATTTCAAGTCTTGAAGATAGAGAGGTTTATTTTGTTGTTGGACGATATACAGAGGGAAGGAGTGGATCTTCAACGGATTGGAGTTCCGCAGCCGAGCAGAGAGAATGGATGCAAAATTGTATTCACCACTCGTTCTCAGGAAGTATGTAGACGCATCAAGTGGGTTGAGGCTACTCTATACGTTGAATGCTTGCCTCCACAAGAAGCATGGGACCTGTTTCAGAAGACAGTCGGAGAATACGCGTTGACAAGTCATCCAGACATACCAGGGCTCGCAAGAGTAGTTGCTGAGAAGTGTTTTGGTTTGCCCCTAGCTCTTACGGTCGTCGGCAAGACCATGTCAAGCAAAAGGACAGTACACGAATGGCATCATGCAATTCATCTACTTTTGAGTTCATCTAGTTCCGTGTTTTCAGGTTTAGAAGATATTTTAAGCGCTCTAAAATTTAGCTATGATAGTCTGCCTGATGAGGAAACCAGGTCATGTTTCCTGTACTGTGCTCTATTTCCAGAAGGTGATGATATAAAAAGACAAGATTTGGTAAACTACTGGGTAGGAGAGGGACTGGTTTCACATGATATCAAGGGTTATGAGATGATCAATGATTTGGTTAGAGCGTCTTTGCTGATGGAAGATGAATCAGGATATGGTGTAAAGATGCATGGTATGTTTCGTGAAATGGCTTTGTGGATAATAGCATGTGATTACGAGAGACAATATTTTGTGGTGAAAGGGGGAATAAAAAAGATGCCAAGTGTCATCGATTGGAGAAGGGTTAGAAGGATGTCAGTGACAGATACTCAGATTGAGAATATATCGGATTCTCCTGACTGTTCCGAGCTTACAACCCTATTACTGCAACGCAACTACAACTTAGAATGGATCTCAGGTGACTTCTTTCGGAGGATGGCAAGTCTTGTAGTCCTGGATTTGTCGCATAACAGTAATCTTTCTGAGTTGCCAGAGGAAGTTTCATGCCTGGTGTCGCTGCGACTTCTCAACTTATCAGGGACGAATATAAAGGATTTGCCCAAGAGTTTCGGAGAATTGCTGAAACTGATTCACTTGGATTTAGAGTCCACATCCAATCTCCGAAGTATCAGTCTGATTTCAGGGTTACTGAAGTTGCAGGTTTTGAGATTTTATGGTTCTAAAGCTTCTTTAGATCTCTCCTTACTGAAGCAATTTGAGTGTTTGAAGTATTTAAAACTTTTGACCATTACTGTGAGAGATGTCCATGTTTTGAAAACTTTCTTACGAAGCAGATTAGCTGGGTTTACGCAGGGTCTATATCTCGAAGGACTTAAAGTTTCAGGAGAATCAGGAAAATCATTTGCAGCCACCTTTGGTGCGTTGGGTAGTCTTCGAAACGTTGAAATGGTGAACTGTGATATTATAGAGTCTGATATGGTATGGGAAGATGATAGAAGACACCAGTATTCCCCATCCAATCAAACCACTCCAAGAAATCCATGGTTCATGAACCTCTCAACTGTGGTAATACTCTCGTGCACACATCTAAAAGATTTGACATGGCTGATATATGCCGCAAATCTTGTGTCTCTAACCGTCAAAGCCTCATCTATGATGGAAGAAGTTATATGCAAAGAGAAGGCTGGGAACGTCGAGGTTGAGCCTTTTCAAAGGCTGCAAGTTCTTGATTTAGATGATTTGAGTGAACTGAAGAGCATCTATTGGACTTCACTCTCTTTTCCAAGGCTGAGGAAAGTCAATCTAACAAAGTGCCCGAATCTGCGTAAGCTTCCATTGAGTTCCACGAGTGTAGAGAAAATTTATGATCTTCGCATAGAAGTGGAGGAAGCATGGCTACAAAGAGTTGAATGGGAGAGTACTGAAGCTGAAGAGCGCTTTCGTCGTGCCATCCACAGAGCTTCTGTTTATTAACTCCGGTACTATATAATTCTTATCTTCCATAACAGAATCTCTGGTTTTTCTATATTTTTATTCCAGTCCTCACTTTGTGTACTTTTTATCTTCTATCATCTGTGTAGACATGCAAGCCCGAGAAAGACCTAGTGCAACAAGCACATATCAGTGGATGCAGTTCAAAGTTCCTCCTTTTGTTTTTTTTCTTGTGTTTTTACGGTAAACCTTATTCGAAATCGTTTGTCCTTTTTAACGGGTGTTTTCTGAAAATAAAATAAGGAACAAAAACTTCTGCTTTTGCTACTTATATGTGTGTGAAACAGTGTGATATTGAAAACCTACATTATGATTGTTCCATATTGTGTTCCTAAAGTTCATAGTTGTATTGTTGTCTACTGCCATTTTCTTCCAACTCCGCACTTCCATCTGATTATGCTATCTGCTTATTTTGTCATTTGATTACTTCATGTTTATTCTCTGCGTAGTACTACTAACTAGTGTAAAAGACTAGTAAAGAAATGGCTTCAACTTATAAGGCTTTGCAGTCTCATTCTTAAAACTAAATGCGTTTCTGAAATCAGTTTCTGTTTAATAAAATAAAAATTTGTATAGAGAATTTGACTGATGCTTCTCAAAGTTATCTAATGGATACATCAGATGGTAGCCCCCTGAAACTGATAACGCCTGAGTAAAGCCAAAGCGTCACAGCTTCATCATCCATCAGTCAGTTTGCTTCAATACGGAGCCAAAAAAAAAGAAAAAACACTGCTGTAGTCAACCATGGAGTTATAACGAGTCGTTGAAAAAAACGAAATTCGTTTCAGTTTTAGTTAAGAGTTCTAAACACTGAGTTGTATATGATTAAAGAAATTAATTAACATGTGAAATAACTTTTCGGTTAAATCTTATTACATGGCGATCAAATCATTAACGCTATTGTCCCCCAGTTTCTCTCTTTCCCTTTCATATCTCGACAGATCAACCGGAAAAAGAAAAGAAAAAACGTCTTTTTCCCCCTAATCTCTCTCTATCTCCCCGATTCCTCGATTCTCATGTAAGCTCTCCGCTACGGATTCGATTTCCGTGTAATGTCCGAGAAAGTGCTCTCTCGATTTTGACTTTGTTCGTACCGTGAGGGGGATCCTATGCGTTAGGTTTTTGGGGACAATCTTCGTATGATTGGGCTTCCGATTTGTTTATCTTTAGTTCATTTTTCTCTAAATTCCGTTCTTTGATTCTTGGGTTTCTTTCTTGATTTAGTAGTTTACATATTTACTTGAAAATCCCCAAATTTTTTTTTTCCGAATCAGATTCGTTGATATGTTCTCACTAGCTACAAAAAAAGTTCTTCTTTCGGATCCCTAATGTCACAATTCTGAACTCTTGATTTCCAGTTATTTGAACTGTACTTCTCTTCATGTTATATATTCTAATCAATTTAGTTTTGTAGAGATTCAGGAGGAACATGAGTATTTGATCGGGGCTTTGCATTGGGAGAGACAGTGGTCGGTGATTCGTGTAAAATGCGGGTGCTTGGTCTGAGCTCAAGCTTATGCTCAAGTGAGGAGAAGGAAGAAGAAGAGATAATTGGAGACTCGGGTCTCACACCGGTGTATCTCAACGTGTATGATCTAACACCTGTCAACAATTATCTCTATTGGTTCGGGCTTGGGATATTTCACTCAGGAGTTGAAGGTAAATGTGGCTTCTTCTCTTTACACTCTCCTTTTTTCTATAACTTGATTGAGACTTAAATCAAACTTAATGTTCTTTACTAGTCTATGTATCCTGCGAATTCATAGAATAGTGTCGCTTTCTCTTTGTTTTCATCTATTTCTGGTATAAAGACAACACTTTTGTCATATGGTCAGAGTATTCTAGTCTTGAAGAGTAACCACGATACTTCTCAATTGTTCTCGACGAGTTGTGATTTATAGATTAGGCGACAATGCTTGGTTTTTCAGACAACGTTGTTTGTTATTAGAAAGTGGTTGCTTACGAAAATTGAGGGACCTTGACTGTAAAGTAAACCTTTTCAAATTCTAGTTTACACTTGTCTGGTTGCCTGAAACATTCATTATCTTTCGAATAACTAGAACTTACCCTATGAGTTATAATTATATCTTTTCGTTGGAGCTGGGCTGTTATTATTATTGCTAAATGCGTATCTAACATGAGTTGTTTTCACGTTGCTATGTCTACCTCCAACTAGCTCATGGTTTCGAATATGGATATGGTGCTCACGAGTACTCGAGCAGCGGTGTGTTTGAGGTTGAACCTAGGAGCTGTCCAGGTTTTATCTTCAGGCGGTCAGTTTTGTTGGGAACCACCAGCATGTCTCGCTCAGATTTTCGCTCATTTATGGAGAAGCTTTCGAGAAAATATCATGGGGACACGTACCATTTGATTGCCAAGAACTGTAACCATTTCACTGAAGAAGTATGCTTGCAGGTAACAGGAAAGCCTATTCCCGGATGGATTAATCGGATGGCTCGAGTAGGTAATATAACTTTCTTATCTATCTTCCAGCTTATTTCTTAAATTTGGTTCTTGTTGTTTGGACCTTTTTACATTTTTGCTTGTTCTTGAATTCCTCCTCCAGGTTCTTTCTGCAACTGTATCCTTCCAGAAAGCATACAGCTCTCATCGGTTAGACATCCCGAAGCCCTCGAGTTCTCTGGTAAGTTAGTTCCAAAGAATCTCGTGTTTTCTCTTGTTCTCGGGGTCTCTGATGAAACCAGTTTGTTTAATCTCCATTGTAGATGATAATGATGGATCAGAAGAATCAGTTGCGTCTTCTCTCTCAGACGAAACAGATGGAGAAGGATCAGATCATCATCTCATAATAGCACCAAACAGTGACATTGCGTATCTACAAGACAGACCAGTGCGACTTGCCCGTGAGCTCCTCCAAGAACCAACCGATGAATCTCCTCAGTACTTGTTGAAGCAGTCTTGAGCTCTCTAAAGCAGCCATCGGGATCACCAAGAACTTAATATCGTCTGTAGCAAAAAAAAGATCACCATTGAAACAAAAGTGAGTATTGTCTGCAAAAATTCCATCTTGAGTATATTCTTTCGACCTAGAAATGTAAAAGAGATTTGAAATCTAAATGAGAACCCATCTAAGATATTGATGGTAGTGAGTTTAGAGATAATGGTGTGAACTTGTTGACAAAATAGTGTTTATGTTTGTTCTCAAAGCAGCTCTTATCTTCTCTGAGTTCACATTGCTGATCTATGTGTCATAATTTATGGAATCTGCCATGCTAATAATTAGTATTCTAAACTTGTGATCAATTTCAGACAGTTGTTTGGTTATAGATTTGATATGGACAGAGATGCTGTCTTCTAGCCTAAGGTCCTCTTTACTTTCACATTATGTAGCTTAATAAGTCAAAGTGAGCCATCTCAAAACCAGTAATTTTGTACATTTAAAAAAAATGGCAAGTTGGGTACCAACTATCAAGTACTGCCATGGGAGATTCCTTTTTTTGTTTGGCCATCAGTTCTGCTTTTACTTTACTTATTTGAGTTTACATCCCATTTATGGGAGAAAATTTTGTTTTCTTTTTTGTAACTGAATTATGGGACAAAGTTATAAACAAATATTTTTAGGGCATCGAACGTCAAAAAATTTCCTCCCAAGTTTTGAAGATAACTTACCTGAGAGAGGTGGGAGCAACAGAAGATATAAAAATTTGGAAAAAAAAACAAAAATAAAATTGATTGGCTAACGAAGTTAGCATAATAAGTAACCCAACAACTGACAGTGACATTTTATCCCTTAACACACATTCACATTTATCATCACTCTAATATATGCGTGTGTCAATAAATATAGTTTCTATTATTTTATTTACTTTTCCGTTTGCAATTATTTTTCTTTTTCATTTTTTATTATTAAGAAAATATCTAACACAAATAGTTTTAAATTGTATAATTTGTAGTGGAAAATCAATTAAATGCATTTTTCATTTTCATTACTAAATGAACCATAATAGACACATTTTCATAAATAGATAAATTTTTTAAACTTGTACCATAAATTTAGAAGAAATTCGATTAGAATTACAAGCTATTCTAAATGTATAAAATGAAAGCCACCTAGATATAACTAGTTATATATAGCGAGAAGATAGCATAGGATTAGGATTAGGATTAGGATTCAGGAGGTAGAAGAAGATAGGTAAAATTAATGCGATCGCAGGAAGTTATCAACCAATCTTCACCGTCCATTTCATACTGAAGGTCTAAACACCAATCAGCACCGTCCATAGTTCATATGATTCTTTCTTACTTGGCCGCAACTTCCAACCACATCACACTCTTTCTATTCCCTTCATATATTCCCATAATCCCATCTCAAAAGTTCTTGGAGACAACAAAAACATAAAAACATAAACGCCAATCGCAATCTTCGCGTTTTTCTATGGGGAAGAAAGGTTTTAAGCGGTCTGTTCTTGCGGTGGCGGTTGCATTCTTAGCCGTGGTTCAGGTCTCTGTGTCGGTTCCGTTCATATTGCTCCATGGAATTGCAGCTGAATGTTCTGATGGTAAAGAAGCTAACTTCACACAGCTTCTCAGTAACCTCTCTGGCTCTCCTGGCTTTTGCCTGTAAGTACCCAAGTCCAAGACTAATCATCGATACATGTTCAAGATTTGTGTTTTCTTGATATTTAAGACGTCCACAATAGCCAACCACAATGATTTATTTTGGTTTGATCCAAATCTTGTTTTCTTTATAAATCGTAGAGAAGTTGGAAATGGAGAGCGCGATTCATGGTTCATGCCACTTACGAAACAAGCGGAAATAGCGTGTGAGAAGGTGAAGCAAATGAAAGAGTTGCGTCAAGGATACAACATTGTTGGAAGATCTCAGGTTTCTTGATACTTTCTTGAAAACCCCATAAACAAAAAAAAAACGATTTTGATCGTTACCCACTTTAAATTAATGGATGATGAATGATTGTTTGAACAGGGGAATCTAGTGGCTCGAGGGTTGATCGAGTTCTGCGATGGTGGACCTCCGGTTTACAACTATATATCTTTAGCAGGTCCTCATGCTGGAATCTCCTCTGTTCCTATGTGTGGTGTAAGCTTTTCTTATTTTCCTTTAATCTCTGGTCTTTTTTTCTTTAAATGATATTATTTTATTCAGTCAATGACAGTGACAGTAATGGCTTTCTCTGTTTTTGGTGTGAAGTCTGGTTTATTGTGTGAAATAGCAGATGAGCTGATCAAGGCAGATATCTACAGCGACTTCATTCAAGTATCTCTCTCTCTCTCTCTCTCTCTCTCTCTCTCTCTCTCTACGTCTCTTCTCTATCAGGATTAAAATCCTTAAATCAGAGATTAATCAACGTCTTTAATAACTCCGCAGGAACATCTTGCTCCTAGTGGTTATCTCAAAATCCCAACAGTATGTCTTATCCTAATCATAATAGTTAGGTTCGAAGAATAAGTATATTTTATTAGATCTTAACAACAAAAAAAAACAGGAATTGACGAAGTACCTGGAAAGGTCTAAGTATCTACCTAAGCTCAACAACGAGATACCAGACCAAAGAAACTCCACTTACAAAGACCGCTTCACCAGCTTACACAACTTGGTTCTTGTCAAGGTCCGATCTCCTCAAAAAACACCATTCTCCACATTTTTAATCGATTGAATCCTCTCTTGATGATTCTGTTTTGTTTTACAGTTTCAGGACGATAAGGTTATCGTTCCAAAAGATTCATCTTGGTTCGGGTTTTACCCGGACGGTGAATTCGAACCTCTTCTCTCTGCTCAACAGACCAAGCTTTACACAGAGGATTGGATCGGTCTGAAAACACTGGACGCTGCTGGAAAAGTGAGGTTTGTGAGTGTAGCTGGCGAACACATCAAAATGGCGAATCTCGATGTTGTCAAATACATCGTGCCGTATCTCCAAAACCAACCGTCTTCAACACAAAGTCTCAACCGCAAAACAAAGGAGCCCTTGCCTCCTTAAAAAGAGCAAACACCTCATTTGTTACATGCTTATTTATGCAACAGTGAACAAAGCTTAGTGATGATTGCGTAGAACAAGAATCCTTATTCATATAAATATATACACACATACCTTATTTGAATTATCGAATTTTTAAATCGTGGAGAGTCGACGCATGAGATCTTCATCACCAGTTTTCTTCAAAGCTTGAATGATTCTCTTAACATGAGAAACATTCAATCTCATTTTCTTATCAAGCATCCATTTCGCAAGCTTAGTAGCTTCCCAAGAACACCCGTGTTCGCAGAGACCGAGCAAAAGAACCGAGTGTATATCCGAGTCTATTGTTGATATCACATTCGCCTTCTCGATTTCTTCATACAGAAAGAAACAATCTTGATACCTTTCCAACGAACACAACTCCCTGAGAACAAGACTGCAAGCAAGACCATCGGGTCTATTCCCTTGGACCAACATCAGACGGAAAATCTTCTCTGCCTCTTCCCATTTCTTCAAACGGATTAGCGACACAGTAGCCGAACTAAAACATTCTGAAAGAGAAACACCTCCGAGTTTCACCAACTTATCAATCAACTTAGAAAGATCCATAACATCCTCATCATTCTCCTCCACAACCCCTTGAATCAAAACACTAGCAGTGACACGATTCGGCAAGCATCCTCGATCTCCCATTCTATCCAATATCATCAACGCCTCTTGAACCCGTTTCTTCTCACAGAACGCTTGAATCACCAACGTGTAGGTAACCGCATTAGGACTTATAAATCCACCACCATCTTCTTTCTCCATCTCCCCCAAGAACTCTAACGCTCTCTCCATGTCGCCAGACTTGCAAACTCCTTCTAGAATCCTGGAAAACGTTACAGTGTTAAGCACGCATCCGTGCTTGCTCATGGCCTTAGACAAGTTCCAAGCTTCATCTATCTTACCCGCATTGCAAAACCCATTGATCACTGATGTATAAGTCATCACATCTGGACAAAGATCAATACAATCCATCTCTTTCATCAACGTCTCAGCCATACTCAAATCTCCCTTATCAGCAAACAACCTAATCACCAAATTATACGCAATGGTGTCAGCGGATAAACCGAAATCAGGATATTTTCGCAATACCCACAATGCCTCATCAGCGAGTTTCGCTTGATTACACAGAGACAGGACGATCCTCATCGTCTTAATACTAACAAAGCATTCCTCTTTCCCATAGGCTTCAACAACGTCCTTTATCAAATCTGGGTTTGCTCTAATCTCGAGAAATTCGCAAGCTTTGCTATACATATAAGGACTGTGTCTATGTCCGGATTGCGTTCCTGCCCATATGAAGAACCTAAGACCCAATTGAAACTGATTTGGACTGCATCTTTTGATTACCTCGTTGATAGTAGATGCATCCAGTTTCACCTTGGCCGAGGCTAATTCCTTCTCGGGATTGTTCTTGCATCCCTGAAGATGATCATATAATCTCTCGGCGGCTGAGACAGTTGTGGAAAACCGTAAAGCTGAGAGCTTTGAGGGTTGAGATCGAAATGAGGGAGAAACCCGACGAGATATCAAGTGAAGCAGCATATGGTTGGTCGCTTAAGTATGTAGCGATTGGTGAATGACTTTCGTTAAGAAAATCCTAAAGGACGAGACTAGAGAATTGAGAGAGAGAAGAGAGAGCTTGGCACATGAAAACGATGACGAAGAATACTACTATGAGCGACATAATGCGGCCCATAATACCCAATTAGGAACCCAATAACAGTCGCTTATACTTTATTTGTTGTAGTAAAAAGACAAGGTCACGTGATTTTGTCAACTAAAACTTGAACCCTGGAAGTGCCGAAAAAAAATTTTGTTCAGCAACTGCGATTATCAGTTTTGAGCTCAGCCAGTAATTTTCAAAGTAAACAAAATATAAATGTACAACAAGTGAATAGAAGTAGATATTTAGTTTATTCATATGACTAAGGAGTTGATGTAGATTAAATAATTTCATGATTTTGCCAATTTAAACAACAGTTGTTCGATGCTTCAAAAACACACTACCATCAAGGCAGGGACGAAATACCGAGAGGTCCGCAACGGTGGATTTATCTACAAAACTGTTGTGAATCTTAGTGTTTTGATTAAAAATTACTTGTCTTTTACATCAGATCAATTTAAAAAGATAGCTTCATATATTGTTCAATATTGTAACTAATTTTGCTAATTTAAATATATGAAGGTTACATGATACATATAGCACTAGAACTTGGGAAGGCCAATCATCCAAAACTACATTGACCTACTACTATTGACCCCACACAGCCACACCTCCCAACTAATATCAAACAAACCATCACAACAACGAAAACTACCAAAACACCCTTCTCCCTCACGATCGTGGACGCAAGGCTTCAAAATTCAGCCCATGAGCCACCTGACCAGCACATGCAACCCACGGGTTGGTCGGAACGGGTCGGTGATTGTGGTGATGGTTCGATGATGGCCCAGCCACACGCTCGCACGATGGACACATGATGAGTGTAGTGGGTGGAGTCATTTGGCCGTAGAATTGTGGAGACAGCTTTAGTGTTCGAAGCTCCATAGCCTCTTTCTGAAGTCGCCGATTCTCTTCCGTTAGCTTCTCAACGCACCGTTTCAAGTACTCGCAATCCACCTCCGTTTGCTTTAATTTGGTTCTGTAACCCAAAAAAAAGGAAAACAAAAAAAAACTTGTAAGAGAAAAATTCGAACCAAAATTAACCGAAATTCGTTAACCAAAATTTATATACAAAGCAATTGGTTTGTGATTTTAATTTAACACCTAAAAAATTAGACAGAAATTTAACAGAAGCCTAGTTTTTTTTTTTCAAAAAACAGAAACCTATTTAAAAAAATTAAATTCTTCAGCTAAAATTGAACATAACCGAACCGAATCTAAATTAAAGAGACTAAACCGAATAAAACTGAATTTGCATCGAACCAAATCAAAATTAAAATGAATTTCTGCAAGTAAAATTGCGATTTTGCATTGTAGTTGGAGAAAATCTCACCTTGCTCTTCTGTTCTGGAACCACACCTCTACTTGTCTAGCTGTCAAGTTCAACTTCTTAGCCAAAGCTTGCTTCTGTTTCTGTAGAAATTACAAAAATACCCTTTCGTTATTTCAGAGTAATTACGATATTAATTCCATAATTGTTTTTCTCTAATCAGATTTTAGTTTTTACTTACGGGATTGAGAGTGTTGTGTTCCTTAAAAGTCTCCTCGAGAAAGGCAGACTGATCCTTAGATAATCTAAGTTTCTTCCTCGACGTTTCGCCGCCGTCTTCTTCCTCGTCAGAGGTTCCACGTGAGTACCCTCGATCCGGAGTGTTCTCGTCGTGGTCATCGCCGGTGTCGGAGATTCCTTCTCTTTCACTCCTCTTCCCGCTTATGGTGCTCGAGATCGTACTGTTTGGAGACGAAACTCCTGCTTCCTCCTCGCAATCCACCGTTAATGGAAGACTGTTCACATCTATTTTGCGAAGATCTGTAGATAGCCACACAAGAAAGAACAATCAAATATTGTATTTTAACGAGTATTAAAAATTTATAAACAAGATTCTATTAAACTCAAAACCAAATCTTTTGATCTGTTCATTAAATTAATAAAAATACAAAAATAAAAACAATTTGGGGAAGAAAGGCCTGATCTTTCAGTTTTGTGGGTTAAGTTGATATATGTTTTGCTTTTGACAAAAAAAATTAAAATTAAAGATAATGTAAGTGTATACCTGATGTAGGAGCGAATGTTTGGTTCCATGGAAAACTCTGGAGATTGTTGGAAATGGACGAACTAGGATTTAGATTCAGCTGAATAGGATTGTGATTTTGTGAGAATCCTAAGCTTAGGCTCAAACCCAGATCTTCTTTTCCCATCATCATGATGTATCCACAAGAACTTTCCTGCGTAAGGTTTTTTCCAGTGAATTTTTAAAGAAAACAGAGAAAGAAAAGGCTTTGATTTTTCTGAGTAGATCAAGGAATATAGTAAAACAACACAGATGAGAAATGGGTTATTGTGGAGAGAAATAAAGAGAGATGTGAGGTAGTGTTGAACAAAAGAGGGGGTTTAATATAGGAGTTGAAGTAATGAGATTTTGTCAGGTGGCTAATTACAATCCATCATTATTGATTTATCTTCTTTTTTTCTATTATTACTTTATCTCCAACTTGTCCCCTTTGGCTTTTGCCATGTCTTTCTTTTTTGTACTTTCCTAATAACATTGATATATTCTCTCTTTCTTTTTCCACAAGAACCCATGTTTTTATTTTTGACATCAAAACACCATTACATTAGAGGTTCGGAAAATGTCTCTCTTCAAGAACCCATGTAGATAGATATCCAAATTGTGTTCCAAATTGTAGATATCCAAATTGTGTTCGAGTGTACATATATATTCACATGTGTCTTTGTATCTTAAAATTTAAAACCACTGTCATTAAAACCAATAGAGCTCTCTGGTCACTATAAGAAAGTAATTTACAATTGAGAGATTATCACATACCTTATCCTTATTTACATAATTATAGAACAAAAAATGACATAGTTTTCTGATTAAAAAAAAAATAATAGTATTTCAAAAAAAATCATAGTAAGTAAAGGAACTAACGAAGCATAGTTTAGACCATGTACTGTAGTATCTGGAAGTTGATGAAGTACTAAATTTAGCTAGTTCTGCATAATCGATGTCAAAAAAAAAGAGCTAGTTCTGCATAATCATCAGCATCTTGTATTTGTTTAGTTTGACAAAAAAAATATATATACATGTATCTTGATTAGTTACGGCATACCAGGCTGAGTCAAATCTCCAATAGTGTAGCCAATTATTGGTCCAGCTTTTCTTTAAATAGTTCAAAAAAAAGGGAAACATAGGTATTTGGGGCTGTATAATATAATGGGAAAATTGACTAATTCGAGCGGTTGGTATAAAACACAATCCAGATGAATCTGAACTTCTTCAAAGTTGTGGGCCAATCAACGGTTATAAGCCAATCATATAAATGTGTGATGAATATTTACATATGAATAACATCATCATGGTTTCTACTTTCATACAACAATGACATTTTCAAAGCTATAACTTTATTTTTCCTTTCGTCAGGAAGCTATGAATGTTTTGTGCTTTCACCTTTATCTCCGTTATCATTTGACATATTTTTGAATTTTAAAATATGCATTCAAATGTGAGCAATAATATTGCTCAAGAGTGTTTAGTCACTTTGCGTATAGTAACATGGGAGATGGAGCATGTGGGTCATCCCGCGTGATCGTGCGTGTTGTGTTGTTTCCTCACGCGCTTACGTCATACTATCCGCAACCACGCGCCTCAATTAATGAATACTTGTTTAAGTTTGATCGCTTAATAAGTTTGCCTAATACGTAATACACTAAGCCTTTGCTAGTTTTTTTTTTTGGTGCTAAAGTATGCCTTTGTCTTTGGTTGTTTTGCATTCAAATACCCATACATGTTGCCATTTAACTACGGTTTGGTCATTTAAAATTTACATCTCAAGGATTTTTATTTTTTAGAATAGTAAAATGGATCAGAACATTTATAAAAAGAAGTTGTGTTATTTAACAGTGTATCACTAAGTATATATTTTTGTGATAAGTTAAAACAGGTGTATCTCACGCGTTCTTGTAGCGAGTGAAGAAATTCGGCAATTGGCGACAATTATTGAGAGTCTATGATGGTTTCGTGGTAAGAAATATCATGAATGGTGGGACCTACACTTTTACAGAAAATCCGACAACATGTCGGAGTAGTGTTTCAGTGTGATCTGCTGTCCCACGTGTTCATTCGCAGGAGTTACAAGCACTAGCTAAGTGCGTACGTACACGCGCGCATTGTTTTTTTTTTCCTTACCTTAATTTTTTTACTTATCAATCAATTTTTTTATCTTTTTAAAAATAACAAAAAGTATTTACAAAGGCTAAAACGCATGTTTTCTTTAATCATTTTTCCGATGAAAAAGAAATCCACAAAGCATTTAGGCAGTGAATGTGTGTGGTTTTTAAAGTGGATTTCAGCTTTTGATTTTTGAATTTTTGTTTTCAGTTTTTGGTTTTTATCAATAATTGTTTGTCTACTGATAAAAATGAACATAGATTGATATCATAAATTTGTTTTTAAGAAGCACATTATTACATGTTAATTGTAGAGATGTTTAAACAATTGAGATGAGGTTTTGTTTTCTGTGCTATTGTAGAAACGTTTACACAATTACATATAATAATTATTACATTACTAGAAACAAGTATTAGAATTTTGCTAGTTTGCTCTTATATAAAAAATGCTATTTAGTTAACAACGATTGATAAAAACATATGTTTTCAAATTCTTAAATGACTATAGTAAATTATTTTTTTAAAAAAACAATAACCAAAAATCTTTTGTAAAATTTGCAAACAATCAAGAATTCAGTTTTCCTTAATCATATACCTTGTCATTTACTATTTTTCTGAAAACAAATTTTCAGTATCTCAGCGACGGTATAAGTCTACATTACAGATCACAAGTTGAGTCACAATTCACAAAACAAACAAAACAATTTTTTTGTGTGTGTCAACTGTAATCATTCTATATGTCTTGCGTTGCGTAAGCCTCATAATTGTTGTTTTGCTTAATCATATGTTTCATGCATGTGTATGTTAGCTTTGATTGTTCTTTACAGCATTGGCCGTAGAATGAAGTCATCATTGGCGATATTTAGGGAATATTTTTTTCTAAACCTAACTAATCAATTATTTCCTATCTAAATATATTTTCCCCAGCTGTCCTCTCTCACATGTACTCGATCTACTTAACTGGAATATTTTTATATTTTTCCTGATTTAGGAAATTAATCAACATGCATAATTACGATATCAGACAAGGCCACTTATTCTGATTCTTTTTAAAAAATGCTCGGAATTTGAGGTTGCATCACATGATTGTTGGATTCTTTTCTCTTTCACATATCAACGAGTAATGCTTATATAGCAGCTTATGTGGCAGTTTTGTTTATTTATGACGTTAAATCTAGGCTTATTATGACTGGGTAATATGATCATTGAGATTCCCATGCCAAACATCAAGATAGGACTATAAAATCATCAATAATTTTGTTTGTTAAGTCATTATTTCGTCAATGATTCTAAGGAAAAAAGAATGAAAATGGTTAAGAATCTTCAGAGTAAGCTTCGAAACTGAAATAGAAAATGGAAAGAGAGGAGCAAGTTGGTTGGTGCGTAATTTTTTTTGCCTCCCATGTGGAACTTACGTGGCGCACATATTCCTATGCGAGCCAAAGCCACCCTTACAGCGAAGCACACGTGTGTGTGTGTGTGACACCCATACGTGCAATTTCTAGGCAAATATTTGCAGTCAACGGTCAAATATCCTTTCCTTTTTAATACTCGGCTAGAAAAGACAATGGAATCAATGAATGACTGTGTAAATTAATTCGGAAGAATTTCTTCCTCATTAGCTTCTTGATACGACGCCGTTTTCATCTCATATTGATGATTAGTGCTTAAGAGTGACTGAGATAAAGGTAGAGAATGAAGTGAAACTGACAACTTTAATGTAGCATGAGTAGATTTTATGTTTTTTCTTCGTTATTCGATTCTAGTGTTCTCTTTAGTGCTGTTTTGGATTTGATGAGCAAATGCTTTAAATCAGCATATAACTCGAATTCATCTCCGGCCCTAATTTCGTGAACACTTTCAAATCCGATCGACCATGTAGTGGTTGCTTGTAGATGGCGTCACATAGGAACAGAGTTGTTATAGATCGCCTAAGAATTTTGTTTTTATTGGAATGATGGATACGTGTATGCATTCTTGGAGACTTTATCCAAGTTTATGATTCCCTTGACGTTGGAAATGTGCTTCAACACTCAGTCATCTGTGCGTCTAATTATACTTGGTCACTGTGCTTGGACTGATTATGATTGATATGTAACAAGTTAGAGTTTCGATTCTTTCTTCGTATAATATTTTAGGCTGCTCTTTCTATTATTATTATTATTTTTTTCAGGAAAAAGATAACCAGTTACAGCCTAAATCCTACATTTCCGAACAATATTCTTGTCACGTTGACGGATGACTCTAAGAGAATTCGACTTGTTGTTAAATCCGAAGTTCACAATCAAATGCGTGAGTTTCTTCACTCCCAAAACAAGTAACAAGAATAAACTATGGACTAATATTTTCTTCTGTCTTCCAACAAATTCGATACTTCAAAAATACTGGATGTCTCTCAAGGTTTCAGTAGATAGAGAAGAATAGTGACTTGAGGTCTGAATCGTCTGATTATTACTTGGGACCCATATTTGTTACTATTTACACATGTACATAAGAAAAGCCTTTTTTTTCTCTTCCATTGTCTCATTACAAACATACAAAAAGGTCTACTGAAAGCAGAGAGAATAAGGGTCGAAAGGGTTCTGAGAGCTCAAGCAAATATCCTTTTAAAGCCACCAAGGCTTTCTTTCCATCAAGTCCTTTGAGAAAACATAACGGAACCTTGAACTGTATGGCAACCATTCAACAACCTGAGATGCTTTCTTGTAGTTTGTTTTACCTTCTACACATTTTTTTATCGATTCCCCAAACTTTTCGTCTGCGTTATCCATTAACCATCTCAGCAAATCATCAGAGCTCAGAGAAGCTTCCTTTGCAAACTTCTCTATGATCTTAGGTAAAATCACTCTCTTATGCATCTTTACAACCATGTTTGCCTGAATGAATTCTTTTTTCGAGGCTTCTAGTTCCTCTTTAACGTTTCTTGCAGTGTAAACTTTTAACTGCAATCAATTCAATCACATGAGCGGCAAATCAGTTCACCTATAATAAACATAAATTTTGCACAAGCAAACCAAGATTTTTGAAAGGAAAATGATTAAAGCCTTAGAATATATGAGAATGAGATTAGTAATAAAGAGTCAAAGAAGTTACCACTGGATCTGAGAGAGCACCAGTGCAAAGAGCAAAACAGAGAAGTGGCTCTGGTTTGTGGAGCCTGAAATTTGTGCTTACTTTATCTTCCGTTGGCTTTTTCCTCAAGGCGGTGGAGATAATGGTCTCAAGCCACTACAATGTAGATTATATGATTTTATGAAAATTATCAATGTTGAAACAGGATAAGGAATGATTGCTGCTTCTTACACGTCCATTTCGTGGAGTCTGGAAGCAGAAGATAGAGTACTCGATTGTGTTTGCATTTATGATATGGCCACCGATATTATACGCAGACTGCACTACACAATGAAACCCATTAGTCTCTGCTCAAAACATGACTCTATTTTCATGTTAAGCATTGAGATAAGAGTAGAATACCTTGTGAAACAATGCTAACCTTCTAAGATAATTAGCAGGTACACCATATGCCAAGTATGCCTGCAGGAGATATTTAGAAAGATTATTCTCATTGAATACTAAGTTAGCAAAGCCAAAAGGATCTTGTATCAGATCAATATGTTCTTACATGCATGAAGAGAGCATTGTAAATGTTGATCCAAAATGCTAACTTTGCATTGCCTTCCATTTGATTAATAGTAACTCTCTCCAGTTGTTCAACAAGGAGCCTGTAAGTCAAATTTAGGTCCTTTTTGTTAGTGAAATCAATTCAGAGGTTTTTCGAGAAAAGAATCTAATTGTTTGACTAACCTGTAGTTGTTAATAGCATATGATGCTTGAGAAAATCTTCTCTTGTCTGATGAGATCCAAGATACTTCCACCATGGATCTGCAGGACCAAGCTCGGTCTTCACCCATAATGTTCTTGGGGATAATCACGTTGCTATTCACCGATCTTGATAGGATTGTTGATCTTCTTCTCTTCTCAGGATCTGCTGACATGGCACTGCTGCAGAGCCAGAAGTACACTGAAGCCATACACTTGACAATTTTTTCAGACAACTTGCTTGGGCATTGGTACAAATGATCCTTTAGAGTTCTCTGTGATGGAGATTTCTCCGTTATTGATTCCTTAGAACATGACTCAAATAAAACAAAAGAAAATCTATAAGTTACTTAGAAAATGTCTCAAGAATGATGATATTTGGGGGATAAGAGCTTTTTCTCATTTACTTTTGCTTGGCTTGAATAATTTGTTATTGGAGGAATACAGTTTTTGTCCTGGAGCTGAGAAGACTGGTTCTTTTTGGAGGTTTTTCTGCTCAAATCTTTAAAAGTAAGCAGACCATGCCAAGGCTTTAGAGGGAAATTATTGGAGGAACAAAATGCATTTGAAATGACAGTTGGGTGTTTTCTTGGTGGCTGCTTCATATGATGAGCTGGAGAAGAAATGCCTGAGCTTTGTTCTGAAGATGCTCTGCTAATCGTCTGTTCAAAGATACTCCGATACAGAGAGAGCACGTGATGCTCGCGATTTGCGACCTCTGCTTCTAGCAATTCAATCTCTGTGATAAGTTCCTTCGCCTGAATCATCCAAATCACATAAACAAAAGTCTCACAAATATGAACAAGCTGGATTTTCTCTTTAAGTAAAATGCTGAAGAGTTACCTGAGCAGAAAAATGTCTGTGCCCTGGAGATAAACTGCTTGAAGCACGGCCCATTGCTTTCTCTAAGGCCATTCTCAGAGATTTTTCCTGTTGTAGACGAAGATGAAGCTGCTCAACCTGTGTAGCCAAAATCAAAAGAGACCATTTTACATGAATCCAATAACTAAAGCATTTCATTTACAGAACATGGTAATGCATGTTAAAGACGAGGAGACATGAAACTGCTGAGCTTACATCTCGTTCCAAAGATGCTCTATCGTTAGAAGGCGGGTTGTTTTTAATAAATGTCTGACGATTATGCAGAGACTTTGGTCTTTTGTTTGCTGCTGTCTGAACAGAAGATGTCTATGAACCAGAAAAAAAGAAACGAAAAACAAATCAACTTCAATAGAGGAAAAAAGAATACTACAACATACAAATTTTTTTTTTTTTTGGTAAAATACTACAACATAGAAATTTAACGGTCTTACTGGCATTTTAGTGATGGTCTTGGCAGATTGTGAAGCTCCATCACTAGAAGCATGGAGATCTCGCTCTGACGATGCACTGTAATTGGAAAGATCATAAAACCAAATTTACTTTTGGAAGAAACATTATAAACAGAAGAAAGCTTTATTTTCACAACAGTCTCTTCTATTTCGGTCACGTCTAAGTAAACACTTGGTGTGCAAGAAACAGAGAGAGTAACTTTCAAACCCTGAAGGCTGAAGCTTAAGAGGTGATCTCAAATACCTATTAATGGAGATAACGTATATACTCAATCTCAATATGGTCAAGATTGAGATTAAACTATGGGAAGTGAGGGTACCTTTTAGACCGTCCATGTTTATGAGAACTCAGGCAATGCCAAGAATCTCCATTTTCTCTGCTTCTTCTCTGCTTTTTATCGTCTTTATTCAAATTCGAATATTCCATCTCAGTCAAATGTTAAACCCAAATAAATGAACGTGAAATATCGATCAAAGTCTTCCAAAAACATAAGTGAAAAGTGAGAAAGAAGGAATGTGGTTTGGAGAAATATGATCAGAGAAGGTCCAGAATGAGTGAATTCAAATTTGCGGAGAGGAGAAAGAATGAATAAGTAAATTTGCAGAGAGGAGAAACTGTAGCTTACCCCAAAAGAAAGGGGACCAGGTTTGATCAGATATTGCTGCCTGCAAAAATTCAATTCCATTCACTTTGTGGTTGTTGAATTGCATTCAATTCGTTTTTTTTTGTTCAATCATTTTAAATTCCTTAATCCATTTCCCTCCTTTTTCGAGAAAAAAACACACGACTTTTCAAACTATTATTACTACTCGTCCAACAAAAAGGTTTCTAATTAATACTGCCCCTAAATACTTGTTCTTACATATGTATTTTTTTGTGTGGTGGAAAATTCGTATAAATTAGTTGTATTTCGTCTCTGGTAAAAAATACTGTTGGGGAACCCGCCAAAATATAAGGGAGAGTACAATAGTTAATGTTGTCGATGTCAGTACGATTAAATTGAGAATTTAATGTTCCGATATAAATTTCTTGTCGTTTTCCTAATTTTGAGAAGTCCGTTAAGATATATATTTAACGTGACAATATATTTTCGGAATTTTCACTTTCCAGTTTCCACCAAACACTAGTAATTCATAATTACAATGTTAACAATTTCTTGGAAGTCAGACATCACATGGGCTTTCAGATTTGGGTTGGCCCAAGATCTTAGTTTTTGGGTTTCGATAAAACTTTCTTTCAATCTCTATTAAACATACATTCACCGGCTCCTACACCGCATGATGTAAACTATAAGGTTATATTCACATAGAAATTACGACCAAAAAAAAATATTCACATAGAAATTTTCAAAACAAAAACTAAATAGGTGGATAAAATAGCTAGAAATTTTTTTTTCTAAATAGAATTATAGTTAGGTGAAGTTTTGAGTAACGTTTTTACATACAATGATTTAGTGACAACAGACCAATAAGATTTGACAAGTCCCAAGATGCGAAGCTGCAATAGAATATGCCACCGACGAAGAAAGCCACGTGGACGGCTGAGAAAACATCTCAGGGAATCCTATTAAGATCTGACCAAAGCAAAATGAATATTTTCCTTTCTGGATAAGCCGTTCTCCTCGTGTCCACGTGGCCTTTGAGACATGGGACCTACTAATCTAAACCCATCCACTCATTATGCATATCGTGATCATATACGTTCGTCCTTTTTTCTGGTACGCTCGTCCTTTTTTTTAAGAAAAAAGAAAGAAAAAAATCAAAACCTTCGTCTAACCCTAGTTATCATGATTAATTGATTATGGTACTAATACTATGATATTTATATTAACTACATGGTAAATTTTTTTTTTTCGTCAGCTATAGATTTCTGAGTAAAATATGACGTATGTTCGGAAAAAAACACAAGGAAATTGTCGATTATTAACTATTAAGTATTAACTATGTATTTAACAATACATGTATACGACTAAAAATCTAAAATTAGAATTAAAAGACCCATGAATCAATATATCTTAAAAAAGCTCGTGATGGCGATTTCATTGTAGGTTTCTATAAAACCAAAATATAATTTTCTTTATGTGTGAGATGTTAACATTTGATATCTTTATTTAATTAAGCAGATGTCATGTTTATTTACTTTTGCTGGAACGTAACTTCTAAAAATCTAGTCAGGGTCCTGTATGGAACGCGTGAAGGGCTTTTAAATATTTTAATATTTGATAGTGTAATTAATCTTGTGGATAATAATCTTCGGCTAATTGAAGACGTTTGGTGGAGCCTCCACACAAACCGTGGAGGGTTACTGGCTTAGCAGTTGAGTACTTGACACCTATAGTCTTATTATGTTATGAAAACATGTTATGTTCGAGTATTTGATCTAATGATTTGAACTCTTTTGCTATACCAGTTCTTAAACCTACATACTTTTCTAAACTATTCGCTTTATATATGTGTGTTTTTTTTTCCAGAGTTTAAGCCATCGTAGTCTCTTATGTTTTTTGAGTGCTTCTCGTTACAAACCATTCAGGGCCGTGCCCATGTTGTAAATTTGAAACATTGGCTTAGGGCCAAATTTTTTTAACATTTTAAAAAGTTTATTTATGTTTACCAAAAGATATAATAGATTATAATTTGAATGGTATATATATACTTTTAAAGTTTAAAATATATATTTTTATATTCTAGCATAGTTTCTACAATTTAATCATATAAAATACTTTAGAACAAAATTAAAATATCAAAATAAAATTTAAATATTAAAACAAAATTAGTATAAGATGTAAAATCTTTACTGATTGATGTTTGTAAATTTTTCTCTCTTATTTTTTTTTGTCTTTAAGAAAAATTGTTTAGGACTCAAAGCCTGAGCACAGGTTAATGAAGCATATGCTTCAGGACCAGAAGAGTTAAATATTTTTTTGGGGCCAATTTTCCAAAAGTTTTTAAGTTAGTCAAGTGGTTTTGTGAATAAATGAAATTATGTTTGATTAGAGGTTTGCTTGGGTTCAATTCTTTCCAAGTGCATATTTGTCATTTTTCTTCTTTTTGCCAATTATTTATGGGTTAAGCTGCATTAAGAAGAGTTTTAAGGAGCTAATTTTTTTTTTTCGTTTGTAGTTAGAAAAATTTGAGGCACGGCTCTGTTAGGACCTCAAATAATCTGGACGTGGCTCTGAAACCATTTGTCTTCCTTTTTAGTGGTTTATTTTTTAAACAAAGCAACAAAAATACATCGCAAGAGAAATTAGAAACACTTGTTTGTTGAAGCAAGTGTTTTTCATTTTTTGGGGGATAATCTTGAATCTTGATAAGAGAAAGCATTGCAATAGAAATGGCGAAAAAAGCAAAAAAAGATAGAAAAATATCAATACTCTATATTAATTGTTTTGTTCACATTGCCTCTATTTTCTCACGGTTTTTGTTGTTTTTTACATATTTTTACGTTTATTAAACTTAGAAAGAGATTCGCTATTATCTGGCTTATGACACTTGGATAATTTATTTACAAAAGCATTTAACCTCAAAACTAGCCTATTATCTATCAATCGGCGTGCATGTATATAGAGGAAAAAGCATAAGTGACAGTTATCCAATTTGTTGTGCATTAATCTGTAATTTTGTTTTCTTTCTAATTTTAAGATATAGTATCTCTTGTGAGGCTAAAACGAAGTAACAGATAAACTGTTTCTTAATAGTAATTAAATTTTAAAGATTTAGACAGCCTGTATCCTTACAAGTTTTATACAAAAAAGGGCATTAATCTGTAACAGTAACAGCTAATTGGACTAAGTTCAAGGATTTAAAAGTTTTTTTTCCAAAATAAAAATCTACTAATCTGGACACGTTGCACTTACTATAAGTCAATGTGAAATTGAAAAAGAAAAGGAAAAATCCACCTACAATACACCAAATATTTTCGATTTATATATATAACAACAATAGAGAAAAAAAAATCTTACAAAAAATCCGGCTAGATAAATCGTATTTTTGTAATAATTCCGACCAGATAAACCGATATTATTGTCTTTCTTCCGCTCCTTGTCTCTCTCTCTCTCTCAATTAGATTCTGTGCTTGTGCGATCAGCTAAGATCCGATCCGCGACGAAGAAACACGTTTCAGCTCTGATCAGATCCGATTAAGGGATAAGAAAACCGGGTTCGGGTCATGACGCGTCGATGCTCTCACTGCAATCACAATGGCCACAACTCTCGGACATGTCCCAATCGTGGGGTGAAGCTTTTTGGCGTTAGGCTCACCGAAGGTTCGATCCGGAAAAGTGCTAGTATGGGTAATCTTAGCCATTACACGGGCTCTGGATCGGGTGGGCATGGAGGAAACGGGTCGAATACTCCTGGTTCTCCCGGTGATAACCCTGACCATGTCGCTGGCGATGGTTACGCTTCTGAGGATTTCGTTGCTGGCTCTTCCTCTAGCCGCGAGAGAAAGAAAGGTATCTATCACTTTGATTCATGTCCAATTTCTGTTTTTTTTTTTTTTTTGTTGGAACATTGAAACATTTCTATCAAATTTTTGTGCGTTTTTTAAGAACAGAATCAATTCAATCGAACCAGCATGACCGGTGAAATTGAGTGTTTTTTTTTTTGCAAAAAAGTGATTAAGTTGGATTATGATAATTGCAAAGTTTGATATGTTTATTGACGAAATTTGCTATCTGGATAAAGATTTATTTTTTTTGTTTTTGGTTTTGTAGGAACTCCATGGACAGAGGAAGAACACAGGATGTTCTTATTAGGTTTACAGAAGCTGGGAAAAGGAGATTGGCGAGGTATCTCTAGAAACTATGTGACTACAAGGACACCAACACAAGTTGCTAGCCATGCTCAAAAGTACTTCATTAGGCAATCCAATGTGTCTCGTCGCAAAAGACGTTCTAGTCTCTTTGATATGGTTCCTGATGAGGTTAGTCCAATCTTCATTCAAAACACCTATTTGATACGGTCTTAAAGCATTTCGTATTAGAAAGCATATGAACTTCAAAAACTTGGTCAAGCATTTGATTTGAGATAGGGCTGGTCCTAAGCTTTTAAAGCATTGAACTTCAATCACTTTTTCTCATTGGAATTTGATCTTTGAAATGCAATCCTTTTTCTTTAATCTCGTTATGTAACTTATCTATGCAGGCAGGAGATATTCCAATGGATTTGCAAGAACCAGAAGTAGAGAACATTCCCGGGGAAACAGAAATGCAGAGTGCTGATTCTGTTCATCAGACACTTGCTCCTAACTCCCTTCAAGCACCATCGATCTTGGAAATCGAAGAATGTGAATCCATGGACTCAACAAACTCTACCATCGGCGAACCAACCGCAACCGCAACCGCTGCTGCTGCTTCTTCTTCTTCTTCCATACTAGAAGAAACCAGACAACTGCAATCACAACCGCAACCGCAACTTCCAGGCTCATTCCCCATTCTATATCCAGCCTACTTCTCACCGTATTACCCGTTTCCATTCCCGATATGGCCTGCTGGTTACGTTCCTGAACCAACCAAGAAAGAGGAAACACATGAGATTCTCCGACCAACTGCTGTTCACTCAAAAGCTCCTATCAATGTTGATGAGCTTCTCGGTATGTCTAAGCTCAGCCTTGGAGAGACCAACAAGAATGGAGAATCCGATCAGTCTCTTTCGCTGAAGCTCGGTGGAGGTTCGTCTACAAGACAATCAGCATTTCATCCGAACCCTAGCTCTGATAGTTCAGACATCAACAGCGTGATACATGCACTCTAAGGATTTGCGGAAGTGACTGTCCAAAGTGGAAATTTGCAGGCAAATCTCTTGTGTTCGGGTTTGGGGGTTTACAGGTTAGTTCTTGGTTACAGTAACTTAAATAAGATTTGCTTTGTTAGGTTTGTTTAACTGCTTAGGGTCTTTTAGTTCAGCTTTGATTATTAGGGAGAAAAAGAAAAAGAAAAGAAAAATGGAAAAATCAAAACATTTTTTTTCTTACAATTTTCTTTGCAATGTATGCTTTTATTTTGGCTTTAGGATGCGTTAATTCTCTCGTTTATTTGTGTACTAATTAGCTCTGAATAAATAAAAGTCAGTTGTTTATCGTCTGACCAAACTATAACCGAATTGGAAACGGAATTAATTCAAGCCGAACCGGTTTAAACCGACTTGAAAATGGAATGAAATCAAGCCCATGGGTTAGTTTAAGTTATATAAGCCCATAAATGATAAATCCCATTGCTCGAGCAAAAATGGCGAATCAAGAAATATCGAATACTCGAACATGGACACGATTTTCAATCTCAGAAGAAGAAGCTCGCGGCAATGGCCGATCAAGAAGAAGCCAGCGAACAGCTCTCGAATCTTTCTCTTCTCCGTACCTCTCATCGCTGTTTTCATCATTTTCTTCACTTACTCCGAGATACCCAATCCCCTGTTCTCGATCTCTGCTCTCTCCGGATCTGTTCAATTCCCGCCGTGCAGATCGGAGATACTAGAACGCACTCTTCTAGGACAGAAGTTTCTGTGGTACGCACCACACAGTGGGTTCAGCAATCAGTTGTCAGAATTCAAGAACGCGGTTTTAATGGCGGGAATACTTAATCGAACCCTAGTTGTTCCTCCTGTTCTCGATCATCATTCCGTGGCTCTCGGAAGCTGCCCTAAGTTTCGTGTTTCGAGCCCCAGTGAGATTCGTGTCTCAGTTTGGAATCACTCTATTGAGCTACTCAGAGCTGGCAGGTTCAGCTTCAAATTTCGTCGAAATCTCTCGTTTCGTGTTTGTATACTGTATTGATTGAGCTCGTTTTGTGTTACAGGTACGTTTCTATGGCTGATATTGTCGACATTTCGTCTCTGGTGTCTTCTTCGGCTGTTCGAGTCATTGATTTTAGGTACTTCGTATCTCTATTTTGTGGTGTTGACATGGAAACTCTATGCTCGGGTAAATTATCAGAACAGTCTCGATCTTACAAAGACCTAGAGCAGTGTGGTTCTCTGTTATCTGGGATACATGGAAATGTAGATAAATGTTTGTTTGTTGTAGATGAAGATTGTAGAACAACGGTTTGGACTTATCAAAATGGAGATTGATTTCGATGGGAAATTGGATTTATTCCAGCCTGATGAAAAGCTGAAGAAGAAGAAGAAGAAGATATCTTTTGTGAGAAGGAGGAGAGACGTGTATAAGACTCTTGGATATGGTAGTATAGCAGATTCTGTAGCTATTCTTGCATTTGGAAGCCTCTTCACGGCTCCATACAGAGGCTCGGAACTGTATATCGACATCCATGAATCTCCCAGGGATCGAAAGATACAGTCTTTGATTAAGAAAGTTGAGTTTATTCCTTTTGTCCCGGAGATAATGAATGCAGGAAAGAGACTTGCCTCGGAGATGATAAATGAGCCGTTTCTTTGCGCGCAGCTTAGATTGCTAGATGGACAGTTCAGGAATCATAGAGAGAACACGTTTACGGGATTAAACCAGAAGTTGGAATCTCTGAGCCAAGAGAAGAAGAAGACTCGGCGTCCAATTCACGTGTTTGTAATGACAGATCTTCCTGAAAGCAACTGGACCGGAACTTACTTGGGTGAAGTGTCTAAAAACTTATCAAGTTTCAAGCTTCACTCCTTGAGGGAACAGGATGAAGTAGTACTACAAACCCAACAAGAGCTTGCTTCTGCTCGTCACGGTCAGAAATTCGGATCGATTCCAATGAATCTTGATACTGTTAAGAAGATGCAGAACCATTGCTATCCTAGAGAAGTATCTAGTGTGCAACTTTACTTAGAAGAAGTTGTTTGCAGCTGTGCTTCGTTGGGTTTCATTGGCACTGCTGGATCCACAATAGCTGATAGTGTAGATCTGTTGAGGAGATTCAATGCTTGTAGTAGTAGTAGAACTCAGACTTCACTGCAATGAATTTGGCTAAAATGATTCAACTTTTATTATAACATTGATTCCAGATTGGAAAATTTTCCCAGACTTGGTTTCTGCTTGCAGATTTGAGTAGCCATGGCTTCAGTGTTTCTCCAACTCTCTGGTAGACTGAAGCAGAAGGCCAAATGGGCTAAACCTAAATGTGGGCTAAACCTAAATGGGCTTAATCGGCCTTAATGACGTGTTAAAATCAGGAGCGTTCAATTTAGGGCGATGACTCGAGAATGTTCCCGCGTTCACCGATGAACTCTTTAGTAAAAGTCAGATTGTACTGGAAAGTTAACCGCGGTGATTTTATAATCAGATTCCACGTGGCACGTAACGCCCTCTTTTTCTTCCTCGTGTTGATTTTGTTTTTGTCCCCTTTTGGTTTCCCATTCACAAGGCGCGATTTGGGTCACCTCGCATTTCAAACCCTTCTCTTCCGGCGTAAACCCTTCCTCTCGCTCTCTCTATCTCTGGTTACAATCCCTAGTTTCATCTCCGACTTTGCCTACTTCACCGTATTTAGCGATGCTTCCACACTCGTACACCGTCGATTCGCTTTCGCAATCTCAAGACCTAGCATCAGATATACTCGCAGCTTCGACGCCGTCGAATATCTCCGCTGCTTGCTCTTCCGTGGAATCGTTTCTGCAGTCGCACTCGCCTGATCAGTGTCGCCATTTCTTCTCTATTACCTTTCCGAGTTTAATCTGCAAGCTCTTCGGCTTCGGCGACGGAACCGCCGCATCTCCGGTACAGTCGTCGCTGCCGCCGAACGGTTGGGTCGATATAATCTCTGGGGCGAATGATTTGGATTTAGCGGAGAGAGTTTTCTCTCTCTTATCCCCTAGTGGAATACTCATGAGCTCAATCTTTGCTGTTGATAAGCTATCTCTTGTTAAGTACGTTTTCCCTACCGAACGTTTACCGGAGTATGCTCGATTCATGCTCTCAAGTGAGAAGGATCGAAGCGCGTTATCTAATCTGTGCCCCTTTTTAAAAGGTAAAATCGAGGAGGATTCTCTTCGGGGTTCATCGTATGAAGTTCGGCTAAATGTTTTCGAGTATTACATGTTTTGGCTCTCTTATTATCCCGTTTGTAGAGGAAACAACGAAATTTCGGCTGTGATTCCGATCCAAAAGAGAAATATGTTTAGGCTAAAAAATTGGACTCGTATCAAAGGTTTTCCAGGGAGTAACAAGCGTGATTCAGATCAGAAATTGGAGTGTAATATCTACATAAGGCTGCTTTACTCTTATCTGAAAACTTTTGTTCCTGTTTTTGACTTAAACGCACACCAGCCTTATCGTAGCTCTCTTTTGCATTACGGGAATGGATATGATGGGTCGGTAATGACAAGAGCTGAGTTCGTGGTGAATGTGTTCGTACACTATTGGCTTGTTGAGAATGACTTCTCGCCGTTTCCAGTTGTTACGGCTAAATCTTTTGGTGTGGCTCCTCCTTTCCGTACTGCTGTGGAGGAGATTCCACCTACTTGTGGGTTAGAAGATGTAGTGAAGTTACTCGTGAAGTATCTGAATTTGAGCTGGGTTACAAATGGTCTTGGGAGTGAAAACTACACTGAGTATGGCGAGAGTCCACGGTGGAAGACACCGACTTCAGGATCCTCATTCCATGTAGCTAATTTGAGCCTCAGATCGCTCACTTCCTGGAATACCCTTTTACAGAGGCCGCTTTATCGTTTCATATTGAGGAGTTTCTTGTTCTGTCCCCTAGGAAGCTCTATTAAGAATGCATCTCAGGTGTTCTCCATCTGGATTATGTACCTGGAACCATGGATGAGCAGTTTGGATGATTTAACAGATCTCGAAGCTGCTTTAAATGGATCTGTAAAAGATGTGAAAAAGGAAGAATCTTCTAAATCACGTGTTTGTGGGTACACGTCTTTGTGGCAGAGCTATGTGATCTCCAATTATCTTTACTACAGTTCTCTGGTTATGCATTTTATTGGCTTTGCCCACAAGTTCCTTCACACGGATCCAGAAACAATAACTCAGATGATTCTGAAGGTTTGATCCTTGACTTAGGCTAAATTTTCTCAAATTCATGGTTATATCTGTTGGAATATGGATTCGAAGACTTCTGTTTAATGTGACTCAGTGATTCTATTGTGTTTCTCTAAATAGGTGATGAGTATATTGACATCATCAAAAGATCTTTTGGTTCTGATGAAGAATATTGACAAAGGCTTTCACTCTAAACAAACTGGACCAGGAAGCTCAACAGTGAACGAATATACTAGATTTGCTCCATCTATCCGTGAGCAGTTGAAGGTATGCATATATTTTTCTTCAACACCACTTGTTATCTGTTCTCGGCGTTGTCATCATAAAAAAAGGGAATTTTGCAAATTTCTTGCCACCAGCATTTTTGTATAGTAAACAGAACTCTGCGAAATCGTTACCTCTCACATAAGTAGACAGACTATGTTGAAAAAAATCATGTTTAACTGCTTATGGAACTTCAGGACTGGGAAGATGGGCTGTGTGAGAGCAATGCTGATGGGTCATTCTTGCATGAAAACTGGAACAAAGACTTGAAACTCTTTAGCGATGGTGAAGATGGCGGACAACAACTGCTTCAGGTGAATGTCTTCCCTTTATTATCTACTGCAGTGATAGGTTAGGAATAGAAAGCAGAAAGTGGATATTTGTAGGAAGATATCTAGAACTGTGCTTAAAAATAGCTCATTCTTTGAAAAACTTATGGATTAGCTTCCCATGTACTTGTGTTCTTGTTTTAAGGATTCTATCTGAGTTGACGGAACATGAAATTCTGTTGCTTGACAATTAAAGAAATCGCTTGCGTAAATATGCTTTCAGGACTAGTTCTTCTGCGTTTTGGTTTTTTCAGTACTCTAGTTGTATCAGTGAGTCATCAGAACCCTGAGCACCAATGCACAATTCTTTCTTGTTTCGGATACTCTATTTCAATTGATATTACACTTGAATTCCTTAGCACATGAGCTACTGAAGCTTAAAACTTGCTTAACATTACTGAAGGCTTTTTGTTATTTGCATTTGCAGCTATTCATACTGCGCGCAGAAGCCGAACTGCAAGCTGTGCCAGAGAAAAACCTCTCGGAGGCCCTTAAGTGCATAGATTCACTCAAACAAGTGGTGTCAAACTTCTTTGGCGGGCATGTCATAAAACCAATCGCGTTTTCCTTAGAGCTAGACCAGCCCCATAAAAACCGTGACGAGCTCTTCAAGCCACGCGGTGCTAGGAACCAAATTGCAGGAAGTATGAAGTACAAAGGAGACTGGATGACCCGTCCCGTGTCAGAAGACGAGGTTGCATGGATGGCTAAGCTGCTAATCAACATCTCTATCTGGCTCAATGAACGTCTCGGGCTAAACCAACCTGTGACCAACAAAGACAAGAAGGAGAATTCAGAGTCGGTGTCATATGTAGACGTGTCAGAGGAGGATGCGAGAAATGTTGCTGGACCTGGAGATGCTGCGAGGATGATGATGCGAGGGATGGTGATGGTATGTGGTTCGGTGTTGCAGCTGATGAGAAGATATGGTGTTCGAGTCAACTTACGGGTCATGGCGTCCAAAAAGTTTCTGATGCTTTTATTTCTCTATTTCTTGTTTGTTGTACTCAAAAGGATTGTCACTAGGATGATTTGGTAATAGAAAGTCGCAAGTATAAACACTGTTTAGAAGTATAGCACACTATCCCTCTAACTCAGGTAGAGGGTTTGATAGAAATTGCAAAGCCTTTCAGGTGACAGAGATTTTTTCGTATATACGTGTCGTTGCCACTATGAGTAAAGTATTGCCTAGAAAAGGGAGACGTGTCTTTGCTTGTCACAACCAATGATACATCTCCACGTAATCACCTCCACGTGTCGTCTGCCAGTAAGATCCACCGTTAGTAATTTTTTCTTCTGTCGTTCGTCGTGGAGTCGCAGACTCGCCGAACACCTCTACTCTGTCAAACTTTGAATTTCTACAGGCTTCCTTCGCGATCTGAACGTTCCAAATCGACTGGTGAAATCTGTCGTCTTCTCGGATCTGTAGAGGGAATTGTTAAAGCTTCTCAGAGGTTTTGATTCCAGATCTTCTGCGGTCATCAGCCACCATGGCCGCACCATTTTTTTCAACTCCATTTCAGCCTTATGTCTACCAGGTTTGCTTCTCTCGTCCCCTCATGTCGTATGAATGTGTGTTTCCATGTTGAGTGTTTGCTAGCTTCTCTGCCGAGAGAAATGCTGGGTGTGTATTAGAGGTTTATTGTGATTAGGAGTTAGAGAATTCCATGTTGATTTGTTGTCATTTCCTTCAATTAGTTTTAGTTTACGGAGTTAAATTATAATCCGACCAATTGGGTTTCCATGTATCTGTTGCGATTGCTAAAGCTAATATAGAAATTTCTCCTCGTCCATAGATTTCTGAAACGATATGATTATGCCATTGATAATAATCTTGCGTCACTAAGGAAATTGTGTTGTCTAACATGTGATCAATGTGATGCAGAGTCAACAAGATACGATTACACCTTTCCAAATTTTGGGTGGTGAAGCCCAAGTTGTTCAGGTAGGTCGCCTTGAAACAGTGTGATCGTAGCATTCTGCAGTTATATACCATATCTTTTTAACTTCCAACTGTTGATCGTTCTTGGCAGATAATGTTAAAGTCAGAGGAGAAAGCCGTTGCTAAGCCTGGTACATTACGTTCCCTGAAAAATGACTTCTCTATTCATTTTTATAAGACTGTTTGGATTTTATCTGTCTTACTTATTTGATACGGTGCTGTAGGTTCCATATGCTACATGTCTGGGTCCGTCGAGATGGAAAATACATACACTCCTGAGCAAGAAGTTGGAGTTTTGCAGTGGATTTTGGGCAAAAGTGTTAGCAGCGTAGTTCTTAGGAATACTGGGCAAAACGATGGATTTGTGGGTATTGCTGCACCTCATTTGGCTAGGATACTCCCGGTTAGTGACTTTTATTCCTCCATGCTGCCATATTCGTGTTCCGTATCACCCTTACTGTACCACTAGTTCTAATTCGTGATTGCTTTTGTGATCTTCGGTTATTTTGTTTCCCTGTAGATCGATTTGGCAATGTTTGGAGGGGAGATCTTATGCCAGGTAGAGTCTTTGTTCCTATAATGTGGAACCTTCGCTCTCATCTTCTTCCTCCTTCAAATCAAGTTTCTATAGAGTTGCATGACCTTGTCTTCTTGTTGTGTAGCCAGATGCATTCCTCTGTTCTGTCAATGATGTGAAGGTTGTCAACTCCATTGACCAGAGGGCAAGAAACATCGTTGCCGCTGGTGCTGAGGTAAGATGATAAATTGCACTGGCTCGAAAACATATAAATTTTTTACAGATGGGGGAAGACTTCTATATCGATGTGCCTTCCAAAAATGAAAGAGATTACCCAATTATCTTTTTTTTTTTTCTTCCTATTCTGTGTTTGTATGGGATCTTTTGATGCAGTATCTACATTAGTAGTCTTACAAATGCGACAATCCTTCTCTGGCTTTTCTACTCACTTTAGTATTGTTGTTGTAGGGATTTCTGAGACAACGCCTATCTGGACAAGGTCTTGCTTTTATCCTCGCTGGTGGCTCAGGTAAGGTTTTATCTCAACACCATGTTGTATTCCTGTTTCGGCCCTCATCCCCCAAAAAGAAACTGACATTGCCATCACAAACATGTTAGTTGTACAAAAAATTCTGGAGGTAGGAGAAATTCTCACCATTGACGTGTCTTGCATCGCTGCTCTCACTCCCTCAATCGATGTCCAAATCAAATACAATGCTCCTCTGAGACGAGCAGTATTTGGGGTACATTCCTTTATACTGTCCCTAATTGTGTGAGAAGAAGATTCAGGTTTTTGGTTTGTTCCATTTCTCATGATCTGACTTTTTTCTGTGCAATCCAAAAGGGTGATAACGTAGTAATGGCGACTCTAACGGGACCAGGAATCGTCTTCATCCAGAGTTTACCGTTTCATCGGCTCTCCCAGCGTATTGCAAGGTAAAAGAAAAAAACCGACAATAATCCCAAATCTTCCTCTTGGTGGCTTTTTGTGTAACAAAAGTGTGTGCGACTGGTTTTTGTGACAGGTCGGTGACGTCACCAAACATGAGAGAAAATCCGAGATTGTTGATACAGATAGCGGCATTTGCCTTCCTTGCATACGCTGTGATTTTATCTTCGTTGATCTTAACCGAAGTTTGAAAAGCAGAAAGAGAAACAAAGGAATTGTGATTTGCTCCGACCAACAAACTAACGATGTAATTGTTCACTTAGCTCGGCTTTGGACTCTGGATAGAATGAAATGATAGATATATCATATATATACGCTCTCGCTCACCATTTTTCCTTTTTTGCCTTTTTGTTTCTTTTAGTTACAAAAGGCGTAAATGTGTCTAGTTACAAGATCAAATATCTTTTATATAATTTTCTTACAAAAGTTGGTGACCGTCTTACTTACCCAAGAGTTAACATGAGTGTAAGTGGGTTAGCTCTATTTTGCAAAAACTTATAAGGCCGGTGGAGTATACATCACGTTTTCTTGGTTGAAATTACAAAACATTTTCAGATATTCTTTGAAACTTCCATAAGTTTTACTTGAGCTTTCAAAAATTTAGTCAGGTTCAAAAAAAAAAAAGATAAGAGTAATTCTTAAAGATTCTTACGCGCATAATTTCTCAAGTCACAGAAATGTTGTAGGATAAACCATATTTGAATTGTAAAAACAAAACATTTTAAAACCTATTTCTTATGTCAATAGATTAGACGAATAAACAAACCAAGAACAAGCGTTGTCCTCGAACAAAAGGTGGACTAGGAAAAAAGAAGATCCGAAATCGAATTCCATTACAAAAGAAAAAAACAACATTCCATGACAAAAGAGCTCATTTCTTTGTTCGTTACATAAAAATAAGAAGATTTCCTTATCTTATTTTTCTCCCGCCTTGAAGCATTTATACAAAAAACAAAAAAAAAAAGTTCGAAAATCAAGCTCGAGATCGCTCTCCCTTCCCGCGTCTAGAGTATCGTTGTTTATCATCACTCACATCAGTAATCACCACCGGTGGAGACCGCTCGTACCTTGACGGCTTCCTCTTGAAATGCCTATCCTCGTCGCTAGATTCGTATTCCGCTACTTCGAATTCCTTCCGACTGTGACGGTGGATTGATGTCCCCACCGCGACAGCGGCAGGGACAGGCGGATCCGCCGCGGAAGTAGAAGTCGACGAAGATCCCTTTCGTCGTTTGCTGGAAGATTCTTCCTCCGGGAAGCTTATCCGAGCGAATACACTTGACTTGTGACTATTATCGATCTCTGATTTAGTCGCAGCGGCTGGCTCCGAAGACGGAGGTTCCGATCGTTTACGGTGGTGATGTTGGCTTCGTTCCGAATCGCGGTGGTGACGTTGGTCTCGGCTTCTATCTTCATCGCGACGATCGCGAGTGCGGTGGTCGTGTTCACGATCTATGTCTTGGTTACGTGACGACCTTTCACGGTCGCGTTGCCGATCGCGTTCCTCCGGATACCGCTCGGATTTTCTCTTGGAATCGCGTGAGGGAGAGTTGGTTTTACGCGGTGGTGGATGCTCTGGGGATAATCTCTCCGGTCGTCTACGACGGTCGTAGTCCGGATTCGGTGGCGGAGGTGCTTGTCGCTGTGAGAAACCAGAACCAGTAAACAAATTATTAGCCCAATTAAAAAGAAAAGAAAAACGATTCTAGAAAGTGTTATTGGACTATTCGGCCCACTATTAACACGCAATTGGGCTTTAAAGTCCAGTTAGCATTATAACTGTGCTGAACTGCTGATCCTAGATAAGTATTAAGGACTACCTAGATTCTTCTTTTTTTACCTGTCTACCATTTTAAAAAACTTCAATTTTTAGGATTAAAATTGCAAAATTCTCTAGTATCCGATAAAGCGCAGTCTCAACTTTAACCAAGTTTTTTATTTCTCAGAAAATTACATTTGCCACCAATATCTTTTCCGCTTTTTCATAAAAACCCTTAATTCACTAGGTTTCGAAAAGTATTTGTGGTCAAAATTAGCAAATGGGGAGGAGTTGGAGCCATTTTCTGATAATAAAATAAAACCAATAGTAGTAAATGGAGAAAGCGAGGCACTGGTAAACATAGAAAAATGAGAAAGGAAGAGATGAGACAACAAAAGGAAACATACAGATTTATTAGGGTTGATGGATGATGCAGAGGCTGAAGTCCCATTGTTCATCATCATTCTGCTATTCTCTCCATCTCTAAACATCTTCCCACTGTTACACAACCAATGTTTTTAAGGTTAATAGCATATCCTTGTCTGAATGTAGTCAAACAGAGTTACAGTGTTTTAAAGAGGCTTTTGGTTTTACCCTTCAACTCGTCTCTCGTTCTCTCGTTTTCTTAACATCTCAGCTTTTCGAGCTTCGACTTCGTCTCTGCCCATCATGGCACGTTGAAGATTCATACGGTTTCCCAACTCCGCTAGGTCCCTGCCGTATGGTTCCAATCATGAGATTACTGACAACTTTTCTTTAAAGGGTGGAGCACTAAGTGAGTGTTTGTTGTACCTATGAGGTGGTGGAATATTAGGGAATCCAAACCCCTGTCCAGCAAATGGATCTGGGTGCATCATATTCATACCCCCACCAAATGCCATGTCCATCGGGTTTAACCCGTAACCCATAAAAGGAGGCATCGGGCCTGGAAAAGGGCCTGGAAATCCGTTGTAGCCGGGGTGAAAGCCATTGAAGCCAGGTTGAACGCCATTGAAGCCAGGTTGAACACCGTTGAAGCCAGGTTGCATACCGTTGAAATACGGAGGAACTGGACCCATTTGCATCATATTATAGTCAGGGCCAGCAAGATCGGGCCCATGATTCCATTGCATATCTACAACAATTCACAAAAACAAAAAATCCGTTACACCTCCCATTCCATACACAGACTTGGAACTTGGAAGAATGAGCATGACTGGCAACTGAAAGAAAGAAAGCTTACCAGTTCCAGGCACTCGGGGTTTCTTTTTCTTCTTTTTTCCTGGCAAGGGACAAAAAGTACGAATTTTGTTGATGAGCATAAGATCGTCAATTTTAAGTACATATATAAATCTAAAATGGGAACAAGGGTTTCTCAGTAATTGAGAAAAAAAAAAAAAAGTCCATGTGGAGCTTGATTTATCAAGTAAGGGAATGTGAGCTTCACTACGAGCAACAAGTCATTTCCAATGGACAGTGAAGTTACTATTAGGATTATACACATCTTTCTGTTACCTGGCTCTCCAGCAGCAACCTGCTGCTGCGCTTCTTCCTTGGGAGCTTGCATATTAACCTTTGAGCCAGTTGCTTCTTTCACAGTCAGGGATCCTTGAGTGCTTTCACACGCATCGACTGGCTTTTCCACTTTATCTTCTGCAGACGCCCGAGGGACACTTGTGATCTCTGCAGCTTCCATTGGCAGTTTTACGGTTGAAGTACCGTTGTTGTTACTATGAGCTGGTTTCTTCTCGCCTTTAGATGCAACAGATGTAGTAGGAGATAGAACCTTGGGAGGTGGAAAGCGTGCCGACTCCAAATCTATGTTACGTCCATGATAATTTAGCAGTGATGACTGATCAAACCAAAGTATTATAATACACATGACATACCTGGGATATGGCCCACGCTTCCGGCGTTCTCAGTGCTATCGTTTCCAGCTTCCAAAATACGGTTTATAGTATCCCTGAGGGTCTTGTTTGGTAGAAGATCGTCAGCAAGTACTTCTTCTCCACAAACACACCTCGACTTCGCAATAATGTGATCTCTGATACCTGAATTGCATATACTCGAAGTAAATGGGATAGTTATGTTGAATTGAAACTGGTAACACTCAACAGAAAGGTTTTTGTACAGCAGTAAAAGGCATTGGAAAAACTTACACTTGTCGCAGAAGCTCTTGAAACAGCATTTGCTTGTAAGCGCAGCATCTCTCATTACTTCTTTGCATAATGGGCATTTTAGCTCAGGCGGAAGTTCTCCTACAGAGCGTGTTGTTGATGGCAATCCCTCCATTTCCTTTTCAAAAGCATCCCTGAATTTGTTAAAGACAACAATTATTCACATTATTATCAATTTATGGGAATAAAGTACCAGACAATAACATCCCCATACTAATAGCACAACTTACTCATTTGGTTTCAGAACTGCAACTGCACCGCTGGGCAAGGAATAAGAACCATCTGGGGTCGCCATCAACATGGACTTGGGGATACCAGTAGGTGGTTTAACTCTCTTAACATCAAAGTTAGGGTCACCATTTGTGGGGCAATGTTGGATAAAATGTCCTGAGATAGTAAATAAAATGCTCTTGACACCTTTAATCTATGATATATCCATATACAAGAGTGTAAGAAAGTAAAGACTTTCCAAAGCTGACATACCAGGTTTATTGCAACGATGGCAAACATAGCCCGGAGGAGGCGTTTTCCTTTCCATTCCTATCCAAGCCAACAAACCAAACTCAGTATCTTGAAACTTGATGCAAACAAAATGAAACAGAAACAAATCTTTGACAAAAGTTAATGAACACATTCTAGAATTCAATAAAAACCAAGAAATTTAAAGAATAAAAGTATAAATTACCAAAACCACGTCCACCCATCCTTCCAGTCATACCCCTTCCGTAACCTCTCCCAGCCCCAAAATTATCTGGACCTTGTCTGTTACATCGGGAAAAAAAAATACAAATAAAATAAATAAGAGGGTTGTTAAAACGTCTAAGCAATTCAATATATTCAGGTCCACTATAGGTGAAAGAAAGCTTACCGCTGCCAGTCAAGGGCCGGAGTGTCGATTAACGCCTGAATTTTGCTTTCTTCATCTACTTTCTCGTCTACTGGTGCAGGAACAGGACAATGAATATTATGCTGGGCATCTTGGGCATCGGGAATAGAGTATAAATCATTCCCGAACTCGTCATCTTCAAGCTAGAAGGTGAAAATGGGTGAAAAATTAGTACTTTTGTAGTCAACACCAACAGAAGCCAAGAATTGTTAACTATAATAAACTTACATAATTCACTGCAGATGGAACGGGAACAGGAATATTGATTTCAGCCTGAACATTTTCCACTTTACTCTCGCTTCTAGGCCTGCAATGTTCAGATAAATTGCATTATTTAGCATGAAAAACCAGGTGTTTCTTCAAAGCGATGGTCACACTTTCAACTTATGCTTAGCTAAATAACTGGACCAAGCAGATGGAAATCAAAGGTCTGAGAATGTACTCTTGCGTAGTAATAACTGTGATGCGAGGGCGTCCTGGGACTCGACGAATTAGAACAGATGTATTCTTTGGTATTAACATTGCTTCGTCCAGATACTCTGAAAATTCAAAACAGAGAAATATAAAGGCCATAGAGTGCAAACATGTTGGCAAGACACAGTATACCAAGCCTCCCGAGAAATTCTAAAATCAGACTCCAACATACTCTTTACTACTAGTTCAGAAGTGTAACTAATCAAATACATAACCTAGTAAATAATCATAGCTAACTCAATGATGGAACACTATACAAAAGCAAGTTGACTGTGCAACCATCAAGCAGCTAAAGGAAAACAGCAGCACAACACTTGATTAGGCAACAGCCCATTGACAACAATCAACAAAACACTCGACATAAGTCTGACATAGAATACAAACCTTCGTTAGTTTGGGCATTGGAGACGACAATATCAAGGTCTTTACCACTGCCCAAATGCTTAGTTTCGAAAATTTTGTCTTTGAGAATACCGACTGATATAAAAGGACCATCCATGGCGATGGTATCATAATCCCTTGCACTCTTAAACTTGTAATAAATTGCCATTGAAATTTTTTGATCTGATAATAAAGCAAATACATATGTATTACTATCTTGTAAAAGATTATAATGACACGAAGAACTCAGAACACAAAAGCTACTATTTTGAAAACCCTAATCAAGGCCTTCGGTTTAATAAAAAAATAAAATCGAGGCCATAGATTTTGATTTCCAAAACAAAATGTAAATACAAAGCGAAAAAACCTAAAAATCAAATTTTTTACTTCGCTGATTCGACTTCACAGAATTTGGCAGACGAAACAACCTCCACGCGTGCAGCAAAGACCACACCAAATCTACAAATCAAAAAGAAGCCCCAGCAGAATCAGGCACGAGAACGTCTGTGTTGAATCAAATCTAGTAGATCGCCTGTGATTGCGCCGTAGATGTCTCCAAATCTCCTCCGTAGATCTTCGCAGCCCAAAACGAAGAACCGTCGTTACGAATCGGCCGACTTCAGTCCATAGGATCCGGAAGCTCCAAGCACCGATTCCAGCAGAAAAGGTTCGAAAATCGAGAGACCGTCGATGAATCTGGGAGAGATTGAGCAGGATCTAAAGAATAATCATAGAAATCGAGCTGTGCGGTGTCTTGACGAGAAGCAGATAGATCGATCTTCAAATCTAGGGTTTGAACAAGGAGCTCTCTCTCTCTATCTCGTATCGTATATTTGTATCCCAGGGAATTTCTCTTTACTGTAATGAGTTAAATTATCAGGACCCTTCATGTGAAGCCCATGTATGTTTTATTTATAGTGGGATTGAGAAATACAGAAACACGGGGTTTTTTTTTCCTTGAAAACATTAAATTACCTAAACTCGTTTAAATTGTTGACAATTTGACATATTTTCTCACGTTAATTTTTTTTTTCATTCCTAAAAGGCTAAAACTAATAGACAGACATAGAGCTTATGTTTAAATTTTACTGTCAAAGATTTCTAATTATTTTCTGTAACGTTAAATAAAATAATGAGGTTAAAAGTGTATGCAATATTCTAATATTTTACTATTTGTAATTTTAGCTGGTGCAGCTAGATACCAATGGTAAGGGATATAATTCATATAAAAAAAGGAAAAAAGAAAGGAAATATCTAACAAGAACAATTAGTAGCAAGGAAGTTCATAATATGTTTTGATTTTACAAAAGAGAGATTAGGGCCGCATTTGTGTTTGACGTTTGACTCATATCGTGGAGATACTGTTATTCTATCTAGTGTTAGAGTAAAACATATTGCGGTGTTGTTTCAGCAATTGCATGCATATACGAGATCGAGATCATGGGTTACAAGTAAGATTAAGCCAGAAACAGTGCCGTGGAACAAGTTCTTAGCAATGGATATGAGACCTTTATTCACTGATGGTTATCCTCGGTTTTGCACTCGAACTAAGAATTTCTTCATTGATGAGGAGAGAAAAAGTCTTAGTGGTTTTGCTTATTGACGAAAAGGAATGTGGAAACATAGCTTACATAATTGGAGAAGATGAATGCTATAGAAAAGTGGATCTCAGAGAAGCTACAAACATATCTTGTTGGCCCCTTATATGTTCCAAGTAATTAGTGCATATCAAACAACCTCTAATTTGTTGTTGATTAGTCATTACACTAACAATAATTTTGTCGCCCCGGGTGTTTACTTATTAGTTATCAAATATGTTTTTTATTAATTCCTTTGTTTTTTTTTTGACTTTGTTCATCCTGCAAAACATATATCTATATATATGATCAAACGGAAAACACATTTGGGCTAAGAAAATGTAGAGAGTCCTTCAACACCACAGCCAAAAATAAACCTATATATTCACTAAAAAAATCAATGGAGCAGCATACGACATGCCGACAAAACCAAAACCAGATAATCAACCAGATAATCAACTCTGAAAAGAAGAGATAGTCCTGATAATTTAACTCATTACAGTTAAAAATATGCACTGGTACTATGGACTATGACAAAAGAAGAAAACTCTGAAAAATCCAGATTTTATTTACTGCTGATTTAATTATTAAATATATAAAACAAAATATAAAAATAAAGTAGGACAAAAACAAAAAGGGTAAAAAAAAAAAAAAAAAAGAAATGGATGAGTGAGTGGGAGGATTCTTGGGGAATCGGGGACCGTCGTTGGTCTCGTCGAGACGGAGAGTGAGACAAAAGAAGAAGAGACGATGATACGAAGATTCTCCGAGAGAGCTTCTGTCTTCGCTAACAACTGGATTCTCAAATCTTCGGCGTCGCGATTCCACGGCGAGTCCCTCGATTCCTCCGTCTCCCCCGTTCTCATTCCCGGCGTCCATGTCTTCCACTGTCAGGTCAAAATCTTGTGCTTTGCTCTATTGATTGAATCGAAAATCAATCTCATGAAATGATTATTTTCTGAATTTGTTCTGAGATATAGGATGCTGTTGGAATTGTAGCAAAACTATCAGATTGTATTGCAGCCAAAGGCGGAAACATTCTTGGCTACGATGTTTTCGTTCCAGAGAACAAAAACGTCTTTTACTCAAGGAGGTAATATCAAGCTTTAAGCTCCGTTTTCAAAGACTTTCTGAAAAAAAATGACTTGAGAGTGAATGGCTTTTCTTTTGGTCACCTAAATTGCTTTGAAATTGGCAATCGAGTATGGTTTGGTGTATAGTTGTGATGAAAAAATATGATTTTTTTTTTCTATGACAGCGAGTTTATATTTGATCCGGTAAAATGGCCGAGAAACCAAGTGGATAAAGATTTTCAAAATATTGCGAAAACATTCGGTGCCATGAACTCGGTTGTGCGTGTGCCTTCTATAGATCCCAAGTATAAGATAGCTCTTCTACTTTCAAAACAGGTGTCCAAATGTTACAACCCCCCTCCTTTTACATTTTTCTACTCTTTGTTTTATCCTGCTGAATTATATGTGATTCTATCTATATACAGGACCATTGTCTTGTCGAAATGTTGCATAAATGGCAGGACGGAAAACTCCCTGTGGATATAACCTGTGTGATAAGGTGACCTAATAGTAACTGAATTTATACTCTATGTAGGCATATACGTCTAGTGTCTCAGATTTTGAGATGTTTGTTTTTTGTTCACAGTAATCATGAAAGAGCTTCAAACACTCATATTATGCGGTTTCTTGAAAGGCATGGCATTCCGTATCATTATGTATCGACTACAAAAGAGAATAAAAGAGAAGATGAGATCTTGGAATTGGTCAAAGAAACTGATTTCTTAGTTCTCGCTAGATACATGCAGGCTAGTCTTTGCCTAATCTTTTTTTTCTTTCCTTTATCAAATCGTTAGCAACGGATTGCTATGAAAACTAAACACCCATGTTCATCCTTTTAGATGAATGTTACTGAGAACGATTAGTTTCTGTTTTTCTTTTTAATGCCAATAAGGAAAGAATTGTCTACTCAGGCAGTTGCTGCTCTTCGAGTTGATATCTCTCCAAAGAATAGTATTAATAAGCACATTTTCCTTTTGTCAGATTCTGTCGGGTAACTTCTTGAAAGGTTATGGAAAGGATGTAATTAACATCCACCATGGTCTCTTGCCATCATTCAAGGGCGGAAATCCAGCGAAACAGGTCTTTGGGTTCTCTCATGTCTATACCTTGTCTTAATAAGCTATATGGTTTGGTCTCTTTGTTTTGTGTGTCTTAGTATTCTAGATTCTTTTTGCAGGCGTTTGATGCAGGCGTGAAGCTAATTGGAGCAACGAGTCACTTTGTTACAGAGGAACTTGATTCAGGGCCTATCATTGAACAAATGGTAAGCTGTCTGCCAACCACTTGATTAGTACCTTCTGAGGATAGATCTATGTTCTTCAGCATCTTCTCAATTAATCTATATGAATTTTGATTCTTTTTTTTCTTCAGGTTGAGAGTGTTTCCCACCGGGACAATCTAAGGAGCTTTGTTCAGAAATCTGAGGACCTTGAGAAAAAATGCCTCACAAAAGCTATAAAATCATATTGCGAACTAAGGGTATTACCCTATGGCACAAACAAGACTGTTGTATTCTAATAAAGCAAGCAAGGACTACGATTCTCATCTGATTTTTTTTGTACCAACAACTCAAAAGAAGGTTATAATAATTCTCTGGAAGATTTCTGATTCATTTGTAGTATTTGCGGAACTGTGAATAATAAGTATCTACAGGATTCTATCACATACGTTCGCTGAGGCTCAGAGATTCGAGAGAGAATTTGGTAGCCTCAAGACAAGCCACTTGGCGAAGAGTAGACTGAATCCCAGCAACCCATCTCTGCTTCTGAATCTTAGTCTTGCACTTGAACTCCAAAAGACCCGTCCCAGTTTTCAGACCAAAATAGACTTCTTCTATATTTTTCCTCTCTTTCCTGTAAGGCCATACAGATATCTCGTCGCAGACTCCATAGACAACACCTTCAAAAGGAACTAGAAGCTTCAGACTTACGTGTTTCAAGTAATTTCCTAACTCCTGAAGAATAGAAAATGCTTACATTTGATCTTCTTGGAGAATGTCCCTCCGACGTGTTTGCTTTTGAGTTTGATCATGACCTGAGAAATTTGTAGAGCTCTCAAGCGTAAGCATGTGGTATACGATATGAAGCACATTAAGTGTGTCTCTGACAGATAAAATCCAGTCTGCTCAAGTACCTGAGACTTCTTGTTGATATAGACGCAAACTCGCTTAGTTCGCTGCCCACCTGTTGACAAAGTTCAGTAGTAAGCATCTTAACTAGTGGAGCCAATCTTGACTCAGGCAGAGTAAGAGAAGATAAGGATTACCATTTCTTGCACATTGCATCAGTTCACCCTCTAAAGGAAGATTTGTTTCTTCCAATCTAAATTGACAATTTGCATTCCAGTTAGAGTCAGAGAAACTCCTCTCAAAAGGTGTGATAGTTGCGTTCTTCTTTGCTTCCTTTGGCTGCCTCACCTTCAAAGCTGCTTCTCCTCTCAATGCTGGTTCAATGTTCCACAAAAAAATCAGATCAAATAACATCTTACGAACCCAACCACAACCTCAAACATCATCTTTTGTACAATAGCCTATAAGCCTTACCAGTTGCTGCCGCGGCTGTGAGAGTCATGAGATCTCCAGGGCAGTGGATATCAACGGAAGACCTAACAGTGGAAGCAACGCAAGTGCGATCAGCACCTGCTTGCTCAGCCATCTCTATGCAATGCGAAGCCAGTAGCTCTGTAGCTGAGGCCAGAGCCAGGGCCATCATGGAGCTTGACTCTCTGCTGCAGCTTTCCTCAGAGGTCACAGACGCTAACCCAACTGCCAGAGCTGCAATAGACACAGCAGAGTGAACATGGGCTTTCTCCACACGCGCTTTATCCTTCTTCTTCAGGTTCCTCGGGTTAATGTGTTCTTTTTGGTGAAACCACTTTGATAATCTCCCTGATCTACGTGTACCAGTTGAGTTCATGATCTTCCCTGCCTGCATTTCCAACGAATCATCAAAGTCAGATTTCAAAACTGGTCAAACGGTCTCGTACAGGTAAAAGTCTCTGACTTTAAAGTTATTAGAACATTAAGCATCATCGAGATCATACCATGAGTGGATCTGCAGCATAATCGTGGAAGAAGACGCTAGGACTGTTCTGGGCAACAGAAGACAGATCTTGGTGTTGTCTCTGTTTCTGAGCTAGAGCTTTGGAGATTTCAGAACCGGATAGACTCCATGATCTGGACAGAAACTTCATTGGCTCCATTGGTGTCGGAGGCTGAGGAAGCCGAGAGAAAAGCGATTCAGCTCTTACAATTACCTCCTCCAACTCTTCCTCCAGATTCTCTGATCCGAACAGCGATGAAGAACTAGCATTCCAGTCTGAATAAAACCCACCTTCCATTTTCTCCTCAGATTTGTAGAAAACCAAAGATGACGAAATAAATTTTCGAGATGAAGAAGGTTAATGTTGACTCAAGTTTGTGAAGGACATAACAGATCACCAATAAGCCAAAAAAAAAAGTCTTTCTTTAGTAACTTAGATTGTTCAAATACAATCAGAAAGTACTAAGTACATCAACGTAGTGTCCATGTTCTAATATAAGCAAGGAGATGGAGATGTAAAAAGAGGGAACATAATCGAAGTAACTGTGCTTTGAGCAGAGTCCATAAAATCAGGAAATGTCTCATCAAATGGGCACAAAATGTAGATTAGATAAATCATGGAACCTATAATTTCAATAATTAAGAGAAAGGGTATGATATTATGGGGGACATTTACATTGTTTCAAGAGCCATAAGCTGCTCTTGTGTCTTGTCTTTTTGAGTCCAAGAAGATTTGACCGGACAACTTTAACAGAGTTCGTGACTGTGCCGCCCAGTTTCCTTCTGTTATAATTGTAATCACACAAAACCATAACACTTTTCGTTTCTCTATAAAGATACTCCGCACGAGTTCAATAGTGTTACAGATGATTCGAATACACATCGGCTGTTTTTTTTTTCCCTCTCTCTGTCTCTATTATGAATTTTTACATATCTAACCAAAATAATAAATAGTCTAATATAGGTTTCAAAACTAATGATGATCAATTTGTTCACGTTTTTATATTTTCTGATTTCGCTATTTTTTCACAATTTTCAGAACATAAAAGTGGAATTTATATACATTTTCTTATTATCAACAAGACGTTTTTTTTTTCTTTTTTACATACAATATTCGAAAAAAATGGACACCAAAACATACACACGCAAACAAAACATCAAACCATACAAGCAAACAAAACATCAAGCCATGACAAAAACCCGGTTAATTAGATTCGGATCTCGCGGGTTTCTATACAGCTTCATAAGAACCGATAAACACGTCACCGTAGATGAGTCCAGCGAGTGCACCACCGACGAGTGGACCCACCCAGTAGATCCAGATCTGTGACAAGTCTCCACTAACAACAGCTGGTCCAAAGGACCTAGCAGGGTTCATGGAGCCACCACTGAATGGACCAGCAGCGAGGATGTTGGCACCAACGATGAAACCAATAGCAATTGGAGCGATGGTTCCTAGCGATCCTTTCTTTGGATCAGCCGCTGTGGCGTAAACTGTGTAGACCAAAGCAAAGGTCACAACGATCTCCATCACGATACCTTCGACCGCTCCTAAACCGGCTCCTACTCCGTGTGTTGGTACGCTCTGTAACAAACCGGGAAAACAAATTAAAAACTCATTCATCAACCAGCTTTCTTGCCACGTAATACTAAATGACCTAAAACCGCACCAAGAAAACAAGAATAACCAGTTCTAAGGCTTGTAGTAAGACGTACCTCGCCATTGGTAACGAAGACAAGGAGAAGGCAAGCAACGATGGAGCCAAGACACTGAGCGATCCAATAGAGGAAGCCTGTGATGAGTGTTATGTTTCCTCCAACGGCAAGACCGAGAGTCACAGCCGGGTTAAGGTGGCCACCAGAGATGTTAGCGGCTATTGAAACGCCAACGAACAAGGCAAACGCGTGAGCCAACGCAATCGCTACAAGACCAGCTGGGTCCAAGGCTGCATCTGAGGTTAGCTTGCCAAACGCAATAGCTGAGCCAACGCCAGCGAATACGAAGAGAAGAGTTGCGATGAACTCAGACAAGTAAGCCTTTAGAGATGCAACACTGAATGAGTCACCCAAACTTCCAACTTCGATCTTCACCATTTTTTGTACACGAAGACTTTTGCTTATGGTTGGTTTGGTTTTATTTCGCTCTTGTAAAGGGCTCTAGTTTATATAGCAAAGAGCAAATGATGAAGATGGGACCCATATTACGTGGCTGAGCATTATTTGATGCCGCCCAAACCGCCTCTTATTTGATTAATTGAAGGTTAGAGATAGAAAAGATGGTTAATGACAACTATAATGGGATTTAATAACAATTGAGGATAAGAATCTTCTGTTGGCGTTTTGATATTCCGCATTTTATAAAAACTTTGTGTCACCCTAATGATGATAATGGACTTATTCTATTTACTATTTGTTATTTCTAATTTCGTATTGGATTAGATAAGTAGGAATGTGCTTTAAATTATAGTAGGGATTATAAGTAAAATTCATTTTTTTGGGAGTTGGTGGATTTGGATATTTATACTAAGAAAACGAAAACGAAACTCGAAGTTTAACTAGTTACGATTATGACTCTCTCACAAATAAAGTTAGATTAGTTAGCTAGGGTATATAGCTCAAAATTATCTTCTTGCAAATCTATAAAAATTTTGGAACACTAGCTAGTCAGGTATTTAGTTACAGCTTTTCAACGTTCAGATCAGTAGTTAAAACGATAACTAATAAAAAAAAAAGAGTGTAAATAGATTTGAACTTTCCGAATTTTGAAAAAAATTATTAAAAATAATATGTGGTTCGTTTAAGCTAATTCATACGTGGTGTTATGCGATAGCTTGAAGTAAAAATTACACATGAAAATAATTCATCTAATTTTTGATGTTAATTACATAGTTCAAACAATTTTTTTTTTTTTTGAGTTGAAAGAGAGTACTTTTCTATAATTCTGAAAGGTGCTCCACAATGATAGCGAGATTTTTTTTTAGCCAACTTTTGTTTTATTTTATCCATCCCACCTTATTATGCTTATACAAATATTCAATAATTAGATGAAGTTGAAAGGTGATTAACGATTAATCAATAGTATTGTTTAATGAAAAGGTTTAGGGTGGGATAACATTAATTATTTATCGCCGGGAATGGAAATGAACTTTTTCTAGAGTCAGCACTCGGCACTTTGGCTGACACGTACGGTTCCTCTCTGTCTCTCACTATAGCTTTTTAGTAAATGGGTCTCACTAAGCCCATTTATTCTTTAATGGATATCCAATTATTTCCAAACCCAACAAAAATAGCGAGATTTATTTTTCCGGCTTGTCTCCATCCTTCCGGCGTCCTAAAACCCTATAAAACCTCTGTAGAAGAAGAAGACGATCGAATCTCACTTTCCAAGCTTCCTCTATCTCTTACAATGGCTTCGGCTTGCAATAGACTCATGAGCAGATCCTCCGTCTCGTCTCTCAGATCCGCCATCAGATCTTCGCTCCACAAATCTCCAATTGGTACCGGATCTTCGCCGACTGCTTCCTCCGCCGGATTTCGTCTTCCGTCTAAACCCGCTTCTTCTCCCCGATTCTCCTTCTCCAGGTTTGCTTACAATCAATCGCGTAATTAGACATGCTCTGTTTCAAATTCCATGAATCTGCTTCCATTTCGTCATTTTCTTAGTGTTTCCTCAATCTTCGATTTAAGGTTTCAAATTGATGAATTGTTGTTTGGTTACATGTAGGTGTCCATCTGAGCTTGGCTGTGTTCAGTCGCTGTTGCCGCTTCACAGCACGGTGGCTGCTGCTCGGCTGACGTCGTGCCTTAGCACAACCTCCAGAAGCAGCCGAGCTCTCTCTCAGGGTACTCTCTGCTGCACCTCTCCCGACCTCTAATACTCTTTTCTGCTTTCTTTCTTGTGAGTAGCTTTTTTTCGCTTCCCTATCTTACATTTGATCCTTCTTTCCCTTGATATATCAATGGTGTGCACATTTTCCATGGCTGTACTGCGTTTATTTTTCTACTTATCCCTCGGTTTTGTTAGTTAGACTTTGAAATTGATCATAGCTTCCCAAGATCTTTACATGTGAGGGAGAAGATCATACTTATAGTTGAACTGTTTGATTGCTTATGTGAAGTGTTGCAAGCTCTATGATGACTTTATGACTATTTTTATTCCTTGTTGACGTTAATTCTTGGCTTTATGACTTTTCCTGCTTGGCGATCTAGTTGCATTATGTAGTGTTGATAGATTTTATGTCTGACTCTTAAAAAGTAGGAGGATTGACCCTAGTATAACGTATATAGGTTGACTAAATCAGTTTCTAGAGTTGTGAAAGAGTTTTGAGCTTTAGTGCCATTGTGTCTGTCTAATCATGAGTACTTGGTTCATGCAGGCACATAATTTCACCGTTACCATGTCGGATCCTTGCATCTTTATCAAGTACGAACCTTTATTTGTGTTCTAGTCATCCAAATAAGATATTGGAAAACACGTTTTAGGAAGAGAAAAAAAACCCTGTAAAACGTGAATCTTGAAGGGGGTAACTTATTAAACCAGATGTTAACCCGCGTCAGATTGACATTGTGTTTCTTGCTCTCTTTTTTTTATATGAATGTCATCTAGGAAAATTAGTTCATGATCTGTGTTAAAGAGTGGCAACAATACTGTAGTAATTTGTAAAACTGCTCTTTGTCCCAGATGGAATCGATGGCACGTGAGACGTATTTGCAGTTGTTTTTAAAGGTGGGCTCTGTCAACAATGCTTTGGTGATAAATTAGATCTAGGAAGCTATTTTAGATGAGATTGCTTGACTAGTTTGCTGTTCATCTGAATTCTCACAAGACATTGTCTAAAGACTCGTACCATATAATCAATTAGCGGAAAGCACCCGCCTTTCTTTCTTCTATATAAAAGACCATTTTTCTGTTTCTGTACTAATCGTTATTTCTGTTTCTGTTTACTCTAGAGATGGGCCTTTCAGTACCAAGGTGACCCTGATACATTCATGAAGAGTATTACTACTATTAAGGGAGGCAAGTTTCTTAAGCTTAGAGGCAAGAAGTTGATTATTTGTTTGCGACTCCAAACTCTTGTTTTTTAATTCATAAAGAAAAATGTGTAATACTATTTTCTCCATTTTACACGACTCCTCTGAGCCTCTCAGATTCTAGCCATGTTTGATTCCATAACTAGTTAGACATTGTGTTTACATAACCAAAAGCTCAAAACGTAAAAGATGCTAAAGTTGTGATGCAACGTTTTGCTCTTGAATCCAGCTAGAGCCAACTTCTTTCTCCACCCCTTTCTCTCTCATTATCTTCCTAATATGACTAACTTCTCTCCATCTCTCATGGTAAGCATAGAGATTCGACATCACTATATATATGTACTCATCTTCATCAGCTTCCCCTAACGCAACCATCTTAGCGACGACGACTTTTGCAGCTTTCAGATCCTTTCTAGCACTACAAGCACCAAGCAAAACCCTCCAAGCCACACCATTAAACCTAAAACCGAATTCCTGAATCACCTTTTTCGCCTGCCGAATTTCTCCTCTCTGCGCCATAGCTCTGATAAGAGAACAGCAATGTTCTACGCTTGGTTTGATCCCATACTCGTTAATCATCATCTCAAAGTAGCCAAGCGTGATCTCCATTGGAACTTCACAATGAGAACACACAGCTAAGAGGTTCAAGAATGTGAACCGATCAGGTTTCAGGAATCTTTCTTGTTTCAATTGGTTAAATAGCTTCATTGCCTCGGTTGAATCGCCATTACGAGCATAACCAGCGATCATCGCGTTCCACGCGATCAGATTCTTTCTAGGCATCTTCCAAAACATTAACTGAGCATGCTTTAACATTCCGCATTTGGAATACATATCTATCAGAGCACTCGCAACGACAACCCGAGACTCTAGGCCAAGCTTGAGAGCACAAGAATGGATGAGACTTCCCCATGGAACCACAGCGAGATCAGCAATGGCGGCCAGAACTATTGACAAGCTGTACTCATCAAATCTGACGCCTGACGAATGCATTTTGGTGAAAAAGTCAGTAGCTTCTCCAAACTGATCACCGTTAACATAACCTGTCAATATTGTGTTCCATGAAGATGAATTAGGGTTTGGCATACTCGATAGAATCTGAAAGGCATTGATGAAATCCCCGGACTTGACGAAAGCATCGATGAGCTCGTTGTATGTTACAGTGTCTGGATTTGGCATTTGGTGGAAAAACCAAAGTCCCAGCTCAAGCTTACCGTTCCTTGAGCAGGAAGCAACAATGGCATTCCAAGAAACTGTATCCTTTTCTTCCATGAATTGGAACACCAAAACTGCATCATCCATGGAACCACATTTCCCGTACATGTCGATTAGACAATTACCCACTATGACATTGCCTTTCTCTATGCCAAGTTTTACAATCTTTGAGTGGATACAGGCTCCGAGCCGCGAAAGTTTCAGTCTTGCACAAGCAGCCAAAGCGGATGTAAAAGAGAATTCGTTAGGGAAGACATCAGATCTGTGGAGCTCTAGAAACAAGGAGAGTCCTTCGTGGAATCTTCCCGATTGAACGTAACCAGAAATCAATGAGTTCCAAGAAATGACATCTGGGTCAGACATTTCATCAAACAGCTTGTGGGCATCTTCCAGCGAGTCGCTTGTCCTGTAAAACCTCATCAGCGAATTTGAAGACGCGTGTCTGAACAAACCCATTTTTCACGACGTAACCATGAAGCTGCCTGCATAAAGAAACGTAGCCATGGTTTCCGGAGACACGGAGCAGGTGAACGAGCGGAGAAGTATCATGTGGCTTATCGCCTTCATTGAGCAACTCAACAGCTGCGTGTAACGCTTCGATGGCACCGGACTGAGCCAGAGCAGGAACGACGGTGGTCCATAAGTTCGAAGAAGCAGTGGAACCAACATAGCTCCTTCTGGAGTAGACACGAGATGTGGGAAAAACTATAACTTTATTTGACACAAATCGTAGCATTTGATTTGACCCTTTAAACAGATGGACCCACGATGCATCATATATAATCAAATTTCAAATTTTGTAAATCTTGCCAAAAATAAAAAAGAAATATTTATTTTGGGGAAGAAGAAGATGCAGAGGAGTTTGGTAAGATTGAAGGTTGGGATAAAAAGGGCTTAAAATAGAAATAAGAGTTATTCGGAAAGTAGCAAATATAGGTGGAATAACAATGGAGGGTCTTGTTTCTTAGGGAAACAATATTTGAGGAATATAATGAGAGAGTGAAGGAGAGAAGGAGATAGGAAGAAAATGGTGATTTCAGAGATATTTTCTGAATGAAGGTAAAAGAGAGAGAGAAAGAGAGTAATTCATTTGTTCTCATTCTTATCTATTTCAATCCAATCATGAACACATTATGCTTATAATGGATTTTCCTTTGATGCAGTTTTTTTCCGTAGGTTTCTGTTAATCGGTGCTCAATCTCCTTAAAGGAGAAGAAGATGAAGAAGGAGATGATAGAAGAGATGGTGATTGTAGGAGGTTTAGTAATGGTTCAATTTGTATACGCAGGCAACTCTTTGCTCATGAGTTATTTGATGTCACTCGGTCTCGGCCCTTTCACCATTGTCATCTTCTCTACCTTTGCCACTTTCTTAATCCTCTCCCCTTTCGCCATCCTCTTCGAAAGGTCTGTCTCATGACTTTTTTCCAAATACCAAAAAAAAAATCCTCTTTTTCGCTTCAGACAGTAAATGTTTCGGTTTGGTCTTGTTGTTCTAAAGGAAGCAATGGCCGAATGAGCTTAGCCCGAGGCTGATTGGTAAGCTAGTTTTGATCTCCTTTGCAGGGTAAGTATCATCTTCCATTTCCATAACTTATTTTTGTTAAAAATTGTATAATTTTTTTGTTGAAAATTTGCATTTTTGTTTCTGTATAACAAAAACAGGGTTACTCTGTTCCAGTCTCTGTTTCTTGAAGGAATCAGGTTGACATCACCAGCGATGGCCACAGCGATGCCTAATCTCGCTCCTGGTCTGATTTTCTTCATCGCTTGGATCGTTAGGTGAAATCATCAAACCCTTGTTTTAGCATCGATTTTTATGTGTTCCAACGTTCATTGTTGTTGTCTCTCTCTTCTCTTCTGTTCTTTTTTGGGATAGGTTAGAGAAGATGAATATGAGATGTTTTTACAGCAAACTGAAGATCTTAGGGACATTGTTGTGCGTATTTGGAGCTTTGACAATGAGCTTAATGCACAGCGCTTCGATCAAACGCGATGAAGAAGATAATGCTTCAGTATTCGTGTTTGATCGAGACAGAGTCGTAGGATGTTTGTACCTTCTCGGAGCTGTCTTTGTCTTATCCTCCAACGTCGTTCTTCAGGTAAGTTAAACCGGTTCGTCAAAACCGGTTCGGTTTACTTTCCATGCCGTTCTAAAACTCGGTTATTGCAGGCTTCGACATTGGCAGAGTTTCCAGCACCGATTTCATTAAGTGCGATAACGGCATTGATTGGAGTGTTGATAACAACGATGGTACAATTCTTGCAAAACCAGAAAGCAAAACTACTTACCAGTTCATTCGTTAGTATCGGTAACCTCGTTGGTTTTTCTCTTCTGGTAAGTTCAAATAAATCTTCAATATACATAATCAATGGTTTATGGTTATGATGTATTTAGTTTTTCAAAATGTATATATATTGTTTTTGAAATGGCAGGGAGGGATGGTGAGTGGAGCATGTGTTAGCTTTAATGGATGGGCAATGAAGAAACGTGGACCGGTTTTGGTTTCAATGTTTAGTCCTTTCGCTACCGTTATTTCGGTTGCTTTCTCGGTTTTGACATTAGGAGAGTCCGTTTGCATTGGAAGGTAACTTTGATTCACATTGAAAGAAAAATGCTTGAATATAGCTCATGTTTGGTTTTTTATTTGTTATTATCAATGATTAACAAACCAAAACAAAAATTATGCAGTGTGGCAGGAATGTGTTTGATGTTCATAGGACTGTACCTTGTCTTGTGGGCTAAAGGCAAAGAAGGATTGTCACAAATTGAGAGTCTTGAAAGTGAGTTCGACTCTGAGAAGCCTCTTTTGTCTTGATAGTTTTTTCTTTCTTACAACAATGGTCGGAAATTGAATATATACTGAGAATTGAGTTGTAGTCAATAGTCTCTATTATTTCTAGTCAACATTTCAAAACGGAGAAAGTGCAAATCTATATTTTGTCCCCTTTTATATTGTTTTTTCCTCGCAGAGCATTGAGAGAAGATGATGGATGAAGTCACAAATCATATCGAATAACAATTACAAGTTTTCATCAGTTAAAACGTCCACGAAATATTTTACCGAAGATAAGATATTATTAGAGAAAAAAAAAGAAGATATTATTAGAGATTTAGTTAGATATATCATCATTTATGGAACACAAGAAAACAAGAATATCTACTGTTTCGTCTGATATAATTCGTTACGGTCGAAGTACAAGATTGAATTGGGTTCTAATGCTGATTTTTTTTTTTTGGGTATAACGTAAAAGAAAATGGAAAAATGTTTTTATATGACTGAGGTAGTCAATGGTGATTACGTTACCAAAATAAACAAAGCTGGGTTCATTATGTGCTCATAATAGTGTCTGTGAGATTATTAATAATCTCATAGATGTTCATAGTCAAACAATAGATATATATAAGGGTAAATTCGGAAAAGTGAATGCCAACCAAAAAAAAAAAAATCAAAGACTCTCTCTCTCGTTTCGATCTCAAAGATTTCACCGACTAATCGGAGTTTGGATCGGAGATTGGATCCGGGAATTCATCGGGAATCCTTTGTGGGGTTTGGATCTGTAAATGGCGCTTGGCTCAAATTAGTCTTGATTTTCCTTAAATCTACTTCGTTTTGCAATTGATCATTTTCGTGAAGCTTGCAGATCCGTCGATCTCTCGCGGAGATTTTTGTGAGGGTTTAGGTTTAGGGTTTTTATCCCGATTTCGATAGCGTTTACAAATTGATGGCTTCGACTCCTCAATTCCTGCTGGATGATCAAACGGACGAGGATTTCTTCGACAAACTTGTTGATGACTCCTTCTCTCCCAGCGAAGCTCACGCTTCATCTTCTGCTAAAGAGCTGAAATTCGACGACGGAAGTGACTCCGATGACGCCAAAGCGTTTGCGAATCTCTCCCTCGTTGACGATTCTGTGGGTGATGGGGACGTAACATTGAACGAAGCAGGCCCGAGGATCGATGTTGCAAACGAGGGTACAAGTAGTTCGCTGGGAAAAGAAGAGCCTTCATCAATTGCTATGGAAGCTGTTCAATTTGCGCACAGTGATGACAATAAGTTAAGAGATGATGTGCTGAGATCGGAGGTTGATGATATGCCACTATCTGAAACAGCAAAAGAAAGCAATACAATCGATGGATCTGGGAGTCCTGGGGTTAAGGAGGTTGATTGGGGCTCTTTCTATGCGGATTCGTCTGTAAATGACGGTCATGGGTTCGGTTCATACTCTGATTTCTTCACTGAGTTGGACGGATCTACAGGAAATTTACAGGGAAAGGCGGAGGTAGATGTGGTTGCTGCAGGAAACTTTGTATCCAATCCTACAAATTTAAGTGTTGGTTTAAATAATTCGGCAGGTTTCGAGCAACATCAGGGTGAAGTGAATCACGTTTCTGAAAATGGGCAGTACGTGAATAACAGTCAATCTTGGGAAAATCTCTATCCTGGATGGAAATATGATGCAAGTACTGGCCAGTGGTATCAAGTTGATGGTGGCCATGATGCAAGCATTATAAATTCACAGGAGAGCTATATTAACCCAGCGAGTAATTGGGAAAGCGCTGCTTCTACTTATAACTCGGATGTTGCATATCTGGGAGAGAGCAAAACATCTGCAGTGGCTGCCACAGCTGAGAGTGTGTCTACCTGGAACCAGGTTTCACAAGTGAGCAATGGATATCCAGAACACATGGTCTTTGACGCGCAGTATCCAGGATGGTACTATGACACAATTGCTCAAGAATGGCGCTCCCTGGACAGCTACAACCAGGCTTCTCAAACAACTGGAAATAGTCAAGCTCATGATCAGCTTTTCTCTCCAAGTACAGGAAGATCAAAAGATGGGCGTCCACCACATGCACTTGTCAATTTTGGATTTGGCGGAAAGCTCATTGTTATGAAGGATAGTAGTGGTTCCCTCCAGAATTCATCATTTGGAAGTCAGGTTAGACCCGAAGTGGTACTTTTCATTTGTTTATTTTACACTCTTGGGAGTTTATTAAAAATCACATTTTATATATAGTATGCTTATCATAAAGTGTGAAATATATTCTCCGTTAACCTCATAAAGCGAATTTCAGTTCTGGTTTAACTGATAATCTTTTTCTATTTGATTCAAAGGGAACTGGAGGAAGCTCTATATCTGTCCTAGACTTGGCGGAAGTTATTTCTGGGAATGCCTCTTATTCAAGTCTCGGGGAAGACTCTTCGAGTTACTTTCGTTGTCTGCATCAACAATCTCTTCCAGGTCCCTTGGTTGGAGGAAATGTTGGAAGTAAAGACTTACATAAGTGGCTTGATGAGAGAATTTTACATTGTGAATCTTCCGACATGGACTTTGCTAGAGGGAAGCTTTTAAAATTGCTTCTTTCTTTGCTCAGAATATCTTGTCAGTATTATGGGAAACTCCGGTCTCCTTTTGGAACTGATGCAACGCAAAAGGTGAGCAGTTCTGGAGTTCCATTGTCAGTACGCTTAATAAGGAAAACATTTATATGTTTTACAATTTTCTCATCCTTGTATCTATTGTGCAAACAGGAAATGGATTCTGCAGAATCAGCAGTCGCTAAACTTTTTGCGTCTGCCAAGAAAGATGGCGTACAAAATGGTAGTTATGCTCCTTTTAGCCAATGCTTACATCATTTACCACCTGAATCACAAATGCAAGTGAGTATTGGACATGATATCTCATATTTTCTTACGAGGAAAAAGGTTCTATAATTAACGACGGTTTTGTTTTTCCTTAGTAACTCATTTGGAAGAATTTTCCAGGTAACTGCCTCAGAAGTGCAGAATCTTCTGGCTTCTGGTAGGAAAATGGAGGCTCTCCAATGTGCCCAAGAAGGTCATTTGTGGGGACCAGCGCTTGTTATCGCGGCCCAACTTGGGCAACAGGTTTCTTTCTCTTGATTGCTATAGGTCTAAACGTTCCACTCTTGTTAGTGTGTAACTGACTTGGTCGGTGTCTTAAATTAATGCAGTTCTATGTTGACACTGTGAAACAAATGGCCCTTCGCCAGCTTGTGCCCGGGTCACCTTTACGGACATTGTGCCTGCTGGTTGCAGGGCAACCAGCTGAAGTGTTCTCCACTGGAAGTACAAGCGATATCAGTTTTCCTGGTTCCATTAATGTGGCTCAACAGCAACCCCAGGTAATGCACAAACCATATATTTCTTCTCAGTCAGACAATGCGATTGATTACAGTGTACAAATATTTTTGGAAACACGTTGATAGAAAATGTAGAGAGAAAGATTACAATGGTAAACTCCCAACCTCTTGTTCCTCCGATGAATCCGATAAAACATACCCCGTAGTTCTCTCTTGATTAAAGTCGGAAACTGTGTAGATGGTGGGAAGACACTGCGAGACAAGAGTTATTTTCTCACATGATTAAACACAATCATTACCCCTTAGTTCTCTCCTCCATTTCACAGGACGTAATTTCTTCCAGCAGCTCTGCCATGGGGAGTTTGCTAATAGTATCTTTTTGTTTCCTTGAATCGCAGTTTGGAAGTAGTAGCATGCTTGACAATTGGGAAGAGAATTTGGGTATAATAACTGCGAACAGAACCACAGATGATGAGCTTGTGATTACTCATCTTGGAGATTGCATGTGGAAAGAAAGGGGCGAGGTGGTTCTCTGCCTTTTTGTATTGTTTTACTTCATGGAAGACTTTATCATGACATTTGAACTACTGTTATGAATCAGATAATTGCGGCGCATATTTGCTATTTAATCGCGGATAAGAACTTTGATCCATACTCAGATAGTGCCAGGCTCTGCCTTGTCGGAGCAGATCATTGGAAAAATCCTAGAACTTATGCAAGTCCAGAGGCTATACAGGTGATTTCTGATCACTGTGGTTTTAGTTATCATCACACTATCTGGGAGATTCTATTTTGAGCATATCATAAGTGGCCTCCTAATTGCTCAATATCTTTTAATATTTTCCTTATTTGTTGGTTGATCTTTGCATGGGCAGAGAACCGAGTTATTTGAATACTCTAAGACGCTGGGAAACTCTCAGTATATCCTGTTACCGTTTCAACCATATAAAGTCATATATGCCCATATGCTGGCTGAAGTTGGTAAACTTTCGGCTGCTCAGAAGTAAGAAGATTCACTTAATATCAACTATTGTTGGTTAAACTGTATGTATATGGCTTCCTGATGTCGCTGTGCTGTGGCTGAAACAGGTACTGTCAAGCAGTATTGAAATGCCTCAAGACTGGCCGATCACCTGAAGTGGAAATGTGGAAACAGTTTGTTTTGTCACTTGAAGAGAGAATCCGTTTCCACCAACAGGTACAGCCCACTAAATTTTGGTTTCAATAAAAATACATGGAATTTCTGGTTTTTCCCATGCGTTTACATCTGCTAGCTGTCTATTCCTTTAGATGGAAATGTATAAGAGCCATAAACTGGGAATAATCTGAAGCTTGTTCCTTTCTAATGATCCAACTTAATGGGACATTCCTATTTCAGGGCGGGTATACTGTGAATTTGGCCCCAGCAAAATTTTTTGGAAAAGTGCTAAACTTTATCGATAGTACGGCACATCGTGTTGTTGGGGGCATACCACCTGCACCACTTTCAAGAACAGGAAGCCTTCAGGTAAATGAGTATCATCATCAACAGCAGGAATCCACTAAGTTAGCATATAGTCAATCGGTTAATACAATGTCATCATTGATGGCACCTGCTTCAATGGAACCCATACATGATTCGGGTGGAAATGGGAGGAGAATGGCAGTACATACTAGAAGCGTATCAGAGCCAGATTTCGGTAGGACGCCAATACAGGTCTATACCAGAAAACCATTATCACCGCTAAGACTAATGTATGTTAGAGTATGAAATTCATAATTGATTGCCTTTTTCTAGGATATGGCTGACTCCTCGAAAGAAATGGCTGGGGTTACACAGTTGAAAGCATCTGGGACTGTGACAGGTTCGCGGTTTAGTCGCTTTGGTTTTGGCATGCTAAAGGACACTGTAGGGAGGGTCTTACAAGTTCGATCATCCAAAGAGGTACTCTGAACATGCTTGGAACTTGATGTTTTCTCCTTAAACTTATTCTAATTTGCTGTTCGTGCTTTGTGTTAAGGCAAAATTGGGCGCAGAAAATCAATTCTACTATGACGAGAAACTAAAGAGATGGGTGGAGAAAGGTGTGGAACCCCCAGCTGAGGAAGCTGCACTGCCTCCTCCTCCAACAATAGGCACATTCCAAAACAACTCATTGGGTTATGAAAACAAATCTGACGTGAATCCATCTAGTGGGAGCTGGAGTTCCAGCGGTCCAACTCCGTCAGAGAATTCTTCAGGAATCCCACCAGTCTCACAGAGCTCGAATCAATTCTCAGCTCGTGGACGTATGGGTGTACGTGCAAGGTAAACAAATAGCTTGAGGCACTTTAGCATCAGAATCTGTGTAGACTATCCTAAATCCCAAATCATGAACGCAATTTTACTGAAACATTGGAATGGCATTAACGAGAGAATATAAGGCACCTTTGGTTTACTACTAGGAAAGATGAAGCATTCAGTATAAAGAGGCATAACAAGTATCTTGGTTGCAGTTTCCGGTTTTCCAGCCGTTAGTTATAAATTCTCCAAGTGTAATTGTTAAATGTGCATGCTTAGAGTTAACTCAGTTTACTCTCTTTTGGGGCAGATACGTCGACACCTTTAATCAAGGCCGTGGAAACTCTCAGACCATGTTTCAGTCACCTTCCATACAATCTCCTAAACCACCAATCCCTGCAAAAGCAAAATTCTTCATTCCAGCAACACCTGCAACGTCTTCAAACGGCCAAGTAATGGAACCTGCTGCTGCTGAAATCAGACAGGAGGAGAACGCGGCAGATGAATTAGTAGCCTCATCAGGTGCGCCAGCACAAATGACGATGCAGAGATATCCAAGTATGGACAACATCAAAAGAAATGGAATGGGAATAAGCCTCAACGGGGATCATCATCCTCCTCCTGCTTCCAGAAGAACAGCTTCGTGGAGCGGAAACTTCAACACCTCGTTTACGCCTCCAACTAGTCCATCAACCTTCAAACCAGTTCTACTCAACAGTAGCAGCAGCAGCGTAGGAGAAGAACTTCAGGAAGTGGAACTATAAGTCACCGGAAAACTGGAATTTCACAAAGTTTTGGTCGGTGTCGCAGGTAGGAAAGTTCTCGACACAAAAACCAATCAATTCCTTGTTGATCCATGAGGAAAACAGAGAGCTTAGTGAGCCTCCGTCGTCTTCTTATTCAATGATAGGGGCAGGCAGTATAATTGCATTTTGTATAGATGATTCATTGCTTCATTTGGGTTTTGACAATGGAACCAAAAGTTTGTCTTCTAGAGAGCTGCAATACTATAGCTTTTGGCTTTTGCTAAGTATATAATAAGGTCAGATCTGACCGAATTTACTTGTATTAATTTCTGTTATTCGTCAATTTTTATATTGTAAGAGGTAAGGAGTTGCACAATGTTATGTTACACATACTGTATCTTGTATTAAGTTCTGTTAACTCGCCCAAATTTAATGGGGTGTAAAACTAGTTGAATTTTCCAGCCAAATCGAAATACTTATTTAAAACAATAATTTTTTATATACTTAGTGTGATTGTCTTTACCTGAATATTTGATGTCTTCACTCCGCTACAGACAACCATAGATTAAAAAGTAACAAAGGTAAGGGATTGAAATTCATCAAGAAATTAGATTCCTAGTACATGATTCCATTACAAAATATAAGGTTACACATTATGACAAGAATCTCGGACATGTATAAATCTTCTCATGTTCAAATGTATATAAATAAATAAATCACAACAAATAAATCAACGAATGAAGGGAACGACGTGCAGCTGAAATAATGTTTGAAATTGGTTAAGCATCTCTAGGAGCGATCCAATGTCTCCCATTGACGAAGCTCTTAGCCATAAAAGGATGGGCCGACTCATAGTCCAAAGCTCTAGCCCATGATACGCCTCTCGTCGCTGCTGCTCCTGGCCCATAGCAATTGTACACTCCAAAAAACGCCGTCCTGATTTTCGACATTTCTCAATCAATTTTCTTTATTCTTTTTTTTTTTGTTTGTTAATCGCACGGATTAACGCAAAAGCTTATATAATATTTTGTTATGTACGTACTTGCTTTTATTGGATTTATGGTCCCAATCGTCCCAGCCACCATGAGCAACAAGAGCATCAAAGTAGGTGTAAGCGTAGACGATGCGTGAGTATTGGCCCATTGCCCGGCCCACGTACAATGGACCAGTACCCGTGACCCGACAACCCACGAATGTGAAACCCGTTTTCTCCTCCGGGCATGTCCTCCCGTGCGCCGCTATCGACCCGAATCTCGACGCTATCGAATGCAACTCACAGTCCTTCACCAACAGTTAACACATCAATTATTAATATTGTATTATGAGCTTCTCACTCAAAAACTACCTCGTGGTCAAATATCTTTTAGCCATGTTCATTTTTAAAAATGTGATATATTCTACATAATTTGAAATAAATGTGTATCCTTACTTTATACATGGAGCGGCCGTTACCGAAAATAAAGTCGATAGAGCCTTCGATGTAACACTCCTTGAAGTAATGACGGCCAGCATCGTCGCATAAAGTGTCCTGTGCACCGTAGAATCCACAGCCGGAAAAGTAAGCTTTGTCGCCGGAGATCCTAAACGCCACCGCCTGCCACCCTTGCATTCCAGGCATCGGCGCCGGCGCAGTATTCTTCACATTTATAAGAAAATAAAAAATGAACGAAAAATTAGACTCACAGTTCAAGAAAAAGGAACAACTCATATATGTCAAAGTTTATGTTTTTTCTTTTGGCAATAGAACTAGCTAGTACCGTGAAGCTAATGTTTCTTGCGGAGAAATGATTAGCGAAGACTGTGACAGAAGCAGTTTGATAAGTCCGTAACTGCTGACCGTCAGGACCACGGTCTGATGCACGGTCGTGCCACTCTATGACCGTCAAGTCCCGACCAGCTCCCTTAAAAGTTATGTACGGTTTTGTCGCTGGAACCACCACTTTCTCTCTGCATGTACACAAGGATATTGCATAAATGCAAAGTTAAATTTTAACCCTATGTTGCATGTGTGCGTGAAACAAGTAAAAGAATAATAATAACATAACAAATAGATTAAGGAGTCAAGTAAGGAATATAAGTACCGGTAGAATCCAGGACCAATCTTGATAACAATACTCATGTTGTTGTTCTTTGGTATGGAATCGACGGCGTCTTGGACGGAGCGAAACTGAGAGTGCCCGGTGAGTGAGACGGTGATGACTTTGTGACCTTTGGGACCCACCCATTTCCGGTGGTGGTGATGGTGTTGAATTTCTTCGGTGGAGTTTGAACAAGCTGCAACAAATGAAAAACGAAAACATAAGCTGTGGAAAAATAAGAAAGAAACAGAAAGGAGAAAGTTGAGGGAATAAGTAAAAGATCTGAGTTGCGCCATTAGACGGTGATGGAGAAAGAAAATGGTCGAGGAGTAAGCAAATGACGATGGAGGATCGTTGGGTTTTATACATTTACTAATTCCTAAGGTGGTCCTTGTATGTTTGAGTCTTAACGGTCATATTTTTGTGCTGAAGTGAAGCCAACATTAGCAAAGAACACAAGATCGTCTATAGGTTTTTTTTGTCTTCATATGTTTTAGCTTTTACTGTTTTAATTATTTTTTTTGGGGCCAAAAGATTTTATTGTTTAAACCAAGAAATTGAGTTATTTTATTTTATAATTTAAAGTAGCCTGCCTATTATCGAGTTATGTTTTTTTTTTCTGTTTCGGTTTGGAATTAAGTGTTTGGCTAACTATTTCAGGTTTTGAGTTTAGGGTTTGTCTTTATTTCAGATTCGACCAATGGTATAGCTTTATTGTTAGATATAAACATGAGCCCATGATTTTTTTATGTGACTGTGGTTAGTTGTTTTCTCATAGTCCATATATATATAGCTACACTATATATTAAAGTATATTGGAACTGCCCATAATCATGATAATATTATTTGAAAGCAGGCTTAATTAGGGACAGTGAAGCATGAGGAACCCACTCTCTTTCTCTCTCGTGGGAGTTATATATATACTAATATTGCATACACACATGCACTCCATCAACTAATATTTGTTGATACTAAAACGGTCTTATTGCGTTGATGAGGAGAAAATTGAAATTGAAACGATAAGGCAAAATATGATGATGTATGAAGAAAGAATTATGGGTGAAAATAAGTAGTACAGTAAATTTATGATAGTGCGGACACTTTTCTATGCATCTATGCGTCACGTGAACCCTATTTGGGTCCCATACATTGAAAAGTACCACTCATCATAAATCCAACCTATCAACCTATAATTTTCTGAACGTTGGAAGATTGTTCCAAACCTTCTTTGTAAATCCGATTGGGACCATCATTACTATCTTTGATTTCTGATCCGCTTTGTTATACCAGCTTCTGATTTCGATAATAGTTTTGGATAACCTCAAATTTTACGTAACAAACAACTGCTAAAATTCAAAAATTCGATTCAAAGTATGTCTATATAGACAGCTAGCCATATAAAAGTTAATGTTGAATGTCTATATTTGAATTAATAATAAATTACAAAACACACCAAAATTATTCAAATTAAGAAAAAAGTTTCTAAAATGAGTTCTAGATTTTAGGAAATTTAAACAAAAAAAAAATTCAAAAATATAAGAATCCAAACAAAACAACATGAATATGTGGAAATTGTTTTTTATAAGAAAATTGGAAATCCGCCCTATAATTACCCATATATAGCTTATCATTCATTACATTTCTTTTTCTGATGAAACTGCCCCTGACCTCTCCGAAAGGATAGTTCTCATGGGACCCAAACTTATTTTCACATTCTTCCCTTGCTAAAACAACATAGTAATTGTATGTCTCATTTGACCCCAAGAAAAAATGTATCTCAAATGCTCATCGTGAGAAAATTAATAGTGTGAGACAAATAAAATAAAAAAAGGTAGGCCCATCTTTTTCATTTTGTTTTCACATTCACATTATAGTAGGCCCATCTTTTCTTCAAACCAAAAGACACAGAAGGAACCGGGAACCAGCCAAAGCCGTTATTCTCTCGCCAAACTTTTCCCGCGCCGAGAGAAATCAATTATTCCATTTTTTCTCTCTCTCTCTCTCTCCACTTTAATTTCAACTATGAGAATTCGATTCTCACCACTTTTCTTTCCTTCCTCTACACTTCAACGCAGCTATTTGATGAAATTCTCCTTCTTGAGAAATTTGAATTTTGAAAACAGAGCTCAGGATCGTTACAGATGCAAGAAACAGAGGTGAGTTACAGAAAAATACACATCTCTGATGGTGGAGAAGATTTCATGCAACCTGATTCTCTTAACGAAGAACACAACTCTAGCGAGGAACAAATGGTTGAAGCGTTTCGTAACTTGCTTCTCCTTCATGGCGAGTTACCTGCAAAGCACGGAGATCATAATACACTTATCAGGTAAATATCAAAACCATCCCTGTACCCAAAATTCCTGTTTGAATTTTATACTCAAAAATTTTCTTTTTTAATCTGATATCAGGTTTCTAAGAATGAGGGATTTTGATTTGGAGAAATCCAAAGATGCGTTTCTCAATTATCTGAAGTGGAGGGTGGATTCTAAAGTGGATATGATCTCGAAGGTATAAAAAAATGGGATCACTTTCGGTTTCTTTTCGTTGATTAGATCAGATCACTCACAACCTGTTCGACGAAATGTCTGACAGAGGTTTAAGTTTGAGGAATACGGTGAAGTGAAGAAACATTACCCTCATGGGTTTCATAAGGTTGACAAAAGTGGTAGGCCAATATACATTGAAAGAATCGGAATGGTTGACTTAAACGCGTTTCTGAAATCAACCACCATTGAGAGATATGTCAAGTATCATATTAGAGAACAAGAGACGACTCTGAGCTTGAGATTTCCGGCGTGTTCAATTGCTTCGGAGAAGCATGTTTCGTCTACCACAACGATTTTGGATGTCTCTGGAGTGGTAAGCGCCGGTACTTTCTACCTTTTTTAATTTGAAGTTCTTGTAGATGAAATGTTAAAATGTTGTGTTCTTTAAACAGGGAATGTCAAACTTCTCAAAACCTGCAAGATCACTCTTCATGGAAATTCAGAAGATAGACAACAATTATTACCCTGAGGTAGGTGGGTTTTTGGATTTCATTACCAGCTTCATGAACAATGCTTGTCATTCTGATTGGTTTGGCTCTAGACTTTGCATCGCCTCTTTGTTGTCAATGCCAGTTCAGGATTCCGGATGTTGTGGCTTGCACTCAAGACCTTTCTCGATGCTCGGACATTGGCCAAAGTTCAGGTAAGCATATATCCCATTCGATACTTTCTTTTATGGCTTAGTCACAATGTTTTTTACCATAACATTATGTTTTTTTTCCAGGTGCTAGGACCCAACTACCTTGGAGAGCTACTTGAAGCAATAGATCCAAGGTCCAATCCCTTTTTCTGATTTGTTTCGTAAATTGCTTTGGAATCTCAGCATTGTTTGTGTTTGATGTCATAAAACAGCAACTTACCGACATTTCTGGGAGGAAACTGCACCTGTTCAGATCATGGAGGCTGTCTTTTCAGCGACGAAGGACCTTGGAATGATCCAGACATCAAGGCAAAGATCCAGGTTAATGCCAAGAATCATTGAATGACCATTGAAAACAAATCAAGTATACACAATTGTTTCTAGTAAATTGGATTATTTCTTCGATATATATATAGGAGACTTCCACTATTGGAGATGCTGATTTAGAGGAACAAACGTTGGAGAAAGTCTCAGAATACGCTCCAGCCAATCGAAAAGTACAACGGATTGTTTAAATGAAAGTCGAATTCTTGACTTCAATATTGAAGCTGAGTAAGATATGTTATTAATTGCAGGAAGATTCAGGCAAGAACATGATTACATTGCAGAAGTATGCTTCCATGAAAGCTGCTGTTAAGGAATCCCAGAAGGTGAAATTGTGTGCATATAAATACACATTTCTCAGGAGTATAAATATTTCGTTTCATGAATCTAAGTATCCATTGTCTGATTTGCGTGGTTGGTTCTTGCAGAGAATCCAAATGTTGGAGATGTCACTTCATGAAACAAAAAAGGTAAAGAGATAGAGATGAGAAGCTAATTCTATACATCATATGAGTTTCAGTTACAGTTTCACTTATCTATGCTTAAGGTTTAATAGTCTTTCTCATATTTTCAGGCCTTGAATGGACTTGCAGAGATCATTGAGGCCATAAAACCGAATCAAACCGAAAAAAACTATAGCAAAACCGGTTTAGCGCGTAAAACTACTGTTACGAAAATGTCCGGTTTGAGCTGAAGAAAAAAAATTGCAGTATGAGTCATGATGATGACGATGGTCTGTGGATTCCGTACTACGGCGATAAATGCAATCATGTGTGGAGCCAATCTGTCTCACATGCAACTGCACGTGTGATCTCTGCAACTCAGCTTCATCTCTTACATTTATTTTTTATTTTTTATCAATCTAATTCCACAGCTCTATTTGATTAATTGATTCTCTTCCCGATGACAAATGCTTCACTGGAAGAATAACAGTATACTCGCACATATTTTATTTACAGTCAAGTCATTTATAGTAAATAAAAAAGGCTTATGTTGATTATTGTACCAAGATTTTATAGTGCTATTTCAGTCCTTGGTTACAATTTATGCAATTTTATGTTATTCACTCATTAGTGATATAAACAGAAGACTGACCATCACGATCATCATGACCATTCTTCAAGTTGAAGAACAAGAAAGTGGCAAACTTTATAGAGAGGAGTGAGTTTTTTCATAAAGCTTCTGCAATAGAAAATTTACAGATTGCTACACCTAAACACTTCCCACACCACAACACAGCGCTTTCCAAATTTCAACATTCACGGCAGCGTGGAAAAAAAAAAAAACAATCAAACAGATGAAAATTAATCTTTTCCTTTTTTAAGCTCTCTACAATCTCGGTTTTCCATCAAGACGAACAACATCCACCTTTCTTGGATTCACCCTGCGCCTCTGATGGAATCACAACTTTCTTGCCGTTGCTGAGTGAAGCAGGATCTTGCTTGTTTAGCTCCTGTGAGCTCATCACTTTCCTGCTCAGTATGTTGTATATCTCTTTCACAACCGTCTCAAATGCAGCTGCGACATTTGATGAGTCCAGAGCCGATGTCTCCATAAAGAAAAGACCTTGCGCTTCCGCCAATGCTTTACCTTCCGCTGTTGGCACTTCTCTAATGTCCTTAAGATCCGACTTGTTTCCCACCAGGATTGTCACAACGTTCATATCAGAGTGTGCTGCAACAGTTACGTAATAGTCATTTGCATTGGGATGATTGTTTAGTAGAAGATAAGAAAATAAGATAAGAGTTTTTTGGTTTCTTACTGTGCAGCTCGTTGAGCCATCTACCAATGCTGTGAAAAGTCTGTCGTCTGCTGATGTCGTAAACCAGAAGAGCTCCAACTGCACCTCTGTAATACGCAGAAGTGACTGCTCTGAAACGTTCTTGACCAGCCGTGTCCCATATCTGTGCTTTGATCTCCTTTCCATTAATATCCATCTTCTGCGTCTGAAACTCCACTCCAATCGTCGACTTTGAATTCGGATAAAACTCATCCCTAGCAAACCTTGCGAGCAAATTTGATTTCCCGACTGCAGAATCACCTATTAGAACAATCTTGAAGAGGTAGTCTTCACTCTTGTCGTCCTCGGAATAAAAAGCCATCTCCTTTTACGCTTGAGAGTACTCCCTTCTACAGAGGCATATTTTTACCACTCGCTTTTAGCCCGTCTACAAAGTTAAAAACAAAACAGAGGAGTCAAAGTGAGGAAGAGGGAACAACAAGAATAAGTAGAGTTGTCAAAAAAAACTTCAGAAAAAGGAAAGATTGAGATCTAAGAGTTAACAATAGAATCTTTAATATCACCTGTCTACAGAGGTAGCTTCCTAGAAGGTTCTGTGGAGCAAAGTTGACTAAATTTCCAATCTTTCAACTCTCAACCACCCTAAAAAATCTATCACAAGCAAATGATTCCGCACATAAGAGCCTTCTGGATCCAAAGTAAGGCACCAATACAAGTTACCTCTTCTGAAAGCTGGATCTGACCCTATAGTATATTGTTCTACAAGATCACTTGGGTGTGTAAGCCTATATACAAACAAGTAAAGCCAACTTTAGCTGTGAGATCACCCTGAGAATCTAAGTTAAAGTCGGTGGATAGTAACTATTCACAAGGCATGAAAGCCGCCAATAGAAAAGCAGAGCAATATTCTCTCTATCAAAAAAGAAAGAAAAAAAAATATAGATTTCAGACAGAAAAGACAAGCGCGGGCCCTAAGCAACCAACACTAATTATCAGTGGATCACACAAAGTGCAGCTAAACACTGATGGAAATTCGCAGTCTTGTCCTTAAGTTACACACTAAAGATGAATCAGTAAATGATTGTTTTGCAGGTATACTATCTCTGCGTGAATATGGATATTCATATACGGAATGAGAGAACGAAGGTAGGCCACATTTTTCAGAGAAATGTGAGATATCTTTAGCAAAGAGAATTATAGACCCCAATCCACAAGAATCGAAATTTCACCTAAGAAACTAAACCCAACTAAGAACCCATTTCGAAGGAGAAAAGGAGGAGTCATGAGAGATTGTGAGATTTTTTTTTAATCAAACAGAGCGTGTGTTAGAAATCAAAGTAAAACAGAATTCCAAAGTTATGGGAGAGATCACAAGACATTCCCGTCAATTGTAAGACCACATACACACGCAAAAGAAACGATGATCATAGCAAATTCTAAATTTTCGCAGACTCATTTTACATAGTAGAACAAAAAACTACATATACAGGGATCATCACAAGGGGATATATGGGAAAAGCTTCTTTTTTTTCTCGGGAAAATGATGGAATTGCTATAAGGAAATCATAATTACCTCCTTGAAGCATCAACGATTTGAGAAATTGGGTAAATGAAGAACTGGATCCAAAGAGGAGAAAACGAAATAGGATCCCGAAATGGAATCGATCCGTGGAATAAAACGAAGGGATTCAACGCTTCTTCTGGGAAATCAAAGAGACTTCTTGTTAAGGCAGTAACTTTGGCAGAGATAAAAACCAGAAATTTTCCATTTCGGTTTCGGATTTGTAATAATGGGCTGAGAAGATAAACCTTATGGGCTTTAAATTGACCCACGTTACCTCTTTTATCAAGTTCTTTTCGTCTTTTTAATTTAGCTATTGCCATTCTAATATAGTAGTAAAGTATTACTATGGTAACTACAACTAGTAAGACTATCAATCAATTCTACCAAATTTCCATTCAATTTAACTCTATTAATCTGCTATAATTCACATTCTCTGAAAGGTTAATTTAATACAATATAGTTTATATGAGTAGAAGTATTAACCAGCCTTTGTCCAACACTAATGACTAAAAAAGGGTTTCAGCGAGAATATTTTTCATTTTTAATTTATTAACTTACATATATCCAAATATCTGCTTATGGCTTTCTTTGGCATGTCACACTAAGCTCGTAGTCTTATACAAATTGAGCCAAACAACACCTGCGAACTTAGTTGGAGCATGTGGCTGAGAGCCAGAGAGCATTGGAGCGTTGACCAGAAGATGCATTATTACCACCAACGAGTCCACGTCCACGTGGTTAGCAGTTGAAATTTTGGTCGCGACCCCAAATATAGAACCTAACCCTAAACAGCTAAACCCAACCACTTTCGTTGGATCTCTTTACAAACTCGGTTTTTGGTCTCCGGCCTAAACTCATAAAGAAGATTCTTTATGTGTCGGACGTTAGAATTAAATTACAACAAATAAAACAGATGTTTGTATTAAATTAAGGCACATGCACAACTTTAGTTGTTGGATATGTGTATGCTCTTAACTACGCCATAATGATCATTTCCTCCCTACTCCTAGTCTACTTCATCAATATAAACATACTTAAATTACGGCCCAAAATCTACGTTAATTTAATTTTAGTGTGTTCCATAATTTATCATCCCAATTGTAGCATATAGTCTACCTAAAATGGAAATCTTATGAATACATCAAGGAAATAGAATGTGAAGAATAAAGAAAAAAACAGAACACGAGAAATGAGTTCGTAACAAAGTTGGCGAGGCAGGCGTGAACTGGTTTCCGAACGTGATGATGACCCATTCATATTTTCATTTTTATACCGGTTGTTATTTACTTTTCTTATATTACTAACAATTTATTATTTCCATTATTTCTTGGTTTTTCTTTAAGAGTTAAAGACTATAAGGAAGAAAAACATTACACGTCAAAACTTTTGGAAGGAACACTTCACTTATAATGTTTCTCTAGTTTACTACTCCTTTTTGGGCGTATAAGTTGACGTTGCAATTGATAGATGAACAAGAAAATAAATATATTTATAAAACTACGAAGAAATTAAAGGAAAATAAAAGTGTGATGAAGTGAATAAAGATTCTTTATAAAGACAGATTAACTAACAAACTTAACCCTAATTGTCCCACAACTTTCTCTTCATACTTAATCTCCTCTTCTGTCTTCCCATTCATATTAATCTCCACTTCTTCCTCCAATTTTCTTTCTTTGTAATATCCATGGCCAAATCGTTAAATCTTTTCTTCTATCTCTCTGTTTTCATCTTCATCATCACTGAACCCGCCTTGGCTCAGAAATGTTCCAACTACAAGTTCTCAAGCAATCAAGTCTTTGAGTCCTGCAACGACCTCCCTGTTCTTGATTCCTTCCTCCACTACACATACGATTCATCTTCCGGCAATCTCCAAATCGCTTATCGCCACACAAAGCTCACATCCGGGAAATGGGTAGCATGGGCCGTGAACCCAACATCCACCGGAATGGTCGGAGCTCAAGCCATTGTAGCTTATCCACAATCAGACGGCACCGTTAGGGCTTACACGTCACCCATCACTAGCTACCAGACGAGTCTCCAAGAAGGTGAACTGAGTTTCAACGTCTCTGAGCTGTCTGCCACTTATCAAAACAACGAGATGGTCATCTACGCAACTTTGAATCTTCCACTTGCTAACGGTGGAAACATTAACACTGTGTGGCAAGATGGATCTCTTTCAGGGAACAGTCCTCTTCCTCATCCAACTTCTGGCAACAATGTCCGCTCTGTTTCCACTCTGAATCTTATCTCCGGTGCATCTGGTTCCACTTCCACCGGAGGAGGAGCAGATTCCAAACTCAGAAAACGCAACGTAATTTGATGGTTTCATCAAGTTTCTTCCTTTTTAAGTTTTGAAACTTGGGTTTGATTTGTAATATGATTTTGCAGATACATGGAATATTGAACGGAGTGAGCTGGGGAATAATGATGCCAATAGGAGCAATCATTGCTCGATACTTGAGAGTCTGCAAATCAGCAGACCCTTCTTGGTTCTACATTCACGTTTTCTGCCAATCTTCTGCTTATATTATCGGTGTCGCCGGTTGGGCCACCGGTCTCAAACTCGGCGGCGAATCACCGGGGATTCAGTTTAGCGTTCACCGTGCTATCGGAATCGCTCTCTTTTGCCTCGCAACAGTTCAGGTAGGTTTATAAAACATTAACACCGAGTGTTTTGTTTCCTCTTTAGACATGTTCTCAATTGCTTGTGTCGCACGTTAGGTGTTTGCAATGTTTCTGAGACCAAAACCAGAGCACAAGTACAGACTCTACTGGAACATCTACCACCACACCGTTGGCTACATCGTGATCATCCTGGCGGTTGTGAACGTTTTCAAAGGGCTAGACATCTTGAGCCCTGAGAAGCAGTGGAGAAACGCTTACACCGCTATAATCGTAACGCTGGGCTTAGTCGCGGCCGTACTCGAAGCTTTTACTTGGTATGTAGTCATAAAGAGAGGGAAAGCAGAGGAATCTGCCAAGACGACTCAGGTTGGAAACGCTGGTCGGTCTCAATACGCATAGAGAGGTTTGGTGTGTAGATTAGAGAGTGAAATTTTCTGGTTTTATCTGGTTGTTTATCAGTTTTCTGTTGGTTAATTTTGGTTGGATTACGTGCTTCTACATATACTGCTAGATTAAATTAATACATTTGATGGTTATTAGATGTTGAAGTTGAAGTTGAATGGCTCTTGAAGCCTTGACCCTTTGCTCTTTTACACCTTCACGATGTGTACATGTGAACTTACACGCGTTTAACAAATCCATTTTATTTCATCAACAGTGAAAAAGTGTACAAGTGAGGATACATAATCGAATAAATATCTTTGTCTGTGTGTGTATGAGAAAGTAAGAGAGAGACTGGTTACCTAATAAAAAATACAACAATAAACTTTGATGCTCCAAAAATTGTCTTTCGAATGCTTAAAAAAAAGGGAAGGAAGGACGGTTTTCTGACGTTGGTTAGTTCAAGCAAGATCTCGCGGCTCAAGGGCTGCGATTTCTCTCAAGACCTGACTTTTGTCTGCTTCAAACCTCTCGTCCTCTGCCAACAAGATGGACCACAAAACAAAGCATTACTAAGGAGGAGAAGGATCAAATTACAAAGCGTGTCTTCACTATACAGGACTTTCATACCTTTGTCTGGTTTCAAATCAGCCAACAGTCTCAGAAGCTTGCTTCTGTTTGCCACCAGAATGTTGATTATATCTGCAGGCTTGTTTTGGTTCGCTGCAAACAGCTGCACAACAGCGATGATAATCTCAGTACAATCACGTTGGACCAACATTTTAACAATCAAGATAATCATCATCGACAATAATAATTATGTTCGACTTCTTTAAGATATAAGGGAATATACCTTAAAAACGTGAAACGCTTCTATCTGGATGCTCTTGCTATTCTCCTGTTATCCAAAAGAGATTTGAGTTTATTTCCCAAACTGTTATCATTAAGAACAAGATATGGAGGAGAACATTCGGGTAAAAGCATCATACTCTTAGAAGATTCATCATAATTCTCAAGTTATCCATTGAGCTCACATATTTCGTCATCACAGCTGAATTTGATCGGTCCAGCAATATATCACCCAACAACTGTTTTAAAGTTTACACAATAAAAAACATCAGAAATGATCAGCTGCTATTATCGTTTTGATGTTTCAGACTCTCGTATATGTTACCAAATCTACCTTAATGGCCTGCCGTCTGGTTATATAATTTTTTGATTCAAGAAGCTTTGAGTTGTAGTCCGCAAAAAACTGCAAACCAAAAAAGTTTAAGAATTTCTACTAGCCTAACGCAGGACCTTCAGAGACTCGACGCATAAATCATAATTTTACGCATGAAACATAACGTTGTATGAAAAACTTACCCAGTCTTCATTCTTGGTGAGAAACTCAGCAACAGTAGACTTATGCCTTGTCAGCAGTTCCTATGAAAATACATTACAGGGTTTGGAATTATGATTGCATGTTTAACACTTGATAGTGCCAGAAGGTAAAAGATCCAAGTGAAAATGCAAGTTATGTTGCAACTTTTTAAGAACCTTAAAAGTTGCAGCTGCATCGGCAGCAATGTCGAAGTTAGGAAGCTGTATGTAATTGAAGAACTTCTTCACATGCTCAGACTCCAAAACATATCTGAATCCAAGTAAATTTTGTTAGTGAACCACTGTCATTAACATCTTTGAGCCGATTTATTATTACTTGACATGCTATGATCTACTCACTTGGCAACAATCTGATGGCGAATGCACTCCCTAAACATAGCACCATAGTGTAAAGCCATGTCTGTGTTCTCGAAGCTGACATCAAACATGGAAAAAACAATATAAATGGTAATATGAAGAATTTCTTAATGTGGAAACACCAAAGGGTTTTCTTCATGTAACTTGAATGATATGATTTCGCCCACTAAGAGTAACACTTACCCTTCAATCAGAACATCCATGAGATCGATGTTGGCTTCTAGATAATCAGAAGCAATCAACCGTGAATTGACTTGCTGCCTCTGTAGATTTGCAACAACTTGTGTAGCATCTTTCCTGGTCTAATATAGAGAAAAAAAGAAGACAGATTTCGCAATTCAACCATAGGAAATCCTCAAGCTTTCTCTAAAAAATGCTGTCTTTCAAATAGGGAAATGTGGGGATTGAATTGTCACCTCCAAGTTGAGTTTAGGGAGACATGTAATCAAGAGGCGTAGAGTATCGTCCTTAAAGAACTCTTGAGTCAGTTGTGCACAAGCTTCAGCGACAGGCTCGGCCTCGCTGTTTCCGTAAAGGATCGACTTCATATCACGGATATTCCGGCTTAGTTCAGCCATCTGCAAAGCAAAATTATCAGCCTCCCAAAAACAAGAAGAATCCAGGCAAAAATTCAACATTCCATGTAAGAAATTGCAGAAAAGCCATAGAGAGCAACGACATTATTGGAATAAAGAAACCAACAAACAACATTAACACTGAAGCGAATTGTATCTGAAATTGGATCAAATTGATTCGAAGATTCATGATAAAAAAAGAGGAAGAAATCTCAGCCATTTCAGGGGAGGGAAATCGAAAGTCGAAACCTTTTCTTCGCGTTTGGATTCTCGAAGGTCAGGCAAAGAGTTGGATCGATCGGCGTAGAGAAGGAGATCGCGCGTCTGTCGGATGAGGTCAGCAGGAGTTCGAGGCTTAGACTTGAAAAGCCCCTTCATCTTCGCACCGCCGATATCGGATTGATCCGACGGTTCGCCGCCGTATCCGACGGCTGAAGAGCTTAGGCTTCCGCTTAGGTGCTGCGACGGGAGCCTCCTCGCCGTGGAGGCTTCGCGTCCAGCACCTCTCTTTGACACGCACGACCCTATCCTTACCCTTCCTTCTTCCCCTTTTTTTTGTTGAGATTTAGTCAATTAAACGAAAAAGAAAAAAAAAATGACACAATTTTCAAAATTGAAGCTTTCTTTTGTATCTGGATTGTCCCTCCTATATCTCCTCCTGTTTCACCATGTTTCTCTCTTCTCTCACTTCCTCTCGGCCTCCATTTTTAGCGTTTAGCTCGATGGAGAAGAAAGATAAAAAGCTATTTCCTTCCTTCTGATTTTAAAACCAATAAATTTTCTGTTGAATATGTCCGAATAATGACAGTTTTACTTTTACTATTAATTAAACCAATGTTTTAATGTGACTTTTGTGAGTCCCTTTGAGATAAATTAATTGTAATGTTTGGCTTCAAGTTCTAATATAATCCGTAGATGAAAGAAAAAGAAAAAAAAGAGAAATCAATTGGTCAAAATTCAAGGTTCAACTGAAACTGAAAGGGAGTCACCGGAAAGTCGAATCGTTAGCTATGAATCAAAGAAATTTGTTCGTAATTTCACAGAAAAAAAATTTTCATTTCTCAATAGCTAGAAATGATATTGAACAAATATGAATGAGGTGGTAGTTGAATGAATACTGGTCACATCACATGTAATGAGCCAAAGGACCAAGACAAATGACATGTTCACTTTACACCTTCACATGTTTTCTCTCGTGTCCTTGTAGTAATATCGAAAAATTCACTAATTATTGAATTAATAATTTCGTTATCTCTCAACGGTCTCGTGACCCATAATCTATATATCCGGCATAATTAGCGGATGTTTCAACACTTGTTGTCTTGTTCAATCAAATAACCAATTCACATCTGCTTCATAAATATTTAGATTTATCCCAACAACATGAAATTTAAAAACCAGATAATACCGAAACTGAGGACTTTAGTTCCATTTGTTTTCTTGTTTGTTTTTTTTTTTCATTTTTTTTTTTATTAGATCGATTACATGAAAAACTCAGAGGAAAACGACCACTACTGGGCGGGCTTAAAGGAAGTGAGATTCATTGATTTGAGCCACGGCTTCTCCCATACAACCGCCTCGTAGTTCTCGCTAGCGTCGGAGCCGGCTATGCCTTTGCCATCATTCACCGCCACCACAAGCCGGTAATTCATGCCGGAGACGACCTGAGACTCGCCGCGAACAACCTCCACGAACTTGAGTCCCGATTTGCTCTGTTTGTTGTACTCGGAGACCGCGAACTCGCCGACCTCTACGACATGAGGGTCCTTAACGTCGCTGATGGGACTCCAGCCACCGACACGCGCCGCCGAAGACGCGTGGAGAGAGAGGAGGAGGTGGAGAGACAGTAGAAGAGGGAAGATTGCCTTGTTGTTCATTCTTCTGCCTTGTAACCGTTTGTTTTTTCTCGGATTGATTGATAATGGGGAGAAGAAACTTGAGAGGTTTTCAGGGTTCTTATTTATAGTAGAGTCTTGGCGCGTGACGTGGCGGGGGTTTATAAATTTCTTGCCGATTTTCTGAAACATGGCATAAAAGTGAAGCAAGATTTTTACATATTTAATAACATTTATGGAAAAATGTATTCAAATTAACTTCTACAGTATTTGTTTGAAATACATTTATCAGTCAACAAACAAAAAAAGAGTTATACATGTACTTGTCATTCAACCCTATTTTCAGTCACCAAATTTATCTGTAATCTGTTAAATCGTATCACTAAATACTAAAATCACATTAGTAAATAGTTTACCATGTAAGAGAAATGTAATGACAATTAATCTACAAAATTATAAAGTTAGGATAAATAAGTAAAGATATACAAAAATAATCTTACCTCATTTGAGAGACTATGAAAAAATAGCGTATTTTATCATATCAGAATTTCAAATAAATTTATTAATTTCTTAATAAATTAGCATATTTTATTGCATATAGCTGTTTATAATTTGTATTTGATGTTTTTGTATCCGACTTTGTAATTATGTTTATACTTTGGTTGTTTGATAAAAAATGATTTATATACAGCCTAATATAGTCTATAGACAAGTAAATCGAGGGGCGATGGAGTATGGAGCACCACTCGTATGAGATTGGATTACTATGTACTATTTTGCATTGGTCAACTACTAGCAAAGAAAAATTAATACCCAACAAGATTTGACTATAAGCATTTCACTAACGATTATAATAAGCATTCAATTAATACACAACTATATTGCCGTCATAGTTAATTCACAACTATATATATAGCAAAGGACAAAAGCATAGTTGACTGAAAAAGACAAAAAGTAATAAATGCATGGACGTTTTTTTTTCCGTTTTTTGTGTTTGTAGAAACCCGAAAACAGAAAAAGACACGCTGGATAATGACGTGGCGGAGTCTTGAAAAAGATGGGATATGGTATGGACAAGTAGGACCGCTGGATTGACACTAGTTGTAATCTCCCCAATTGCCGAAGAATACACACATTTATATATTTAAATTTTTTTCTCAATATAGATTTTGATATATACACAGAACCAAAAAAACAGACCAAACTTACCGGTACGTTGGAAGCACAAAAGAAAGCAATCGTACCGGAAACTATAATAGGGCCGGCGAGTTACAAAAAATGGGCCGTTTTTGCGACCACATGTAAATTTCCCGTTCCATCTTTTGACTTGCCATATCTAAAATATGCTATGCCCCATTGTGAAAATATAATGCAATGAATCGATAGTATCAATGGTCTTGTCTTGTGCTTCAAGCCCATCGAACTAAACTCCTCCCTTTGATGCAAAAACGTACGCCCCTGTCACGTTTTATATAATATAGATAGGTAAGCAAGTATTTTCACAAATGAAATATAAAAAATGTGGTTATATATGAGTAAAAGTTAAATATAGTACCAAGAGTGGGCATCAAGACGGAGAGAAAGGCGGTTCCGGCGATCTTGAGAGGCAAGCCTGTCTTGATCATGTCTTTGATCTCAATATGCCCTGTCGTAAACCCAACGACGTTAGATGGTGTTCCCGTGGGGAGCAAGAAAGCGAACTGTGACCCAATGGCACCTGGTACCATCAATAGCAAAGGATGGATTCGCATTGTCTTTGCAATCTCAATGAGTAAAGGAACCAACAATGTAGTGGTTGCGTTGTTAGACGTGAACTCAGTGATGGTAGCAGAGATGAGACAAACTGTTGGAGCAATGGCCCAATAAGGAGCTGTTTCAAGAAACACCAGTCCTTTAGACAAAACTTCAGCTAAGCCACTGGTTCTAACTCCATCCGCTATAGCGAATCCAGCTCCCAACAACAAAACTATGTTCCATGGGAGTTTCTTGCATTTTCCCCAATCCATTAGCTTCTCTCCCTTTTTAATATTGTTTGGGATTATAAACAACAATGTAGCCATCATCACACTCGCTGTTCCATCTCCAGCTCGGCCGTTGAAGATGCAACCCCAGCCAGGGATATCGTCGGTTATGTTTCTTGTCATCCACAACACAACCAAACCACCAAACACAGATAAAACCATCTTCTCAGCGAAACTCATTGGTCCTAACATATCAAGCTCTCTACGAAGATGAGCTTTGTGGAGATAAGGAGAGAGAGCTTTCCCTGATCCTTTAGGACAATACAGTACACATAGAATACCCCAAAGCACAAAGAATATGCACAAAGCCAATGGAAGACCGAAGAAGAACCATTGGCTGAAACTGATTGGATCAGCTTCAGGGAAATAGCTTTTCCACATTCCGACAAGTATCAGATTCACACCTGTTCCTGTCAGTGTGCTCATTCCACCTACTGACGCCGAGTATATCACACCGAGCACCACCGCTCTACAAAACTTCCCTACCGCCGGAGGAACAACTTCCGACGACGACGAAGACGACGAGGGAAGTCTCTGAAGAATTCCTGTAGCGACTGGCATCATCATGACCGCAGCCGCCACGTTGTGCATCCACATGCTCACGAACGCCGTTGTGGCGCAGATGCCAAGTAGAAGCAGCGGCGCGTTTAGCGGCTCCACGCAGAACACCGACGTTATCTTCACATCATTAGATTATCCATTGTTATGTGATTAAATTATCATAAAAAAAAGAAGATTCTTTATATTTTTCAGTTTACTTTTTTTTTTGCCATTTAACTTTAATTATATGTCAATTTTTATTTGACTCTTACTAGGAAAAACATCTGCAATTATTTGTATCCCTACTTATTATGTACATGGACCACTTTCCGTTGTTATGCTATTATAAATTTATAATTGAATAAGTGGGGATTCAATTGAAGTTCTTCACATAGTTAATTGATTAATGATCATATATAGTTGTAATTAACTCATCCGTGGACCTACAAAATCTTCTGATTGCTTCAATATTGGCTAGAATCAGTGTCCCTACACGGCTCATCTAGTTTGCACCACATAAATTTTTTTTTAGAAAAAAATCGTATAGAAGGTGAAACTACCATAGAAAAAAAAAAAAGAAAGTCGATGTTTTACTTAAAAAAAAAAAGAAATAATTGTCTCATAAGTAAAAGACAGAAATAATTGAATTAAATAAAATATGAGAATAAAAAAATGATGAAAATTAAGAGATAAAAAAAGGACTCACGTTCAGGGCGAGTCGGCGATGGATGTTATAGTGTTCGACGGCGAGAGCGAGGATGAAGCTACCGAGGACGAGAGCGATGACGTCATCCATGTAAGAACTCGCCACGTCATCAGCCGCCGAGATACCGAAGATAGGAAACAAGAAAAGAGGCGACATGGAGGTGATCGGCATCGGAACGGCCTCCGTCAACCACCAGGCGAACATCCAAACAAGAACGCCGAGCATGTTCCTCGCCGTCGTCGTTTCATCTCCGCCGAGGCGTGCACAAAGACACACGACGGCGCAAAGAAGAGGACCGAGAGCGATGTAACAATTCTTAGGCGTGAATATTGTCCGGAGATGTTGTCCCACCGATTGTCTTTCGCATGGTTCGTCGTCATTGTGGACGACTGGTAAGAGAGGAGATTTCGGGTCGTCCGAGATATGATGAACACTGCTCATTATAATGGAAGGAGAAAAAAAAATAAACAGAGAGATGTGAGAGGTAGAGAAGAGAAAGGACCCTTTTATAAATTTAAGTTAATATTATATCCGACCTTTCTATTCATCATATTTAAAAAAAAAAAAAAACGGAATGTGTTTGGCAAATAAAGAAAAAAAGATGCAAAAAATCTGAATGTGTTTGTATTATAGAATTAATTTGTGTGGTCCATGTAACATGAATATTTGGTTTTTATGAACGTGAGTGACACATGGTTAATATGCAAAGGCGCTCCAACATTTTAGTTGAGTTGTTTTTTCCCTGTAAAATGTTATATCCGTTTTTAAGTTTGTATTTTCTTTGAATGTAAAAATGTTATTCAACGTGTATCACAAATACTTGCTGGTTCTCAATTTTTTTTTTAATTATTAATAATGTATGGGGTCACATTAATATGAGAGGCAAATAGACAATGTATTTTATTGGGAGACAAAATCGCATTATTGGATAATGGGTAAAGAGAAAGAAAGGTCATTTTACAGTGAATATAATTGATGACTTTTCAAGTTATCTAAGGAAGTTATAATTAATTTATTTTTTACAATAATAATATAATGGACCCATGAAAATGATGGGGTCTCTAACAAATTTACAAGTTACAAGTGGCGAAGCCGTGATGGCTTGTAAACTTTGGAATCTGATCATAATCCATAAGGACATTAGAGATTAAGATGACAAGTAATCATCACAGTTTACTGCTAATTAATTGAATCTTATTATAATAAAACCTAGTGATAGAGGGAAACCATTTAAAATATTTAATTTCAAGAGTTTTAGATAAGACCCTAAGTTTCGTCATTTAACATTCATAGTCCCATTGTTGTTATGAAAATGTCCACAATTAGACCCTAAGTTTCGTCATTTAACATTCATAGTCCCATTGTTGTTATGAAAATGTTCACAATCTGGAACTCATTTTAATAATAGATGAGAATCAAACATATAATATTATTCTTATGTTTGAAATGTTTATTAATGGTTATATTAAGAGGTTAAGAAAATGTTTGAACAAATAAAAACGAACAAAGAGAAAAATCAAAATAGGAAGAAGGAAAGCCAAACATTTGGCAAGAGTAAAGAGAGAGTAAGACACGTTATAAGTGCAGCCTTTGGTACTCCTCCAGAGCCCAACTTCCCTGGTTCATACCTTCCTCTTTTTTGTCTTTTTTCTCTAATAATTATATTTTTAATACATTTCTACAAAACTAGGAAGAAATATTCATGTATTTGAATGAAGGGAACCAAATCTTTTTCTTTGCCTATTAAATCTCTCTTAGATATATATATATGCATTTGGTCTAAAGATAAGCACATACATGCATGTATAGATACGTAAGTTGAGTTTTGTTATATCCATTAGTTCAACAAAAAGAATTATTCCCTTAGAGAATTGCATTTAAGATATAACATAATGAGAGAGAAAGAAAGAGGTGTAGTACGAATAATAATTTAGTTTTGATGGGGTCCAAACAATTAGGGGAAAAAGAGCCAGAAGAAAAATGACACGTAGGCAGATACAGAATTGAAGAATCATTCATGGAAACAATTACTTTAAAGGAATGAATATTTGAAAGGTTGAAAGAAATCATATCTCATGACTCATGTGGTTGTCTTTGATTCTACCACTTAGTCAGTAGATATGAATGATTATCATCAAACTAGTTTTAATCAGCTGAGGTGTAGACTACGTGGTCTCCAAACTCGTCTCTTGTTTAGATCTCTTGCTACAAGTCTAGGTTAGACTTGTATTTGTTCAAGTCAAATCCAACTCATTATCCCACACTAATCAAATTTCAAATTAGATTTTAATCTGTTTCTTAAAGTCTCTTTACTAGTATAATAATGTTTAAGACCGTCACACCAGTCTTTCACGAAATGCATCTTTTACCGGTAAGTTGTTTGGTAGTGCGTATATAGGCTCTATACAAATTGTCTTTCCTAACCTATACTTGTCGTGACAAATTTTGATAGATAGTTACCAAAGAAAATGAATTAGAGTAATAAATAAACGAACGAAGTGCTTATAAGATAATGAAATTATACAAAGAGGGAAGAAATACCGTATACGTTATAATGACAGCAGATAACCAAAGTTTTCAGTTTAACTTTGGCAAATCCAAAACGGAGACGAGCAAGTTCAATGTCCCTCTCAATGCCCCTACTCACATGCCAAATTCAGTAAACTGCATTTTTGTCTTTTATATTTTCATTAGCCTTTGTTTGGCGTCGTACAAGGCTAAACCTTATTCGGACACATGTCGACTACTGCCATCTATCCAATCGCCTAAACACAACCGAAGACAGTTTTTAGATTTGCTGAAACAGATGTCTTTCTCTTATGCATACCCAAATGGTCACTGTTAATTACAGAGACAACACGTAATAAAACCAAAAGTCTCTCTTATTCTTTTGTCTTCAAGTTCTGAGCAGAAAATAAAAACATTTTGAAGAACAGAGCAGTGAAGAAAACACGCTTGAGTTTGATGAGCAGATCACTTGATAGGTCTCTATGGCTCTCCTCCAAGCTCCACTCTGAGGTTGTCATACGGATACACTCGTGGTGTCTGCAGCAACAACACAGTAATAGATGATCATGAAATGGAAAAACAAGTACCACAATGAGATGACAAAAAAAACACAAAAGCAGATAGTTGAGACGTCATAGAACGACTTCTAGAGTAAATGAACAGCAGCAATTCATCTCACGTACAGACAAGAAGCCAGAAAGCATCTTCTATCTTCTTAGCCCTAGTGTGCTGTTCAACTTCCATAACTTGAAATTCATTGGAATAAGACTCATAGTATAGCCTTGATACAAAGTCATGACGCTTGGCCAGTGGCTACTAAGAGAACTAACTCATAGACTAACGGGACGAACATTAAAAAAAAAAGCAATTCATTTCCTAAAGACTATATTAAGAGATTATCTTCAGCTCGTATATTAATCAGGAATAATAATAGACTTTAGCAGCTGATACACCTCTAGCTAGAGGCTTCATGTTTTTACTTACACGCGTATGAGCTTAAGCATGTACCGAGTTCCCAAAAACATTGTGGGTGTTTCTTTCAAATGCTCCTAACAACTATGCACAGGCTCAATCAACTAAGCAAGGATAATGAAAACAATGCGGATAAAAGATCCTCTCTTTCAATACTTTGGTCAGAAGCAAAAGCAAACCGCAAGACTTAGTTTATGTTCATAAACAAGCAAAAATGCAAAAGCTTAGAGTTAAATATTGCGGCATTAAGCAGATGAAGAAAAGAGCATTCTGTTATGCGAGTAAATTTTTGGTGAACTCTATATTTTCTCTTCACATTTCGCTGATGGGTTATCTAAGATTCCGACAATAACCTTTATATCAGAAATAAGCCTATGCCAAGTATATGTTTTCATATTAGTGACATCAAAAATGACAAATGTGGTTGATGAATCCAATTCAAAGTAGATTAACAGAATAGCAGAAGGTAAGATTTTGTAGCAAGATAATGACTACTTCCTGCGTATTCTGGCTGAATCAAGACGCGAAATCACACTCAGGACACCACAATGAGAAGGCATTTGCGTAGTGCGAAAGATGAATCACATAAGAAGTTGAAAGATTTTCACTTACAAATGGAACCTTTGAAGCTTTATCGTTCAAAACAGCGAGCAGACCCAGAGTCGCAAAGAACCCTAAACCGCCACACAACCATCCCAATGCTTCGTACTGTTTCAGTCATATCCAAATTCGATCAGAAAAATAAACAATTGATTTACGCCGATAAACATTAGAAATCGTAAGAGAATCCAAAAACCAACCTTCCCGACGGTATCAGCAATCCGATCTATGCAAGGCTCTGGAAACGCAGTCCCGTTGTCCCACATCAGCTCGTCGTTAACCGAAAGCTGAGACGCAATTAGGGAAAGGGTCTTCAAAATCGAAACAAATTTCGGAGAATTTAAAATTACAGGGATTTTGACTCACCGGCTTATCGGGGACGATGTGTTTGCCGACAGGGAGACCCATGCCGGCGCGTTGGCGGAGAGAAGAGGCGGCGGATCTGGCAACAACGCCGTTTCCACCCATGATCCGTGAAGCCACACCGCTCAATCGTCCTGCCATTTTCCTTTCTTCGATGTTTTTTTTTCTTTTGGGTTTCACAGGTTTCTCGTCTTCTTTCTCTTGGAGATCCCAAAAATCGATTCAGATAGAAGACGGCCGGTACTGATCCAAGTACTTAAACGGCGTCGTTAAGATATCAACCCTCTAGCTCAACCGGAGGTTTTAGTATTGTTAAATCTTTTGAATTTAAAAGTCTGTCTGTATACAATAACAAACCTTCAAAACTAGTTTTGATGAAAATCTTATGGGATGCTGCTACGCCAATACCATCTTTTCATAACTTGTATGTTTATAAGTAAACTCTTTGGGACATTTTTGCTTTCTGGTTGTACATTTTATTAAGACTGCGAATGGAGTGACGATGTTCAGATAAAATTGAACATAAGGCTTTGTCATGTTGGACGTGAGGAACAGTCACCAAAGAAGAGATTTTACTTTCGACAAATTAATACATTGTGGGTTCATCCCAATTTTGATGTGCTTGTTACAACTCGATCTCGGACAATGAAATTATAAGAATTAAATCTGTACAAGTATATGAATTTTGTTTTTGTTAGTGCATTCTAGCTTTGTGTCTTTCTATAAATTCATCTAATATCTATTGCTTCTAACTGGAGCTTCTCTGCTTTAGATGCTCATTCTTTCTGGTCTTCCCGAAGCTTGGCCAAAACTATGTCTCTGTTTCAACGAGCAAACTCGATAAATGCAATGACTTATACAAAATCTTCTTAGGTACTATATATATGTAATCTTTCGAATTTAAAGTCTCTATACAATAACGAACCTATAAAAAATGGTTTTGATAAATTCTCATGGGATGCTTCTCTTACTTAAAATGATTTCATCATCGAATGTTAGAATCTTTCTTGTTAAGAAAACACTGATAATGGTTTGTCTTTTCTTTGATTCTTTTTTTTGGGAGAACCTTTAAAAACAACTAAGCCTGGTCTCTTGTAAATGCCAAATATGGATCCAAATGGAGGTGTTTATTCTTAACACATGAGTTGTTTGGCAATTACTCATAAACCGGAAGCCTCGCCCTCGAGAAGCATACAGGAGCTTTGCTTTGTTGACTTTTTTATATATATGAAGAAGAGCTTTGCCTTTGCATATCCGAACTTCTCTGTGTTCCACTTTCACTATGGATATATCAAAAGAAATGACTATCCATGGCTTCTTTGGCAACATGTCGAAGAAGAGGAAGTGCGAAGGTTGACGCTTCCCAGGTAAACACGGCCACTCTCATCGTGCTCATACACGTTCTTAACCTCAGCATAGAATCTCACCTCATTCTCATTAGCAAGCACGTCAACATCATCACCACAAACGCCTGGCACATCCACTGAAAAGAAAAGACCTCCTTTAGCTATTGGTTCTCCAACGAATGGTCCCTTACGACCTTTCACCAAAAACGGATGATCCTCCAGGTATCTTCCTGATTTACCTGTCGAGCGATTCAAACAAAACAAACAAACAAAAACAGAGCTTTTACAACAATGGTGCAAAGGCAATAGTGATGGTGACTTTAGGTAGAGGAAAGGATCGAACCAGTGAAAGGAGGCACAGTGAGAGTACACTTGTTCTCATGGTCTTTGACCTTGACCCTTGAGACAATCATCCTTAAGACTCCATGTTTCATTTTGGCCTCCACGCCGGTGATCTCGCAGCAGTCACAGCCAAGACCAGCGGATCCAGAGTATTCACGAGCGCCTTCCATCTTGTTAGCGATAGTTTCGCCTGAGAAAAGAACAATCTTTTTCCTCACTTCGTCGACTCTGTAGCGAACGGCATCGTCTGGAACACCGGGCAAGTCAACCCTCACATACAGATTATCATTCTCGAAAATCTTCACCTGGATGAATCCCTTTGGACCAGCTTTTTGGAACTGGTTGTTGGTAGCGTAGAGACTATCTGGAGAGAATAAAAATGAGAGAAATCGTAAATAGTAAGTTACTAGAAAGAATACACAAAAAATCCCTAAAATAGACTTACTAAAGACTAACTGAGCTGAATATTTTAGTTTCCTGGACTAAGAACCAAAAAAGGTAAAGACTTTGCACCTTGTTCACGGTTTTCTTAGAAAATAATAGAAGAGAAAGGAGAAAAGATTTTAAAGCGTGATGTGGCAGTCTACGGCTGGCTCTTTAAAGCGTGAAGATGAGATTAACCAAAATTAATGTTAAATTTAACTCAAATTGCTTTGCCTTTTGAATTGTTATCGTGAAAAGAACCGGAGAGTAGTAGTACGATGACGTCTGCGATATTACAGAATCAAAATCCTTTCACATGCGACAAAACATGGAAACGAGGCAGGCAATTCTCGTTTCTCTCTCTTTATTTCAAATCTTTTACATAATAATTCAAACATGGAAGACGCTGACGTCAGCGTTGCGTTAGGGCAAAACAGTGAGCTGTCAACTTTTTTTTTTACTCCCTCTATTTACTTTTTATATACGACAAACAAATTACAATGCAATGCAACGTCTCCTTTTTAATATTTTTGCTCCAAACATCTCTCTTCTAAAATTTACAATCGTCTTTTATATGATTTTTTTTTTCGTTATTTTCAACTTTATTGTTCATGGTTATTAATCATTACGGTACTATTTAAAGTTTGTTACTTTTCTGAAACAGCCATTAAACATTGCGTTATAGGCTCAAATGAATGTTTTGATGACATTAATCAGATATGATGATATATACCAGAAGAAAATGAAAAGCAATAAACGATGGTTTTATTTAGTGTTTATCCAGTTAATATTCACATACGACAAGAAAAAATCTACAATGCAATGCAACGCCGCCTTTTTTAATTTTGCCACACAATACATCTCTCATCAGAAGTTTACGACCATTTTTTAGATGTTATCCAGTTATTTTCACCTTTATTCTTCATGGTTTTTAAGGTACTATTTAAAGTTTGTTACTTTTTTGAAAATCACACCATTAACCACATCTCGTTACATACTCAAATAAACGTTTTGATGGTATTAATCAGATGATAAAGAAGAAATGAAAAGCACTTAACCATAGAAAAGATAAACGTAAACCATGCTGCAACACAGTCGACGTCATCGATACACTTTTAATTAAAAGCCAGAAAAGGAAAAAAAAGTTATAGAGAAGACCATAAACCCTTGAAATACCATTACGAAAGCGAGACAAGACGATAACGACAATACCAACTTAAACATATAGAGTCGACGTCACACAAACACTAGAGACCCATTTATTAAAAACCATAACAGAAAGAGAAAAAAAAAAGACCGTAAAACCCTAGACCTAGACACACCATTATTTAAGAGACAAGAGAGACGAGACAGATAAAAACAAAGACGTACGACTCAAGCCACGTTGTCTCTTGTGACATTTAAATTCAGCATCTTCTCGGTGAAAGTAAGCTTGATGTTTGAGCCTGGGACCTTAGGGACAGTGATCCAGAGCACACCATTGAGAAGCCTAGCCTTAGCTCCTTTCGCCACGAAACCCGCCGGGTCGAAAACAATGGAGCCTCCGTATTTGCGACCGTCGTGGTTGTACTCGGGCAAGACGGGTTCGTCGGCGAAGAAGTGGAGGTTGTTGCCATTGACCCAGTAGACGAGGTCTGACGCGGGACACCCAGGCAAGTCTAACCTGTAGATTAGGCACGTGTCCGTCTCCTTCACCTCGTACACAGCATCGCTACCAGTTTTCTGGAATCGGTTCCTCGCTACAACACCAAAAAAGAAAAAGAAAAAAACGCTCAGAGATTAATCACTGAATATATAGAGAGATTTAACAAAAAGAAAGAGAAAAAAAAAAACAGAGTTTGTAAGAGAAAAGAAGAAGGAAGACGTACGGATAGGTGGGAAATGCTTCGGCCAATCTTTATTTCCGTAGCAATTGTTTCCGCCGGTGCTGCCTGTTTCACTCATTCTTAAAACGACGCTGTTTTTGCTGTTTTTTTGCTGTTTTTTTGCTGTTTTTGGATAGTGGAGTGTGTGTGAAAACGTGAGTGAGAGTGCCACTTACTATTTATAGCGGAGAGGATAATGAGATATTGTGTAGGTTTGGAAGATGCTTCTAGTAACTTAATATGGGCCTAGAAATTTAGCTTAAATCCAGATGGGCCTGATTATCGGCCTAGTATGATTCGCTTAAATTCACCACAATTTTATTGGTTTGAATTTCAATCTGATCTTGTTGGTGTAGCTTTGGGTGTGTAATATAGGACATTTCTTCTGATAGTATTTTATCTGAGATTTTCTGGGAAGATGTTGTTATGAGTGTGACGCTTGTGATTAACTACAATGGCTTGAAGATCATTAGTGTGACAGAGTAAGTGGAACTGATACACAAAATACAAAATGATTTCCGAATGAATGAATAAAATAATTATTAATATCAGCAAGCTAGGTCATTTGATGGATCAAGCTTTATATCAACTTGGTTTAAATCAGCTATGGGAAAAAAGTTTAGATCGTGAAAACAATTGACATGAATCACATACGACAAAACAAACAAAATACATGAATTGTGACCTCTCTTTTCTGTCTTCATTTTCAAATTTTTACAGAGGAAACATTGAATTAGCCGCTGACGTCAGCGATCATCTATGTTAAAATTACGAGCTGTCAAATTTTCTACTCCCTTTTCTTCTTTTCGCAGCATATTTTATTTGTTGTATGAGTTTTCACCCCACAATTTTTAAAAGATGTATTTTTTTTTCCTTTCTCTTGAAGTCGATCTCTATAAATGTTTCTCCATTTTTTTCTAGTTCACATCTATTTCCATTTTTTTTCTTTCTTTATAATTTTTATTATTTAGGATATAAAATTCAAAGCTTTTTTAAAATTTGAGACAGTTTTATTTATTAGTTCCAAAACGTTCTTTTTTGTGGGGGAGGGGTTTAAAATCAATCGAAACAAACGCTCTTGACATAAAGATAACAAATTAAGAAACGTTCTGATAACACTAATCATTCGATTTAGAAGAAATTAACAATCACTAGCTAGCTAGTATTCAAACATAAAAGATAAACATAAACCAATGTACGAGCTATATAAATCTCATTATATATGAGACTTGAGGAGACGGAAGAGAGGACGATTCAAACCAAGCCTGCTCTTTTTATCTTACGAATAAACCATCTACTCGATGAAATCATTCTTGGCGTTTTGACCTGCGTTCTTAGGGACGGCGTTGAATTGATCCAGAGAAGCTTAACATTTGCTTCCTCGACGTCTCCATATTTGCGCCCGACGTGGACCATGGCATGACTGATTCGTCGACGAAGGATTATAGGTTTGGAAAGGGCCTTACTTAAGCTATTATGGGTCCATCAATCGGCCCATATATTATAGTTCCAAACGAGCTCTCAAATTACCAAACTTAACGAATCCCAAGAAATTGAAACTGCTTTGATTTGGGGAAATTAGGTTTTCTCAGTCTCGGTAGAGTTTGGTGCAGATGTTATTGATAAGGATGGATGCAGCTTCTAAATCGTGATCAAGTAGGTACGTACATTTATTTCCCTCCAATTTTCCACATACATTGCTAAGCTCCTCTAACTTTTAGTTTAGTGAGCTATGATTCTTGATTATTGCTGAATTAATGAATTTCATTAGAGTCATCTTATGAAAGCTAGCCTCTGGTCTAGAAATTCATTCAACACAGTGCTCGTAAACTTCTTAATTCTCGAATAATTTCATTTTTAATCTTATCAAAAGCTCGTATCTTGCATTTGAAAATGTTGCAAAACCTTTGATCCTTACGTTTTCGGTGGTAAAAGTTGCCATTTTTCATTCGTTTAGAGCTTATTCATTTTGTGGAGTATATAATTTGATTCATACAAGTGGTAATTACTGTTTTGGTTGTCCGTGTTTTATAATTTAACCTATTACAGCAACAGCAACAGGGTAATCTCAAGCAAAACATGATAAAAGTCTAAGCTTTGGATTTAACGAGAAAACGAAAAAGTCTAAGCTTTGGAAAGAAGAAGAAAAAGTGGGAGAAGAATCAGAGTAAAGCTACTAAGTATTGTTCTGGCTTGGAGGAGTTTCCGTTGATGGTGCAGAGTCTAAGGTGTGTTGTTGTGAGAAGATAGAAGTCCGGCAAGTAGGACAGGAGGAGCGGGAAGAGAGCCACTTGTTGATACACTTGACATGGAACCCATGATGACATTTCTCCAGCACTTGGATACTCTCGCCTTGCTCGAATTCGGACAAGCAAATGGCACACTCTGCTTCTGCTCCTGCAAGCTCAAGGTCGGAGGAGTAGACAAGCGTAGGAGTTGGTATGGTGGATGAAACATCCGCCTCAGGATCAGGCTTGTGGTCTTCGTCGTCAGTCTCGAGAGTTGGCCGGAGAAAGCAACGAATTGCAGCGTAGAGAGAGAGAGCACAGATGAGAGCAGAGACGAGAAGGATGAGGAGGACGGATGCGTTTGCTTGGAAGTCAGTAGAGTCGGAGTAAGGCTTCCATCTGCAAGTATGGGAGTTACATGCTGGAGAAGCAGAGGACAATGGTGAAGCTGCAACTTGTGCTGCTAGCAAACGCATCGTTTATGGGTTCTGTTTTTGCTTTGGAAGAGAGTCTCTCGTAAAAGCCTTATAGAGAGAAGTGTGGGGACAATGGCTGCGTTTCCAGTGAAGTCTTGAAGCTCTCAGAGAGTTGAGGGATTAGGATGTTTCGTCTCTATTTTGAGGACTGTAACTTCGCTTCCTCTCTCTCTTTTTGGTCCACTTCACATAAATGGATATTATTGTGATTGATGATGGATAGCTCTTTGTCCTCTTGGCTTATCATCATCCACATGTTTGCCACATGTCGCCTTCACACTACGTTGCCTACATTCTAGGCAATACGTTTGCAGCTCTTTTTTTTTAATTCGTATTCATGCTTGAATATGTCAATATCTTTGATTTATAAAAGAAAAGGGAGAAAGACAAGAGCATAATACACTTCATTGTTTCTTTGTCTCTTTATATCACTCGGTTTACATTTTTTTTCTTTTCAAGATCAAAAGAAACAAAACCCCAAAATTAGAAAAAAAGGGTTGAAAGAACAAACTATAACAACAATCAAAATAGTAAAAAAAAAGGTAAAGAAAAGCTTTAAGCTTTTTTTGAACAAATATATATATTTTTAATTTCTTCCTCTTCTAAAAACTTTCTTCTGCAAATAGCCAAATCATCATCTGATCTCCATGGAATAGTTTTTTCTCACTTCTCTAAGCTGCAATTCCTGCAACAACACCATTTTCATATGTTCATCAGATTTTCCCAAAAACATAAATGTTCAAATTCTCATATGAATAAGGTGGTCAACATTCATACCTCCGTTTGGTTGCCTATTGATGTATCCAGCTGGTCCTCTAGACATGAAGTCTAATGCTCCCATTCCCAATCTTTCCTCCGCCTTTGCAGGCAGCGAAAGCCATGCTGAGTCGCTGTACAAAGAGTCTGCCTCCAAGCTGCTTGAGCCGCTGCTGTAACCACCAAAAGGACCACCTCTCATTGCTTCTAATCCTACGCCTCCTCCCTCACTGCGGTAGCTATTACGTGCACGTGCAGCTGTTCCCCAGTTGTCTCCGATGCTGCCTAGTGAAGACACTCCAGAGCTTCCACTGAAGCTACTTCTAGATATCGGTGAGTTTGACATGTAACCTAGACCACCATTTCCCCATAAATGGTTCTTTGTTGCTGCATTTAGCACAGAACCGTTCCCCACACTAGCTCCTCCCGACTCAATCTGGCTACCGTACCTGCTAAGACCCGCAGCATATCCTGGGCTAAAGGGCCGTCCAAAGCCTCCATTGGAACCAGCTCCATAGTTCTGAGTCTGGTCTTGCTCAAAATTCAGCTCGATTCCATATCCATGTCCAAACGGTGAGAATCCGCCCCTATTACCTACTGCTGGACTGTACCTAACTTCAGGTTTGACTCCATAACCGGAGATTGGACTCGGGCTGAATCCTTGGGTGTACTCGTTCAGCAGCAATGCACTGATTCTACTACTGCCAAAGCTATTTACATTCATTTGGTTCCGGATTGGGTTCAGAGCCATTTCCTTAGGAACAGCCAGTTTGACCTCCACCATCTTGCCGTTGAGCTCGTGGAATGTCCTCTGCAGCACTTTGTCTACAGCCTCCTCTGAGTCATAAGAAATGAACCCAAAGCCTCTCGGTCGCTGAGTTCTGTGGTCATACATCACCACAACATCCGTGATCATCCCAAACTGAGCAAAGTACTTCTTAAACTCAGCCTCTGTCACCGATGAAGCCAAGCCTCCCACAAAGATCTTTTTGCTGTGTGCTGGGCCAGGTGATCCCTGGAGGCTGCTGTTACTTTTGTTAAATACTGAGTGATCATCTCTTGGAACTGCCTTCTTCGCCTCAACCTGTGATCATGGAGAAAAGAACCCACACTCAGCGTTGGTTAATTCTTGTTTAGTGAATGAATATAAATGTTGGCGCAGAAAATTTAGCATTCTAATTCATTGTCAACAAGTTTCTTCAACCAATACTTGAACTTGAGAATCTGGCAAATCATGGAGCTTTGTCATCCTTAAGAATAAATCAGACAGAGTTAGATTAAGCACCATGAGACGATCCAAGTTTTACTTTATTATGAGTGAAACACAGCTTTTTGACCAAGATCAGCATATATATATTAATGAGAGAGACGACATGTTCTTTCTCTTTTGCTTTTGTTGCTTCCTTACGCTGACTGTGACAATGTAGACTATAGAGTCTAAAACAGGAATGAATAAAAGAGAATAGCTTTGCTTCGAGGAGCAGCAACCTCTAATTCAAGGCAACTAATCATTGAAATGAAGCAGATTGACATTGAAGCAATGTACTTGTGTTGGTTTAAAGGGATTTTGTTGGAAAACTTACAATTTTACCATCAATAACGTGTCTGAGCAAAACGACTCTCTCAGCAACATTGGGGTCAGCGAAGACAACGAAACCAAAGCCACGAGCACGACCAGTGGCTCGATCCTTCATGATCACCGCCTCTAAAACCTCACCGAAACTCTGAAAATACTCGCGAAGACAATCTTCGCTGGTCTCCCAAGAAATCCCACCGATGAACAGCTTACAAGATTCCATTTCCATTCTGCAGAAGAGAAAACAATAAAAGGGTTTGTTCTCGAGTAAGTATCTACATCTCGATCTAGCTGAAAACATCATCTATATTTGAAAACCCAGAATCTCATTAAAAAATGAGGATGAAGAGAATCGAATCCAGCAAACCTTATGGGAAGAAAATAGGATGTATCGATGAAAAAGAAGAGCTGGGTCTTGATCGGATTCTCTGAACCGATCGACCCACGATCCTGGATTCCTGCAAAAACAAACACACACACACACATCACACATGGGTCGATCAAAAGGTGTAAGTTTTGAAAGAAGAGATCAAAAAACAGAGAAGAGAAGAAAAGTTCGAGAGAGAATCTATATAGTACCGAAATTTAAGAAAACGGAGAAGAGGAAAAACGAGATTGAAATCTAAAAAGATTGGAGAGGAAGCTTAAATAAGAGGGCGTGAGGCCCTCTTTTTCCTCTCTATTTTTCGTCCAATAATAAAAATTTACTGTTTTTAATTCGGAAATGGGCAGAAAAAAAAAACCAAAAAGGATTGACAAAAAAATGGATGATGGAGTTTGTGCAGCAGAGAAGAGAAGAGAAAACAGAAAAATGGGATTCGCTAAAAGAAAAAGGAAGCTCCTTCTTACGTTTTGTTTTTTATATGGAATGTTTGGCTATCCTCTCTTCTTCCTTTCTAATTCTAAAGAGACGATGGCATTTTCGTCTTTTCATTCGATCTGTAATAAAAAGGTTTAATAATTAATTACCGACGTTTTGTTTGTTTTGTAGTACCAACCAATGTGTGCACCTTTTTACCCATAAGTTTCAAAAAATCTTAGCCATTTTTAAGTTACATACAAACTTTGATTTTCAAAATTTATCATGAATAAGACATGGGACGAATTATCCGACATAATTACAGGTTTTACCATGATTTATTCTTACAGCTAGACTATTTCATCCAAATTCATTTTTTCTTTTATAGAATTTTCTTCTGTTTCCATTTATTTTTAAATGTCATTTAGTTTTATCTTCACAGTAGATAACACAACAACATATCCATAGTAATCATCTAATTATGAAAAGATGCAACATGTGATTTTATACACAATAATTTTGATTGCAAAGATTTGAGCTTACTATAAAATGAAGATGGCATGATAAAAGCTTGGGGGGAATCAAAGTGGGCAGGAACATGGGGAATGGTTTGATGACGATAAAGATTGGCATCCCACAATGTTTATAATGTCCATATATTGCTTTTAAATAAAATTAATTTTTTGTAATGAATATTATTAAAATAATTCATCACCAAGTGGAAGATGTTTCAAAGACAGAAGGCATTCCTTGTGCATCCAAATTATTACCAACTTTCATACGCTTACTTTTTATTCATTAAACTAATCACTAATCTCTTGGTCCAATTATTATTTGGTTATCCCGCTCTCTTTTAGTGAATTATATCGTTTACTTTAACGAAATATAATTTTTACAAGTCAGATATCCAGCGTTGATAATCATATATTTACATCACATAGACCATATATTGTAAAACATATTGTCGTATTTACATCACGTTGGTTTAAAAAAAAAATTATAAACTATTCGCCCGTCCAACATTTTATCCCGAGTTTAATAATTCGGAAATTACCTACTAATTCCTTCAATAAGGTCTATTGATTAATAATTAAAGAAGAGACGTCATATGTTATATTATAATGGAAGACACATGGAATTAATCAATTTAATATCCTCCACTAACCATAGTACTTAGAGGCTAATAGCCTACGTATTACCAACTTATTTCTTATATAAAAAGGCTTGTTCTATTAATACCCACATGTTAAAAGACTAAGAAGACTTGCTAAATCGGGAAGTGAGGAGGACGAACACAACATGGGCCCACAATTTTATAAAAAGAAGATTGAAAGCCTAACTAATTAAAGAAAGTTAGGTTTCGCATCCTAAAATTTTATAATTGGCCCATATTTAATAATCTCAGTAATAATTTTGTGGCCCAAATATGTTTTCAAGTAGGCTGCATAGACTCTCTCTATCTCTCTCTGCTCTCTATCATTCTCCCGCTTCAGAGGAATAAGACCTAGAAAATAGAAGTTTCTCATTCGCAGAGTCGCAGGTATGGCTTTTTATTTTCAATCATTGGTTTCGATCGAGGCAATTTTCATCTGTGCGTTTCTATATGAAATTTGAGATTTTGAGATTTGATATTCAGCGTCTCCCATTTGTCTTAAGTCTCAATATGTACATCAAACATTGGGCTTCACTTGAGGGGAATATTCACATTGTTATCTTTTCTGGGAAGTTTGATACTTGGCTGGAAAATTATTCAACTTGAATTGTTCGTGTTTGGTTCAGTTTTACTCGAAGATGCATTGCATTAGGAGCTCAATCTTGCAACATGTGAGAGTCTCTGTCAGACCGGTTTTGCTCCTTGAGAAGGAGAATGCTTTCAAGAGTATTATTGGTAAAATGAATTTCACATCAGGAGATGGAGGGCAAGATCAAATCTTGAGTAAGGTTATTGAACTGGTGAAGAAGTACGACAAAACCAATGCCTCTAAGGTAAAACTGCTGCTGTTTCACTTTTTCTGTCATAGCGTTTTTTTGGGTGTGTGTGTGTGTGAAAAATTTGTAACATGTTTTAGTTGCACAGGTTACTGAAAGGGCTGATTTCCAGAAGGATTTGTCGCTGGACAGTTTAGACAAGGTGGAGCTAGTTATGGCTATTGAAGAAGAGTTCTCGATTGAGATCCCTGAAGAAAAAGCAGATAAGCTTACTTGTTGTGGTGATATTGCAAGCTACATAATCTCTGAAACCCAACCGAAAGCGCCAGAGTCCTGACTTGTCTCAGGCTTTCTTTCTTGTCTTCATTGTTCAGTTAATCAAAACTCTAGAGCCATGCTCTGTGTCTTTATATCAGCAAAATCTCATTTGGGCCAGTGCTGCTAAACCTTTCACCTGATATATTCTAATGTGATCATACTACTGTTTTACCAAAATCATGAGAGTCTTTACATATATGCGACGCAAACTCTTAATTACACCGTGGGAACATAAAAAACAATGTAGAGAGACTCGACTCGGTTCTGTGACTGAAGCGCCAGCTAAACAAGCGAGGACCATAACAAAAGAAATGTCTTTTTTTACAAAATGGATCTTTTTAAGAATTTTACTGTTTCTGTTTAAATCTTTTGTTGGAATGTTGATATCACGCAGCTTGCTATGATCTTGAACTGTGGCCCTGTAACCTGATCTTCCCTGAGGTGTAGACACGGGAGCCGTTGGTAGAGGAAACAAGTTTGATACGTTTGTGTATATTGGTAGAATTGTGGTAGCATCTATAGCGCTTAGGCACATGTACTGGCTTGATGAAACATTTGTTTTCCATGTCTGGAATTGCGTGGAGCTGGGAAGGAAGATCGATTTCAAACTCTCCCAAGTCATCAGTAACAGCCTTAATCCACTTGGATCTCTTCTTGTATCCAGTGTGGCACTTGATGGCAACAGTAGCACCTGTGAGGACCATGTTAAGTATTCAGATGATAGGCAAAACGCACAGGGACGCATGAATAGATTCATAAATACCTGGAATGGCGATGGAGTGAAGGTGAGGATGTGAAGTGTCGTCGCAGAGAAGAGACCCGGTGATGATCACGGAGGAGAGTTTTTGTTCACCGTAGCCAGCCATCTCCACCATCTCCGTTCTGGTCCATATCTTCCCTGAAGCTGCAAATGCTCCGTTGAAGAAGAAGAAGAAGAATAACAAGAAGCAACGGAGGATGAAGAAGCTTCCCATTTGAAAAGCAAAAGCAAGGTTTCTTTTTCTCTTTCCCTCAATATGAATATGTTTACTTCTGTTTAAGAAATGGAAGAAGCATGTTTGTGCATATATATGTATATAAGAAGTTAAAGAAGAGGAGGTATTTAAGGAGGGGAAAGACTCTTTGTGTGGCTTCAGGTCACACAGCTCTATACGGCAGTCTTTCTTTTACCCTTTTTCACATTCTTTATAAATAATCATATATACTTTCTATTTAGATATAGAAAACCCAATCCATGGCTGACTTTAGATGATAGGGTCAATTTTAGATCTCAATCTTTGAAATGAATCAATCAACCGTCGTTGAAAGAGAAAGAGAGACGGCACTTGGAAGCAATTACTGAGTGGTTCGCCTACTCTTTCATTCATCTTCTTCGTATAAATATTTATTAAATTTGGTGCAACGTTTTGTATAAAATGTGACGTTCCTCCTTTTCTTTATTAATTATTTCTTTCTCCATAAGTTAAAATTTGTGATGGAGTGGGAACCAAAGAATCAAGCCTACCCTCAACTGTACTCTCCCAAGTCTCACCAACATTTTAGCTTAAATGTTCAAAAAAAAAAAAAAAAAATTTCAGCTTTGAACAAAACACACAACATAGATTCGCTTTTGTGGATTTGGTGGCTTCGCCACGTGGCGGAATAGTCAATGGAGTCAGCACTATGCATTGGGTTTTGTTAACCAAACCACAGCTTCTCATATTTCCTTTAAAGAAAGAAAAGAGAAAGAGTATGGGCCGAAAGGAGCTTAGCTAGTTACAGATCCATCATATTTAATAGGCTTTTATCTTTACGGCCCATTACGTTTCCAGGTGGACAAGACGAACATTAATTATGGTCATTAGGAGCTTAACACAGCTGGATGTGGTGATTATAGTTCATTAATCACGAGCTTAGAAAAAGCAAAACAATGGTCGGGCCTATCGGAGACGATCGAGACCGTCAAATGTGGACAAGTGGACCCTACTCTTTTGAATAGCTGTCTGATCTGATTGGTCGATGCAGTTTGATGGCAATGAACCCCACCACACCCACATCCAAACCCCAATTCATCTCTTCTTACAAAAACAAAAAAAAAGTTAAAGACATTAAAACAAAAAAGGTAAAAATTGACCGATAGGTCGTTGAGTGGCAGTTACCCTCTGTCTCCCTAACGCCTTCTTCTTCGTCTCCGTGTTTTCCACGCGCCGATTTGTTCCTTTTTCTGTGTTGGCCACTCTCTTATTATGCGCGTGGGGAGGTATCTCCTCTAGACAAAAGGTGGGCTGGGTCCACTAACGGTCCACAACACGTGGCAGAGTCTTAAAGGGCTGTTTATCTCTCATTCCAATCCGACGGTTGAGCACGTAACCAGTTGTCAGAACCTTATCAGTAAATGGACGGTTAATATGATCTCACGTGTCAAGTGAACAGAAGTCGTGCTTCCTCGCTTTATATAAACTCCGGCGACTCCTTCACCACTGTGTACAATCCCAGCCGACACTTGAATTCTTTTTTAAATTGTTTGTATTTCTTTTTCGTTTCTAAAACCCTATTTTACTCGCTTCAGTCTCTCCAGTCTTAGTCAACCACTACTGAATCGTGAATCAATGGTTGAAGCCATGATGATTTGAAAAAAAGAGAGTAAAGTTTCAATCTTTTTCAAATTTCGTGTGATTTTCAGAAATGGGGGATTCCGATAGAGATTCCGGCGGAGGGCAAAACGGGAACAATCAGAACGGACAGTCGTCGTTGTCTCCGAGAGAGCAAGATAGGTTCTTGCCGATCGCTAACGTGAGCCGGATCATGAAGAAGGCCTTGCCCGCTAACGCCAAGATCTCCAAAGATGCGAAAGAGACGATGCAGGAGTGTGTCTCGGAGTTCATTAGTTTCGTCACCGGAGAGGCGTCGGATAAGTGTCAGAAGGAGAAGAGGAAGACGATCAACGGCGACGATTTGCTCTGGGCTATGACTACTCTAGGTTTCGAGGATTACGTTGAGCCATTGAAAGTTTACTTGCAGAGGTTTAGAGAGATTGAAGGGGAGAGGACTGGACTTGGGAGGCCACAGACCGGTGGTGAAGCCGGAGAGCATCAGAGAGATGCCATCGGCGGCGATGGCGGTGGATTCTACGGTGGTGGGTTGCAGTATCACCAGCATCATCAGTTTCTTCACCAGCAGAACCATATGTATGGGTCCACAGGCGGTGGTGGTGGCGACGGTGGAGGAGGAGCTGCCTCCGGTAGGACAAGGACTTAAAAGATTGGTGAAGTGGGTCTCTCTCTGTATATAGATACATATATACACGTGCCTATTCTTACCCATAGTCGTGATGTATAAGTATCATGTTGGTTATGTAAAATCAGATGTGCATTAAGGGGTTAGATTTTGCGGCTGTGTAAAGAGGATCAAGTGATGTTTAAAACGATAGGATTCGCTAACGGATCTGCTCCGTTCAATCTTTGTATGTAACTATTGGATTTGGATCGCATTGAATGCAAATATTTTTCATTTAGGGGGCGGGTTTGATGTTTTTGGTGAGAGTTAAGAAGATTTAAAGTGTCAAAATGCTTACATAGAGAGGCAGCAAAGAAACCAGCTTTGATGAAAACTGTGAGGACTGCTTTATTTGTTGAGGAAGAAGGTTAATGGCGAGATTGGAGGTCTCGGGTGTTGAGGTACAAGCTGCCAAGTTGATCAAATGCAGAGACGGGGAGAGGTGTGAAGCCTTGGTAGTCTCCGTTGGTTTTAGCAGCGCAAATATCTGTCATATACCTTAATAGCTCTTGATTCTGTACGAATGGTTGCTTCGTGTATTCCTCCCATGGCATCCACTAGCAGCATTTTCGAGAAAGAGAAGAGGTTTGTGAGTGTTTTGGTGGTGGAGACTTGAGAGATGCAATTAAGAAGGAAAAAAAAGATTACCTGAGCTGCCTCTATCTCTGACTCCTGTACAGAGATCTCCAAAGAAAGGGGCTTTAACATGCACACGAAGAACAAATCTGACTTTCCACAGAAAGTTTTGTGGCTCTGTCTGCCAGAATTGAAAACAGGTAAGAGTCAAGTTATGTTGCAAATATAACCAGATGATATGTGGTTGGAGTTGGAGATGGAACCTGAAAGCCAACACTTGGACAAATTCTGTATCCACCTATAAACGTGTGATTCAGATAAGAGAGAGATTAGCTCTTGGTCTCATGTAAAATGTAAAGGTGTTCCATGAAGAAAAGCTTACTCCAGTCTCTTCTTTCACCTCTCTGACCGAGCCATCATGGATGTCTTCACCCTGAGTCAACCCCAAAAGAGAAAAACAAAAAGTGCATCAGAGAGGAACTCAGTACTCCTGTTATTGGGATTTAATAAGAAGCAGCACCTCATTGACTACTCCAGTGGGGAACTTCCAGATACCTTGTCCTTGAAGTCTTCCTGTCTTCTCTTGAACCACCAGCACCTTTGGATTCGAATACAGAAACAGAGTTGTGATCAGTCTTGGAGATGTTCTAATAATACACGTTGAAAATCTTATCTCACCAGTCACCAGTCACCATACCTCTTTCTTGTCGTTAATAACAAAGGCACCTATGCCAACACGGTGAGATGCATTGGCAGGAAGCGTATTTTCTTCTTTGGGAATCCAATACACGAGCATCAAGTAGTTCTTCTCCGCGTGATGAAACCAGAATCCCTCCTACACGTAAACACACAACATGTTTGTGATATGAAGAATCTCCAAACAATTAACAATAGGGGTTTGAAGAAATCTGCTTGCGGGTAACAACACCTTAACAGCAGTTTCAGCAAGACCGATAAGCTCCTTTGGTATTTTGATCCACACTCCCTTCTTTCCCTGCGTACACAAATACGTTTGTAGCCAAGCATTACATCGGTTCAGAAACTATTAATTCACCATCTCTGTGGCATACGGAGCAATGTGTTAATGTAATGTGAAAGTTGAATTCCCTTTCCGGGAAAAGGGAATACACTTTCTTGCAAGTAACACAAAGTCTATGGCCCGCATTAGAATACAATAATTTTCCAAGAAGATGGTGACATTCACAATTTGTCACCCCAACTTTTTCAATGATTCTATGTAACAGAATGGTATCTATCTACATCGAATTCAGACTAACGAAATTTCTCATTTTTAATCCTATCTATCAGATGAATCTAGGGAAGAAGAAGAAGAAGAGCACCTGAAGAGTCCAGTTAGAGAGAGAGGATCGGAGAAGTGCAGAGAAGGCAGAAGGATCCATAGGCTGACTCATCTCCGTCATCACGCCACCGTATCTGTCTTCAACAGCCGGAAGCAGAGTAACGCCGGTTGCCTCCTCGCCGGACATCGGGTTTGTGGAGGAAGAAGCGGCCATGGATCTGTTCCTCGTCGTGGAGAAACTGTGAAACGCAGAGAACCCATCAGCCGGAAAACGCATAAATTGGGGAATACGTAGACTCCCATTAGTCGGTTTCATCAACAATTTGATAAAACCATAGCTTTTCGCTAAGCGGCAACTCATAATTCGTTGTTACTCGACCGAGAAAAAAAAAAAAAACAAACACAACTTTAAACTCAAGTACACAAGATTTGCCTTTTGGACCTTTACTTTCTCAATTCTCAATCACAATTATAATTTACGATGTGAGATTGTATATAACTGAAAAAAATCGAAACTACTTTAGCAGCTAAATGGATCACTCGTTTGAGCGTAGAGAACCTGTTTTCTAGTTAACGCACTTCCCTTCTCCCACCGTATGAAATGAAACCAATAACAAAGGAACGAACTTTCAGCCTTTAAATCTATTTTTATACTACACTATTTATCAAGATGACAAAAAAGAATATTGTTATTAAGCTAAGACATGAAAATTCAAAACTTTTTCTGTTTTAGAGTATGTCAGAAGTTAATAGGCGGACAAAGTCCTGGATTGTAATACACGGTTAGTAGAAAATAAATGTTACCCACGAATTACTTCGAACTTTTTCTCAGATCAGTGGCCCTAAGATTATATCTCAAATCTTAAGGATGATGACTTATCTAACATTTCTTAATTTCTCGCAAGTGTACATTTGATATGATTGAAAGGGAAGAAAATAGTGTCGGTATCTCCGCGGCCTACGCTGAGCCACACGTCCAAAAGTGTTTTGCCATTACACGAAACTGGATACAGTTCAGTGAATTACAGGACATATTCGGGTCGGGTCGGGTCGGGTCGAGTTGCAAAACTGGTAAGAAAACGACTGAAGTGAGGATAAAATGGAAGTTCTCCCGGTCGTTTGAGGGTATTAAGGTAAATGTACAGGCGCAACAAATTTTTGGTTTTTTTTACCCTTTGAACTGCTTTTACTTGGCCGGTCATCTCCTTTCACGCCGCCCATTTTTCTTGTTTTTTTACCTTTGCTTATGGAACTTCTCGCCGGCGACTGTCGGAAACGAGTCGGCGATGATTTTGCCGATGATGTTGACCCGTTCGATGGCTCCGATGGTGGAGGATGCCACTGGATGTACGGTACCGGTCAATCGGGGTCACTGAGAGCTCAAGGAAACGACGACGCTTTGGCTACACTCGCAGACTTGGCTTCGCCTCCTCAGAAACTGAAACCCATCAGGTGTGGCGTCCTTAAGCCCCCGTCGGAGGATCGACATCCTCTGGATATTCTCGCCGGAACCCTAGACAGGCTGCCGGAGATGGGGTTTCTTGGAGACGGCTGTTTCGAGGCTCCGTTGGGATCGAAGATTGCTGACGTGGAGGAAAGTGGTCAATTGACGCGTGGGTTTGCAAAAGATGATGTGGAAATGGAGTTTCAAGGTCGTGTCTCCAGACATCGCACCTCTTGGGATGGTGTGTCTCTGAGGTAATCAGCAGAGAAAATTGAAAAAAACAAAAGTTTAGAGCTTTTGTGCATGTTGTGTTTGGTAACACTGCAGTTTTTGGTGAAGTTTGGATCTGTTACTGTGAAAAGTTAATACTTTTCACGTTTATCAGAACCTTGTTTGGTAGACTTAAAACACATTCCTTTTGTTTATTGATGTTGCTCCGTTCACTTCGATTGGTTAGATTGGTTGAATATCTCAGCTAAAAGCATCCAACTTTCGTTGATAGCTTAACAGATGGATGTGGCCTCATTACAACCTTTTACAGTGATGGTTTACTCGGTTCTAAGTGCTGTTTGTACCACTTTTAAGTAGTATTAATCTACTGGTTGTTCTTGGATTTTGTGGACAGTATGTTCGAAAGGTGCAGCAAAAAATTTGTTTAGATGCTGAGCTTGGAAGAGTTTTTATCTGATACTCTTACATCTAGGATTGTTATTCGTGTTGGAATCTTTGACTTTTGACAAGTAGTCAGCACTGTCAATTGATGAACATTTTTTCTTGGTTTTGCAGCTCGTCTCTTGATAGCGATGATAGCGACTCTTCCCCAGGCGTTCGCAAGGCTCTCACGGGTAAAAGAAAGCGGAAAACGCGGGAAAAGCTGGAGCATTTCTTGGATAAGCTGGTGGGGAGTATGATGAAGCGGCAAGAGAAGATGCATAACCAGTTGATAAGGGTGATGGAGAAGATGGAAGGCGAGAGAATACGCCGTGAGGATGCTTGGAGACAACAGGAAATCGAGAGGATGAAACAGAGTGAAGAGGCACGGAAGCAAGAGATGTCTCGCAGCTTGTCTCTCATCTCTTTCATCAAAAGTGTTATGGGTGAAGAGATCGAGATCCCTAGTGCCTCTGATCCCCTTCCACAACCTCAGAATCTCCCCGCACAATGTAAAGACGAGAAATGTGAATCCGCTCAGACAAAAGGAGAGGCAAAGTTTGTGTATTCAAGCGGAAGAAGGTGGCCGCACGAGGAAGTGCATGCGTTGATAGCTAGCAGAAGCCAAGTGGAAGAGAAGACAAAGATTCACAAGGGTGTGCTATGGGACGAGATATCAGCACAAATGAAGGAAAGAGGTTACCAACGATCTGCTAAGAAGTGTAAGGAGAAATGGGAGAACATGAACAAGTACTACAAGAGGGTGATGGGAGGTGGGAAGAAACAGCCTGAGCACAGCAAGACCCGCTCATACTTTGAGAAACTAGGAAATTTGTACAAGACCAACTCAGGTAGTGCAGACCACTCCGGAGAGAAGGATGAATGAAGGTTCGAGTGAAAGATTAAGATTAGGTTTTTGGCACGCAAAACGGAAACTTGTAGATGATTTCTCGAGTTTTGTTTAAAATTTGATTCTGGTGTAGTTAACTCTACGACTTTGTATTTGTATGGTGTTGAGTTTAGAAGGTTCGAAATAAAGACAAAAACGTTGGTGATTAGGATCTTGTAACGGCTATGGGAGGCGAGACGGATCCTCGGTTCCATCGACTGTGGCTGACACGTTGTGGAGGTTGTGAGGTCTGCAATTACAAATGCCGACACTTGCCAAATTTTAGTTTTATTCCAAGTATTCTTTTCTCTCTCTCTCCCTCATCTTCTTCTTTTTCTTACAAATGCTTCTAAATCACGAGCATTGGTTTATTTATATATATATCTCACAAACCCAAAGTAGTGTAATTTGAAGACGGATATGGAACGTGGAGGCTTCCATGGCTACCGCAAGTTCTCCCTCAACACCACCACTCCTGATGAACCAGGTAGTGCCATTTTCAGTTTGTTCTCTGCAATTCCTACATTGTAATCATGTTCTCATGACCGAACAGTGAATGAAATAAGCAAATTAAGCTTTGTCAATCTTAGACTCATGTGCGCTAATGGCGCATGCAGACGTCATAGAAGCACAAACTTTTGCAACTAAAACATCTAACAAAACATTTATGCATTAAAAGTCAACTTTCTTACTTTGTTTTTGTTTTTGTTTTTGTTGGGTTCACCAGCGACGTTGTTGATGGCAGAGGGCAGCATGCATCTACCAGAATTCAACCAGCCTAACAAAACCGCTAATGGAGGTGAAGAGGAGTGCACAGTGAGAGAGCAAGACAGGTTCATGCCGATTGCCAACGTGATACGTATCATGCGGAGGATCTTACCTGCTCACGCCAAGATCTCAGACGACTCCAAGGAGACAATCCAAGAGTGTGTCTCGGAATACATCAGCTTCATAACAGGGGAGGCCAATGAGCGTTGCCAGCGGGAACAGCGCAAGACCATCACTGCTGAGGATGTCTTGTGGGCAATGAGCAAGCTAGGCTTTGATGATTACATCGAACCCCTCACATTGTACCTCCACCGCTACAGAGAGTTGGAAGGTGACAGAGGGGTTAGCTGCGGTGCTGGATCCGTTAGTCTCACCAGCGGCTTGGTGGTCAAGAGGCCTAATGGTACCATGGCCGAGTATGCAGCCTACGGGGCTGTGCCAGGGATTCACATGGCGCAGTACCATTATCGTCATCAGAACGGGTTTGCTTTCAGTGGTAACGAACCTGATTCTAAAATGGGTGGTTCATCATCGGGAGCAAGCGGCGCCAGAGTTGAACTATTTCCGACTCAGCAACACAAGTACTGAGAACAATGGCTAATAACGTTGACAGCTGACAGAGGGAAAGTCATAACTGTAGTAGGCGCAACTTCTAGTTTATGGGTTCAAGTTAAGCAAAAAACAATGATGCTTTATCTCTGTTTATCTTCTCTTTGAACGAACCTCTATCTTGTGGAACAGTGTGTCAATGAAGCATTAGATTTTCCAAGCAGCATGCGTGTGATCTTTAATATAGTAATTGACAGTGAAAATTTCTAGTGCATCTCGACACAACGTATAAAGGGACTTAACATTTCATATTCCAATTCTCAGCTCCAGAAATCAGTGTTCAATAAAAAACAGGAAACAGCTCTCGCAATGCATTATTCTCATCTAGCTACCACTTTCCAGAGGAACTTCAACGCATACCTTTTTCCTCTCCACAAGATCATGTTTCTCTGCACTCTCGTCCGCATCACCCTCTTTCTCTTGATGCTCTTCAGAAAGAGGTTCCAATTTCGAACAATCAACAGGTTCAACTCCGTTTCTTTTCCTCTGAGGAATCACAGTGAAGAACGAAGTTTTCCAGTCCCTCGTCTCCAGAAACTTTACGAGTATCTCCACAACTTGGTTCACAGTGAGAACCTACATCAATAAAAACCAAACCTCACAACAGGTTCTTGCTTAAGAAAGTGTAGGAAACAAAACAGCTCATTGTGTTCAAAAGCGATTTTTATGCCCAATGAGATAATTGAAATGGCTGAAGGTTACAAAACCTACTACGTAGTTATTTACAGAAGTTGGGTAACATACCTGAGAACTTGACATCTTCATATACTCTCCTATGGGAAGTCTAGCTGTTTTAATGCCTTGTTCCTGTGCCTTGGTCATGGTTATCCCTTTGAACCGGTTTCGATCCACTAAGCCACCGATTATGTAGATATCCTTGGGGTCAAGGTCATCCAAAACAGTTTCGGAATCCGCCGTAAGGTACACCAAATTCTCTTTCCGATCAGCCATGGCCTCAATGTAGCACCGACTTTCCTTCTCTATGAACCATTTCTCAAAACCTGGAAGCTTCTCAAGCTGAGTACTCATCTCTCCTTGGACTCCTGTCAACCATAGATGACAAGGGGAAGTGCTTCTCCCATTCACCGCATAGCAATACATTATCTGAATATTAAAGCAAATAACAATCTTCACCAATCAGTGATCATACAAGAATCATCCAGAGAACAAGCCAGATGGTAGAGAACAGGGGAAAGTTTGAAACTTTGAACAGAGATTAACCTGCTGAACGAGGCTGGAGATCTCAGACTCGGACATGAGATGGGCAAAATCAACATCAACGACGACGTTTTGACCGATTTCTTTGGCTCGAGTGAGCCGCTCCATCTTCTTCTGTTTCTCCTCCGACCTCTTGTCCATTCTCTCCTTCCGGAGATTCTTCCTCGACTCTATCAGCTTCAGCCTCTCTTCCTCCGTCGCGTTCGCTAAGGTTTCTTCCCACTCCTTGTGCTTTCTCTCACCTTCCTTCCTCTTCTGCTCCTTCTCCTGTGCCTTCTTCTCAGCTTTCTTCGCTTCGTATCTCTGCTGCTTCAGTTGCTTCTTTTGGGCATTCTTAGACAGAGGTTTATGTTCCTCCGCTGGCGAATGACTAACCGGAGCCGGTTCCGAATCTGGTTTAGTCTGGTTACTGACGCCGATGTCGTCATTTTCCGTCGCCGTCGCCATTGCCGCTAAACGCAAGAGAGCAAGGGTCAAAGGAAAGGGAAATGGAATGCGCCACTTACAACGACGTCGTCTTTTACAAAGGCTTCTACTGTTGGGCCTTTACGGCCCATTAACAAAGGGCTTCAGATAGGGAAAAATGGTAAATAGAAGAGAAAGTGGGGGACATAATTATAATAAACAAGTAAAATGCGGAAGCGATGAGAGACACAAACCCGTAAGTCAGCAAATCGGCCTGTTGTTTCGAGAGAGCGCTCAGATCAGATGTGTTCGAAAGAGTGACTCTGAACAGCAAAAAAAAAAAAAAAGAAAAGAAAGAAAGAAGACCCTTTTCGTTCTTCTGCATCTTCGTTTATGGTGGTTAAGCTCTTCTCTTAGAAGAGCACAGCGAAGGTTAAGAGTTCTCAGTTTCATTCGTGATGGCTCAAAAGCCAGAGGAGCAGTTGAAGGAGTTCGGATCCAAGCTTGACCCACCTCCTGCGTCCAAAGATTCATTGCTCAAACTCTTTAAGGTGAATTTCTCCTCTCTAATTCTTCTGTAAATTTATCCTCTTGTGACTTCATTCGTTTGGAGGGAGTTTTCAGCTTTGTTCCCTGTTTAAATTCTACGAATTTGGTTGACATAGAAAAATTTCAGCTTCGGGATAATGTTGCTAAAATAGCTAGAATTTATTCTTTGGAGTTGCGTTAGGGTTTGTTTGTAACATCTTTTATCGTCGCTTCCCTTCATATAGATCGATTTTGCAAAATTAGGTCACGCTTCAAAGCTGGGGTCTTGCTCCGTCCTGAATGGAAGATGCATATAAATAGCAATTTTTACGGCTCTTTGCTTACTAGGTTTGCATTTTTGTTTCTTTGGAGACCAATTCAGTGTGTAATTTGCTTATGTTCACGAACTTATCCTTCTGAATGATGGTTGATGTTAGAATGTCAAGTTTCTAAAGTTGGACAGGTATTTTTTGAGGTCTCGCTATGCTGGAATTGATGAGTTGCATGATATTCAGTACCTTTTAGATAGATGCAATAGTTACTGCAATTTGCAATCTCTATATTTAGTAGAGACGGTATGTGGTTCAGATATACTATGCCTTTCAAAAGTGATTAAGATGTTTGTTTATCAATCACTTAGTGGAATGTGGTTTGCTTTTGATTGTGATATTTGGAAGTTTAGTAAGAAACATTCTCAACTTGAAAAGTAATCTATTTTCTGTCTGATGCTGTAAACTGATTGGAAGTGCTCATTTGGAGCATTACTCTGGAAAAATCCCATTCTTGTTAACTTGTGTGTTGCTACATGCAGGAAGCTGCTGTTTGTCTTTCTGAGTTGGAGCAGTCTCCAGCAGCAGCAGTGCTGAAGTCTATTCAGCCTTTTCTTGATGCAGTTATTAAACCTGAAATTCTCAAGCATCAAGACAAGGATGTCAAGCTTCTAGTTGCAAGTTGCGTTTCTGAGATAACTCGTATAACAGCACCTGAAGCGCCCTACAGTGATAATATTATGAAGGTTGCTTGTCCTTAATTTCCTTTGGGACAGCGATCACAGACATGTCAGCTGCTGATTTGTTTGCTCTTTTTTTCAGGATATTTTTGAACTGATTGTGAGCGCTTTTTCTGGGTTGAATGATGTCGGTGGACCATCATTTGCAAGAAGGGTTGTGATTTTAGAAACGGTTGCAAAGTACAGGTCATGTGTAGTGATGTTGGATCTTGAATGCGATGATCTGGTGAAAGAAGTCTTTACTACATTTCTTGACGTTGCTAGGTGGGTTTCACTTTCAACTTAGCTTCCTTTTGATTTGTTAAGTTTCCTCTGACCACAGCAAGTCTAGTTTTTGGCTAGTAATACAGGTTATGAATGCATTTTGTGTTTTATTTTTCTCTGGCCCCTCGTACTAAAATATTGTTTTATTCTGTATACGCAGAGATGACCATCCGGAGGTTGTTTTCTCATCAATGCAAAATATAATGATTGTTCTCTTAGAAGAGAGTGAAGATGTGCAGGAGCATCTGTTACTAATCTTACTCTCTAAATTGGGCAGAAATAGAAGTGTAAGCATTTCTGACGTTTCTGGCTGATATTATTCTAAGTAGGATTTGTTGTTGTATGGAATAGCAGACCACTCATTCTTTGGATTTATGATGGCAGGACGTTAAAGATGCTGCAAGAAGACTTGCTATGAAAGTCATAGAGCAGTGTGCGCCAAAAGTTGAATCTGACATAAAGCAGTTCCTTATCTCTTCAATGTCTGGAGAGAATCGATATTCCAGCAGCCAAATCGACTACCATGAGGTTATCTATGATTTGTACCGCTGTGCTCCTCAGGCCCTATCCGGAGTTGCACCATATCTCACTGGAGAACTTTTGGTATATTATTATTTTGATCTCTCTATTCTGCATGTCAAAAATCATGTCCCTTGAACCATGCATCAGTACTTTTGTTACTGTGTATATTGTTTGAATAGTCACTTTTATCCTTTCGATTTCAACCCATCTTTTCGAATAGATTGGTATTGAATAAAACATAATGCGTACTAATAACATATACAGGCTGATAAATTGGAAACTCGTTTGAAAGTGGTTGGATTGGTTGGAGATTTGTTTTCCCTGCCTGGACGTGTCATCTCCGAAGAGTTCAGTTCAATCTTCTTGGAGTTTCTGAAAAGGCTGACTGATAGAATAGTTGAAGTTAGAATGGTCATCCTGGACCACATTAAGAACTGTTTGCTCTCAGATCCTTCGAGAGCTGAGGCTTCTCAAATTACATGTAAGTATCTTTATATCACGCCATTAGTTTACGTTAGAATTGACCAATCTTATGGTATTAATTCTTTTGTAGCTGCCCTTCGTGACCGACTCTTGGATTATGATGAGAATATCCGCAAACAAGTTGTTGCTGTTATTTGTGATGTGGCTGTGAGTGCACCGACGTCGATTCCAATTGACACCATAAAGTTAGTTGCTGAACGGCTTCGAGACAAAGCTGTACGTTTTATGTATTCAATCATGATGTCTCAGAAAGTTGCATGCTAACATTTAAAAACATTTGAACTCAATTTTTTTATTTTCCAAATCAGATACTCGTAAAAACATACACAATGGAAAGGTTGACTGAATTGTTCCGGGTATATTGCTTATGGTATGCTGAAGGGAAGGTAGGCACTGGCGACTTTGATTGGATTCCTGGAAAAATTTTGAGATGTCTCTATGACAAAGATTTCAGGTAGGACATTTATCTAGAACTTTTTTGAAATTCGGCCCCTTTTTCTTTAATTTTTATGTTGTTCACTTCTTTCTGTTTGGATATGATCACTAGTTTCGGAAAATATATTCTAAATATGTGAATTGTGTTGCAGATCAGATACAATTGAACATATTCTATGCAGTTCATTGTTTCCAAGTGATTTCTCTGTTAGAGATAAAGTTAAGCTTTGGATAGGAATCTTTTCCGGGTTTG